CTCCCCCCCCAACGCCTCATCCCAAACATCCGTGTTCGCCCCCACCTCGAACTGCGGACACAGGATCGTCACCCGCGACCCCGCGCCGTGCCGACCCCGGAGCGCGCTCGGCGCCGCGAGGTGCACGCGGATGGAGTCGTAGAGTGGGTTGGTGAGGGTCAGGAGGTAGTGCGTTGTGGTGAGCGGGCGGAGGGCGAATGGGGAGGAGGGCGAGAGCGCGGGGAGCGCGAGCGTGGGCGAGGAGAAGGTGGTAAGCAGAGTGGATGTCGGGCGGCCGGCTGCGGACGTCCCTGGAGGCGGCATCGTCGAAGGGGAGGCCAGCGGCTTGATCGACAGCTTCGGTAGGTTTTGTAGGGCCAGCAGCTTGATCTTCGATCGCACGCTCGTCACCTTCCCTTCCGGTTTCGCTAAGATCTGCCGGCACGCGCCGCAGCGCTTCGCGCGCTTGGTACGTAGCAGGGGGCTGATGGGGCGCAGATCGTCGACGGCGCGGGCGTGGCGGTTCGTGGCGTCGAGGCGCTGCGAGACGCTGGCGTGGGTGTCCCAGGCGGTGGTCTGCATCGCGCGGATGGTGGCATCGTCGGCAGCTTCGGCGGCGGCGTCGTAAATGAGGAGGCCTTCCTCAGGGGTGGCGGCTTCACGCATCGGGGAGGGGCCGGATTCGGGCGCGCGCGAGCGGATGGAGGAGCCGTACATGTGGAGGAGGCGGGCGATGGAGCTGGGGGAGCCGGGGCCAAGTTCGCTGGCGGATGTGGACGTGGTGCCGGGGAGGAGGGCGGCGTCGCTGGTGCTGAGTTGGTGTTTGTAGAAGGCGAGGAGGTGGTGATAGCGGTCTTGGGGGTCGGGGGTACGGGCGGAGGGGGGTTCGGGCGAAGAGGACGTGGAGGTGTCAGAGGTGGGAGAGGGGAGGTCGTCGAGGTGGTGCGTGGTAGGGGGGTCGGAGCGCTTGAGGGAGGAGGAGGGTTTGCGGTCGCGGGGCGGGCGGGGGAGGCCGCCGTTGAGGGTCTTGGCGAGTTGGCCGGTGATGTTGGAGGGCCGGGGGAAGGTGATGCCGATGTCAAGGGTGGACCAGGCGCAGTAGGGGCAGTGGAGGATGTAGGGGCCGCCGAACTTGTTGGCGGGTTTGTCGTCGGGAGGGGGGTCGGGTTGTTCGAGGGAGTTGACGGAGAGGGGGGAGGTGCAAATGGGGCAGTTGAAGCAGTTGCGGGAACATCTGTAGCGGTTAGGAGGCGGTTGATATGTGGGAGAGAAAAGACCTTGGGAGGAGAGGAGCGATGGGACGGTAGGAAGCTAACCATTACCTATGACCTTCTTGCTTGATAGTGCTGCTCGGGGCCTCGAAGAGACAGTTCGGGCAGTACCAGCAGATGACTTCTTCCGTCACGCATCGTGGGCACCGCATTTCATGACACTCTGTACAGTATAGCAAATGCTCAATCGGATACAGCGAGAAATTGGATCGCCGCGAGCGCGGGTCGAAGGTTCGTTCATCTTCGTCCTGGGCGGATTGTGGCTCTTGTGAGACACGCTTTTCTTGGGTGGACGTGTTGTCGGCGCAGGAACACGCGTAGTACGTGTACGGGAAGGAGACGGACATGTTTAATCAGGTATGGAGAGATTGAGGAAGAGGGGGGAAAGAGTAGCTGGTAAGTGATAAATGATAGTAAGGGCGAGATGAGACCTGATGGAGCTCTCCACGCCAAGAGATATAGGGCTGGACGACATTCAATGGAGCTGGACAATATCATCAGGACTTCGGCGAATCGTCCGGTATTAATGATTGTTCATTGCCCATTATACCTTTCATGTACAATTGCAATATAATGCCTCAATCATGAACCGGTAACTCCGTAACACATCAAATCTTCCATATAAAAAGTGTCACTATGATCAGGAAACCACCCCTCTTCCGCCTTCGACCTGCGGCTCTCCATGTGAGAGGATATGCCGTCCAAACCCCAGGGGCACCGACTCTCCAGGTCTTCGATCGACACACGAAATGGCAGCAAAAGGAGCGAGCAGCACAGGACGTGGAAACGAGTCGGAAGGTCGACTACCTGAGAGATGAGGTTGCATTTCGTCTATGTGAGCGATTGCTGGTGAGTATATACGATTCTGAAGCTATGAGGAACATCGGCTTATATTCCCTTCAGGATATCAACCGTAACTACGATAAAGTCCTCGATCTTGGAGCCAACGCCTGCCACATCGCCAAGGCCCTCACCCGTCCAAACCCCGATGCCGATTCACTCCGCCCCGTCTCCGAGCCGATCGCAGCGCGAATCAAACATCTCGTCGCAGCCGAATCATCAGCGTCGATGCTCTACCGGGACGACTCCCTCCCGTTCAACTCCGAAATCTCTATCACCCGCGACGTGCTCCAGGACGAAGAATCCCTCCCGTATCCCGCGAACACCTTCGACGCCGTGCTCAGCGCATCTAGCCTCCACTGGATCAACGACCTCCCCAGCGTCCTCACGCAAATCAACCACGTCCTGAAACCGGACGCCCCGTTCCTCGGCGTCATGTTCGGCGGCGACACGCTCTTCGAGCTGCGCACGTCGCTCCAGCTCGCCTCGCTGGACCGCCTGGGCGGCATCAGCACGCACACCTCCCCACTCGCGGACGTCCGCGACATCGGCGGGCTGCTGCAGCGCGCCGGGTTCCGGCTCCTAACCGTGGACGTGGATGATCTAGTCGTTGACTTTCCGGACGTGTACGCGCTCATGGAAGAGCTGCAGGCGATGGGCGAGCAGAACGCGGTGCGGATGCGGAGTGGGGGGCCACTGAGCCGGGACGTGCTGTTGGCGGCAGACGGGATTTATAAGGAGATGCATGGGAATGAAGACGGGAGTATCCCGGCGACGTTTCGGTTGATTTATATGATTGGGTGGAAGGAGGGGGAGGGGCAGCAGCGGCCGTTGGAGAGAGGGAGTGGGATGGTGAGTATTAAGGATGTGTTGGAGGGGAAGACAGCGGCGCCGAAGGGTGGGGAGCGGAAGTAGTGAGAGCAATGGTTTGCTAAAGTCGAATGGTTCAAGAAGGAAGGCTTCTTTCATGATCTGGATGAGGGGTAGGAGGTTGACAAAGGAGTCCGCATGATCGGAACTTTGTTAACAGAGATCAGTATCTATCCGACGGGAGAGGATGCGGCCTACGAAGCCATCTCTCGCACAGATCAAACAGTCTGGAAGACGAGGCAGGAAGGCATTAGAATCATTGCAGATCGGCGTCCAAAAAGAGCCTGGAAGTATGGCCCGTATTAGGACTAAAGAGAAGCTGTGGAAAAGAGATGAGTGAATCAAAGGCACCTAAAGGTATGGCCTTTGCTGGTTCAAATCATTCACTCCTCCACAGTCGTGAATTAATCCATCTGGACTGACTGCGTGGAGATCTCGTCTCATCTTCCATGTAGACAAACAATCAACAACAACATTCCCCCTATCTTCAACTTTTCCTACAACACATCTTCAACCCACACTTCCTGTCTTATTTTCGAACATCATCTACACGAGAAGTCGAAATGAAGCTCAATTTCATCCTGCGATTCTCCATCATGGCCATCAGGGCCCTCGCCCGCCTCCACGCCCCTCTAAGTCCCACCGGCTTCACCCCCTGGTTCCGGCTGAACGTCTCTCAACCCACCAGCACCTCTACCCCATCGTTTCCCCCCTCTCCAACCCAACCCGGGACGGCGTTATTCTGTACGTACCAGCACCATATACCCTTCAGCTTCGACATCATCTCTAACCACATCCTAGGCTTTACCTACTACCGTGTCCAAACCGGCGACACGTGCGCTCTGATTGCCGCGAAGATGAACCATACCTTTACACTAGAGGAGTTCTACCGATTGAATCCGTAAGTAGACTGAGTGGCCTCCACGATGGAGCACGGAAAGGCTAATGCTGGAATTTTAGGACCGTGGGGTCGAATTGCGAGAGTCTTTGGCTTGGGTACTGGGTTTGCGTGAATGGGATCACCATGAAGGGGTTGGTTGCGTCGGCCGTGGACTCGACGATGACTCCGAAAGCGAGGGGATCGTTTACTAGATCTTCGCGCTTTGTCCCTACTGGCCATGTCTCGAGTGCTCAGCCGCGGGGGACTGCGGTCTCATTCGCGCCGCTTCGTTCGACGACAGAGACTGAGTTTGAGACGAGGACGACGACGCTTGTTACGGTTATTGTAGTCTGAGCGTCGACTGCTGGGCTTGGATGATGAGAGTTCATGTAATTCAGCTGGTTTGGGACTAAAAGCTTGGGGGGTCGTGAACAGAATGAGACGAGGCAGATACATGTACATTAACCATTACCGGATTGTATCAATATGAAGTTGTACTTTTGACGGACAAGAAGAGGACTGGAATACCGCTTTCGAACGCTTATGGCAACGAACCGAGTAGTCCTAGACTTCGCAACCAGCCTTGATTGCACATCGTGCGTTACTATCATACCTATTGCACCAGTTGGGACTATATGCCGAATAGTATGTATCGTGCAGAAGGCAGGTCCTATCCCCTCTCTATTTCCTGGGCATTGGGAGAAGTAGAAGAATAAAATGCCCGTATCTGGAAAGAATATCCGCTGGAAAAATATCCCCATGATGATAGGAATAAGATCTGAATATTAGATGTAAAAGGGGCGTTAATTACCGCATCAGGTAATGTGGACCGATCCTCACCCGATCCCGACAGGAAATCCCGCGGTCCGCTTCCGTTCCGCTTCGCTGAATTCTGACATCCTGACCTCGAATTTATCGATTGTGGATTTGTGGTAAGCTTTCCTGAACCGCACCAGAACAAACATTGCGGCACCCCGGGCTCGGTCGGACCGTCATCAAAGCATCAATCTGACTTCAACTTTCGTCATCCTCTATCCTCCCTTCATCCCAATCCCTCCACGGTCATTCAGGAGTCTTCCTATCACCACTGCGAGATCGCTGCCTCATAAATTCCGTGCACAATGTCTGGTCCGCTCCCTAGCAACGTCCTCGCGACGCAGTACGTCCAGGGCGTGTATATCCCCTCCGCGCTCCTCATCGTTGGAACCGCCATTATGAAGAAGGAATGGGTGCCGTACGCAGTGGCCCTCGCCGTTGTTCTAGGCGGATGGAAGGTCTTCTCCAACAGTAAGAGTTACTTCCACATGTGAAAACCTACGAGACGAAAAATGCTGATGCGATTGGTGGCAGGGCAACGAAAAGTGCTGAAGCCCGCCGAGTTCCAGCGGTTCTCGCTAAAGGAAAAGACGATATTGTCGCATAACACCGCGATGTATGCTCCCCCTCAAATATCTTCCCGAGCAGTTCATTAACCATCCATAGCTACCGCTTCTCCCTCCCCAACCCCTCCGACATCCTCGGCCTCCCCATAGGCCAACACATCTCCCTCAACGCCACCATCGACGGCAAAGCCGTTACCCGCTCCTACACCCCGATCTCCAGCGACTGGCAACCCGGCCACTTCGACCTGCTGATCAAATCCTACCCGACCGGCAACATCTCGAAGCACGTCGCAGGGCTCCGTATCGGCGATACCATGTCCGTACGCGGCCCCAAGGGCGCCATGGTCTACACGCCGAACATGGTGCGCGAGTTCGGTATGATCGCCGGCGGCACGGGGATCACGCCGATGTTGCAGATTATCCGGGCGATCATTCGCGGGCGGCCGGCGAACGGGGGGGAGGATCGGACGAAGGTGAGCTTGGTGTTTGCGAATGTGAATCCGGAGGATATTCTGCTGAAGGAGGATTTGGATGCGTTGGTGGCGGAGGATGAGGGGTTTAAGGTGTATTATGTGTTGAATAATCCGCCGGAGGGATGGAATGGGGGAGTTGGGTTCGTTACGCCGGAGATGATCAAGGTGAGTTTCAGTTCCTTATGCCCGACTCGCTAGAGTATATTGGCGGCCTATTTCCTACGGAAGATGTTGCTAGTTGGATTGCATTCGCTGACATTGTAAATCAGGCTCGCCTTCCTGCCCCTGCCCCGGACGTCAAGGTCCTCGTCTGCGGACCTCCTCCTATGGTTTCCGCCATGAAGAAGGCCACCGAGAGTCTGGGCTACCAGAAAGCCAAGCCCGTGAGCCGTCTGGAAGATCAGGTCTTCTGCTTCTGATCGGCGGCGTTAAATACAATAGACCATTCCTCCGGTCATACATGTACAGCGGTGGAAATTTAAGCGCACAGATCCGGAAATTGCATTGGCATGGTGGGAGATATGCTCTAATGACATAGAGATTCTAAGCGTTGGGGTGTCATACACGATAAACGAGGGTATTCCTTCAAAATTCCCTGGATTCAGTCTAGAAGTCGTGCTTCGCAGCGAAGTTTTAGACGCCAATTTACGAAGTTCTAGATGTGGGATATGGCATCGATGAGTTGGACGTACGTTTTGGGCTTCATTGTTTCAGAGTCTCCATGCATGTCTCCATGCCCATAAACTGGGTTGGGCATTCAGTCTTATTCGAGGTGTATGTGCCAATTTCCTTGTTGTCCGGAAACGTTGCGTATCATACTGGATTGACAACGTCCGCAAAAGGTCATGGTGTAAAACACATGCCTCCAATCCTAATGGTCAACATACTCCTAGGGTTTAGTTCGAAACGGAACAGTAGGCAGAGGGACAGTACTATAGTATGTCTCCACTAACATTGGTTTCTGCGAGTGTTGAGGGCCCCTGCTCCACGGAGATATCGACAATGTATCTCGCGAAATCTCTCGCAGCATTCGATGGCGAAACAAGCCAATACCTTGCACGCTACGGAGGCGTTTAAAGTAGTCGTCCTCGATACCGGTATTGTGCACTCTGCTTGCCTAATCGTTTGTTCTCGGTCTCGCCACAATGGCCATTGTTTGCTAATGCCAAAACCCACAGTCCGGTAATCCGGACATTTTCACCTGCGGTATCACTCACCCGTGCATATCGATTCTTTTCCACGTGTACTGGAATCCTGAGCCTCGGTTTCTTGGGAGTGACAGCAAACACCCCACCAGTGCATTGGAGTCGCCGAGTAGTCGATCCGGGATCGAAAGCTAGGAATAGAACATTTCTGCCGGCGAGAATTCTTGCAGGAGCAGCTGCCCAAGCGTCCAATCCTGTAAACGACCAGCACGGAGAAGAATGACGATCATCGCATCAGCATTTCATAATTACCCAGGAAGATCGACAACATCGGGCACGATTGACGAGATCTAAGGCCCCAACTACCAATAGGCAACAGTCCAAGAGAATGAGTAAAGGGGAAATCGCCACTTAAAAGGAATATCGACAACTGAAGTAAGTACTTGGGTTTGGTAATATAAGAACGCCACGCTCGAAAAACATAACCAGACATTATCAATTGATGACTGGGTGGTGGCAAGGGAGCGCCCTGTGGGATTAGCGCACTCTCCAGTATATCAGGGCTGGGTAGATACGCGAACTGCCAACTACCTGGGATAAAGCATAAAAATACGCTGATCGGGCATTGATTCTGTCCGAGTTCATGCCGATGCTTGCCCAAGCCTTGCCTGTTGGTCTGGTTGCTTGGCTCGAGGAGATGTTTCTGCCCATTGCAGGTGAATACAGTGTACATGCAACGTGGAATAAGTAATTCAGACCGAAACGCCGGATTTATACGATGATTAATTCCCTGGGCATCGACACCGGTTAAACACACAACGACGTGGTGGCGTTTATAAAGTCTCGGCCGGTCAAAGAGTCCAGCTTCGCCGTGGCGGGCCGTTTTCCATGTCATCATCCGATTCTTCCCCAATTCTCCCCCACCCGCCGGTCAAGGAACTCAACTCTCTTCAAAACCTTTCCACCAGTCCACCACATAGTTATCCGACCTTGCATGAAAAAAGCATCGAGTTTCCATTCCTAGACAGCCTCATCCTTCCAATCTCCATCTTCGCTGCATTTTATCACAATATTTGGTACACCTTTCCGCTACACCCTCCCACCAGGTCCCTTCTCATTCGTCCCTTCGGTTCGCCCCTCTGCAAGGCTCTATTAGATCTTGGCCAACTTGGATTGACCCTGAGTTTGGTCCCTTACCTGCTCGCTATCGTCGTCATAGCCGGACATCAAACAGCACACTCGTGGTTGCAATTCGGGGTCTACTCCACTCACCGGGAGGCTCTGTTGACCAGTTGGCAGTTGACCGACCGACCTCATCGCAACCCTCCATTGTGGGATTGTGCACCCTCTCGACAGGTATGTATAGGCCGATATATCCCCTTCGTCGACCATCTCCCCTCCCTCAGAATCTGCAGCTCAACCCCTCATGACATACCTACCACTTGGAGACGTCGTTCAACTGACGCATCCACCATGACTACCAGCGTGGTACTACACGCCCGAGAGGGACTTTTTGGATATCCAGGCGGGAGGAATATATTCACTCCTGGCTGGGAGTTACCACCCCACACTTCCTGTCCGACGGTAAAGGGAACGCTCACAATGGACTCTCGTTACTATCGACCGCCGTCACCGCGACGACTTGTCGCTCCAGGCCGTGCCACCACGGGCAACTTTGACAGTCACGATGGATACCATACGATCGCTCGAAGCCCTCGGGAGTACACCCCACGATCAAGCGCGGAAAGAGTTGGCGCAACTGGCGGTGTGACCCCTCTATCATCCGAAACTTACGTCACGCCTTCCCATCGGTCAAGTGCTTATAACTATGCGGGACGTCCTCGACGAGACTCGGAGCAGACGCGAGGCAGTCGACCACAGGTGATTCAATCGTCTCGCAACCGGCCCCCGAGCCCCATCCACGGTTCGTATGAACGGGACAGCTACAGCCAACCCGGGTCCACAGCTCCCAGGAGAGACCACTCGAGGCTCGTGGACGAACGGGATCTCGAACGCCATGATTACCGCAGCCGCGAGCCTCGAGAGCGGGGCCGGTACCCGCCATCCAATCGTTCGCGCGAGGTCGACGAGGCGAGTTACTCGTACACTGACCCGGCTGGCATGTTCCGCGATACGGAACCATCATGGAGGCCGAGACGAGGTAGCCCGGAGGGTCGGAGAGAGCGGCCGATAAGTATGGCTGATGCGTATCCGGCGCCGCGATCGTCCGTTAGAGACTTAGGTCCGCCACCGTCGAGTCGGGGACTCGATAAGCTTAATGACGGGATCCATCGGACCGGCAGCCTTGCTGATCGGACAAAGCACGCACGTGACCTCGATCCTGAGTATTTATACCGTGACGGGGAAAGGGAATCGTTTGCTCCACCGCCCAGGGCAAGCACTGCCTATGTCCCTCAACAAATCATCCAACGACAGAATACATTTGAAGAGCCCCCCTATCCTCCATCGGACTACGAGTCCCGACGTGAACCCCGGCCAGTATCTCGCTATGTAGACGAGGCGATCCAGACCCGTGGATTCGGAATCCGCGCGGGCAGCCTCGACCGCCACAGCGCTGAGCGCGGGCGCAGCCTAGAACGAGAAACCACCTTCCCCGTCGAGGAACCCGCCATCGAGCAGCCTCAACTCCAGGATTTCATCCCCGATGCCGGGAAAGGCGCCCGGAGAGACTACGATCGCCGGGATCGCGGCCCGGATGACTATCGCGATAACGAACGCCATGAGCGGTCGAGCCTTCGCGATGGGGTGGAGAGGGGCCTTCCTGCCGTCGCGGCCGCCACCGCTGCCTACGGCGTGAGCGAGGCGATCGATCGCAAATTGAAAGATCATCAATATGACAGCCGCGACGAGCGACCTCGGGAGACTCGAGCGCTACCACGAGATGACCGCGATGACCGCGATGAGCGGCCACGTGAGATTCGACCGCCTCCACGAGTAGACCGTGACGAACGGCCACGGGAGATTCGACCACCGCCACGAGATGACCGCGATGAGCGGCTACGGGAGACTCGACCGCCACCCCGAGATGACCGTGACGAACGACTACGGGAAATTCGTCCACCGCCTCGAGATGACCGTGACGAACTACCGCGGGAGACTCGACCGCCACCACGAGACGATCGCGTGCGCGACGACCGGCCAAAAGAAGACCGATCCCGCCGTCCCAGACACGACAGCCCACCCGAAAACGAACCCCATGAGCGTCATATGGCCGCTGGTCTCGATGCCCACGACATTGACGAACGCCGCACCGAACGTAAAGACAAGCCCGCCCGCGAGCTCACCGCCGAAGAAGACTACCTTCAGCGCGTGGAACGCGAACGGGAGCTGACTCGTCAACGCGATACGCACCGTGACTCGGACGACTCGGACAGGGAAAGGGATCGGCGGCGGCGGGAGCGGGAGCGGGAGCGCGAACGGGATCGGGGCGGAGATCGGGACCGGGATCGAGATCGAGAGCGCGAACGCCACCGACGAAGTTCCGACTCCGACGACGCCAAACCCCGCATGCTCGAAGGCCCGCCCACGTCCCGCGAGCTGCGACCGCTCAGCCCCGGCCACACGGAAGGCTCACGAGATCCCTCGGAGACGCGGCTACGGATCGTGGAGCCGCCGAAGAACGACCGGGAGACGACCCCACCCCCTCGATCGATCCTGAAGGCGCCGACGCAGAAGTTCCCGGAGGACCCCAACCCAATCCGGGAGGGGGTGGCGCCACTGAAGGACGCGACGAAGGCGGGGGTGCCGGCGGGGGCGCGGTGGACGAAGATCGATCGGCGGCTGGTGAATCCGGAGGCGTTGGAGGAGTCGAAGGTACGGTATGAGGAGCGGCAGGACTGCGTGATTGTGTTGAAGGTGCTGTCGAAAGAGGAGATTCAGCATTTGGCGAATCGGACGAAGGAACTGAGAGGTAGGCGTGGGATATTTCGTTCCCCTTTTACATCGTTTGAGTCGTTCTCTTCGTTTTCTTTTGATACTGCTGCGTCTGGTTCTTCTTCTTCCGCTTCTGGTTCTGTCGAGTCCAAGCACGTGGACGATGGGGATGACGAATCTCCACCACGCGCGTTATCTTCCCGCCCAACCGTCGAGATCAGTCCTCGACCGCGGCGGGAGGATGGATCGGACTCTCTTGTATGGACGGTGGAACTTGCGGAAGAACAAAATCAGCTTCCTTCTCGGTTGCAGATTGCTCGCGGTTTTCTCGGATCAACACTGACTGGATTTCCGGACGAAGAATCGAGAGACAGAGATAGACATCGTCATGATCGACGACATGAGAGGAAGGATCGAGATGAAGATTCTGATGAGAATGGGCGGGAGCGGGAGCGAGATAGGCATGAGTCGTCGAGGCATAAGTCCAAGGATGATCGGTGAACGGCGAGCGGGTGACGATCGACTAGGAGGTGGATGAGTGTTGAGCGTGGTGCAAGAGTTTTGTGAACATTGTCATTTATTTGAGCGTTTAGTATTTAGTACGATAGGAGACGCTAGCGTTCTGGATATGGAATGGGAACGATACCATCATGGTCGTAAGATAGGGAGTTAGAGACTTGGCGATATTTTGGTAGCAAAATGCGGTAATGTTTCGCTTAGTCTAAATATGTAGAAGAATTCAAGATATCAGACAACACTATTGGATCTACGGTTGGATCTGGGTCATAGATCCATCATATATTCCCGTGAGGATACTCTACATAGCATTTGAACTAACAGTCGCACATTTCGCTATATCATTAGGAATTGTGACCCCTCACCCATTTCTTGGTCCTTGAACGTTTGCTTTGTTCGATTGGTAAGTGATCATACATGTTGATATACATGATGCGGTTTAACCATTCCTACTTTGGCTCCAAACCAACGCTGTGCACCAGAATCTCATCCCCAAGCGCCATGACTCCTCGCAATGCATCTAATAATCTCGACGCATCCACCATCCAAGAGTAATCCCCTATTCTCTTAGAAACCCGGCGGATTCAACCTCTGGCTCACCCTCGTCCATTTCGGCAGCTCTGTTCAAATGTCAGCATAGCTCACTCCACACCTTCCCATTGACCACGATCCATATCTCAGCCAGGAGAACACTCACTATGAATTCCCTTCCTATATTTCTTCACCTTCTTATCGAACATGGTGTATTTATCCTTCGCCAACATCTCCGCCTCCGTCGGCATCTCCTCCTTCCATCGCTCGACCGCGGCAACGGGCTTGCCCAGCTTCTGCAGCGCGGCGTCGACGGTGGCAACGACCTTGTCGACGTGCTTCAGGCGTTGGCGATGGCGGTATTTTTGCGGGCGGGAGAGACGGTAGGGGATTTTCCTGGGATGGGTTAGTGGTTGATATGGGAGTCTGTGGTGGATGGATGAATGCGATGAGGGGGAAAGAGGTGGTGTCGGGGGTGGGAATGGGAATTTACCAAAGGAGACCTCCAAAAAGGGGCCCTGATGGACGGAACGCGCCGAACATGGTGAGTTGGATGGGATATGGGTTGCGGCGTGCAGCAATTGAAGATTCGTGATGCGGAACAGCGGAAGATATAAAGTTGAATTCGGAGGCTTGGAATTGGTGCGGAACTTCCCGTGTCTATTGTGGAGACGTGAACAACAACACCAACGCCCATTTGATATCAACTTGATATCCTCCAACCATCGCACCTAAATCGCATAGCATTAGTGCTAGGGCGGACAGTGATCATGTCCTATTACTTTGCCATTATTGGCACCAAAGACAATCCCCTTTTCGAACACGAGTTCGGAACCTCGAGACAAGGCGGTGACGGCGTTGCGCGATTCCGTGAAGATGCGAGGCATATGAACCAGTTCATCGTGCACAGTAGTCTAGATATCGTAGAAGAGGTGCAGTGGGGAGGCGGGCAGATGTATGACTCCCTATTCCGATCCTTTACAAGCTGTCTCTTTGTTGGAACGAACCCGTCGTCACCATAGATCTGACCTGACGTCCTATAGGTATCTCAAACACGTCGACTCTTTCCGCAACTCCCACGTCTTCTCCTTCATCACCGGCGGCAACGTCAAATTCATGCTCCTCGTCGCTCCCGACACGCATAACGCGTCGCGCGCCTCGTCCGCATCGACAGCGCGAAGCTCGACCTATGGCCAGGTCAGCACGTACAACCCGACCGCTCCGTCCACCGAAGAACCCATCCGGAACTTCTTCATTGAGGTGTACGACGCTTGGTTGAAGACGATCATGAGTCCGTTTTACCAGGTCAATATGCCTGTGAAGAGTCCGGTGTTTCGGGGACGGGTTGCCGGGGCAGCGAAGAAGTATTTGTGATGGGTGGATGGCTAGCAATAGGTCCAGCTTTGATTTGTCTTGCGTTAAGTTCCCGCGAGCCGGTCGCTGCTGGCGATATTACACCCTTTTCCAAAAAACTTGAGTTGGCCTTAGCAATCCGACTTATGACACGCTTCCGGGAGGCACAGGGCTGTGGTAAGACCAAAGCCTTTTTTGGCCCTCCATTCAACACTATACTAACACTGGCACTCTTAGACGACCAAAACGTGGTGGCTAGGTTGTTCATACATTCCCCCGGGGTAATATGAGAACAGACATCCCGTTTAATGGGCTCTGCAATAGCTAAGAACCCCTGCGCCAGTTCTTGGAAGCGCCGATGCGTCAGGATGAAATTCGAATGATGCGGGTTCAGGCCATTGTCCTAGCCACTACCGATGATACCAGAATTAACTCAAGTCATCAATTACCTCTGTGGTTATTATGCTTGATGCGATGCGGTGTCAATTACCCCTCTAAACCGCATATCGTGGGACAACAGCCAAGTTGCTACCATAGCCGGCCACCGGGCTAATAACGAACTGGATACATCCTTTTCGATGCTAGCAGGACGAGATTTATGGCCGTGGTAAGACAGCTCTTCCACCTACTTCATCGAATAAGATCTCGCACTCCGACCTGAACCATCATAGCTTCACTCCTCTGCATTTTATTACATCATACAAGATGTCATCATTAATGGCCGTACGAGCAATCCAGGGTGATGTAGCTTGTAATTCTTAAGCAATACCAGCGGCTATTATTCCTGACGAATACTGGTGTCGACCGAGCCTAAGCGCCTAACACCTGCAATCTCGCCAAGTGTTTTCCGTACCTTCTCTACCCCAGCAGCGTAGACGAGAACACTGTACACGCCCACGCCTTCTTTGTTAAAAAACTCCACGCAATTGGTATCGAGCAGGGAGCTGTGTATGGACAAATAATCCAAGTCCAATTCACGTAGGGTCTTGATCACGTCGCCCCAGGGGTTGATTTCATCCTTAGCATCTCCAGCGGGGTAGGTGGAGAGAATTCGGAAAAAGATTAGAGTGAGCGACCGAAGAGTCTTTTTATGGCTTCGGAGGAAGGCCACGAAGGGGTCCAGGTTGGCTGAACACTCTGTCAAGCAGAGGGATTTCAGTGGAGGCAGCTCGGAACTGTGTTCGGCCAGACGGAGTAGCGTGCCATCGCAGATCTCCTTTCCGGAAAAGCCAAGCGATAATTCCGTCAAATTCGGCGCCAGATCGATAAGTTGCGTAGGCAGTGAGGACGGTTGGTAGGGCTTCGGGCTCGTTATTATGGCCTTCAGGTCCAGCGACAGCTTTTGCAGATTCCGAAACTGTTCCGATAGGCCGAGGGGGATGCTACCAATGATCGAATCATGATCGACATAGAAATTATTGTAATAATCACCCCTCTCAAAATCGATTGAGAATGCATGAAGCTCCACAGCGCTTTTTGAAACGGCACTCAAAACTACATAGAGGGTGTAATCGACCACCGAAGATCGGTCAAGGTACGGGCTTTTAAACGGGTCGTAACGCCATCCACCTTTGCCATATTCGCGATCTAGGGCCTGCGTAAATCGGTTCACTCCCCATGGAGCTGGCTTCCATCGCATTGCGGCTGGTCCAACAATACTGACAGATCTGCAATTGCGAAGGTTCAGCATTGCTTTGTCCAGCAGCAAAGCGACATCGTCAGGGATTTTTGGTTTTAGTTCACGTGGCCATATTCCAGGGTTGAGCGGAAGGGTGGCCACCTTGTCAAGGGCGATTCGACGGAGCGAAATATCCAGACTGGAAACACAGGGTCCAAGAATGGGGTGTTGTGAGATATCAACGAGGCATTGCAAGCTGTCCTCGCCTAGGAAATGGGATCTTTTTTGGAAGTACCGATTGATGAAGAGAGGCCAACTTGCATCTCGGAGGCTCCGGCACGACAAGCGAGTTGCGAACAGAGTGTCGACGGATTCATCGAGAAGGCCAGCCCAGTCAACGACTATGATCAGCAGTTCGGATGGAAGGGACAATAGAGAAACCACTGTTGATTGTCTTGAGTCCCTACTGGATAGCCTCTTTGATAACCTAGCAAGCATCTTTGACCGTCTGGAACGCATGTTTGATTCTCTAGTATTGATGTTAGTCTCATCCGAAATATATCAATATATTAACCAGACACAAGCCAGAGATTGACTGACAACTAATCGTCTCCTGCGTAGAGGCTAGTCTCAAATATGAGATCATCTATGGTCTAGAAGGCAGGAGAAAGGATGAGAAGCTCATCATCTAGACCGGTAGGTAACTCTCTTGGTCTTGAATGAAATCAATCACCTTGTGCTCATTCAGACGTTGAAGTGTCAAATAAGATGGTCCACGACGTGTAGCAAGAGTAGCTTCAGTGATTGGGCAGTTAAGGTAGGTATGTTCCGCACTGTCGCTTCAAGTAATACAAATATTCAACCTGAGCTAAAACAGGAAACGATCACGGTGAGCATAGCGCTCCAATTCAGTTCTGACTATTTGTTCAATTAGCTTCGACGAAGGGTGTGAGGAGTTGACATCGAGGTTGAACCGAATACGAACGAGGCGGAGCTTCGAAATGAGACATGGTACCGTATCACGTGGCAACTCCTGAATTGACCCCTTTTGCTGATATTCCATCTTCAGGGTCAAGGAAGAACGCCTACCAAAGTCCAAAGCAGCGCTATCTAGAAGCTGAGATTTCTCGGCACCACTAGGAACATTATGGGGATGGCGGCAGTACCTTAGCTTCAGCACTTTCGTCATGTATGCGCATTCCGGCGATAAAGTATTCATTAAGTATTGTGTACTGTGTCACAGAATATCTGTGTTTCTTGGCGTTTCCCCACAGCTTCATTCCGTATTCGATTCTATCCCTATTCTTTCCCTTCTTAGGGAAAAGATCACCATTGTAAACCATATAAAATAGCTGCAGGAACAGCCTGTTTTCGTAGGATCCGGCTCTTCAGGATCAAGGTTAATCTATCTACGCTCTTTTGGAATCTAACGGTGTTTTCCCACTGTGTCGCTGCATTAATCACCTGATTGAGCGAAACCGCTATTTATCTCACATACTGCGGCCGATTCATTTAATCGTAGAATATATTCCTGCGGGATCAGTATCTTCCAGCTAGTACAAAGTACCTTAAGTAAGAGGACTTACCACGTAACCGCAATTCTGAGAGCTAAATATCTTATTAGGATCTACCCTATCGTATACTCTGAGGGGTGGGAGAAATTAATGATTCTTTCCCTTTGACCTCCTGCTCCAGTGTGCGGAAAACGATTCATCAACTTGCTAAGCTGGAAGAAGTATAAAGGGGACGAGGTTCGACATCTCGAGGGTACGCTTTAAGGTCATCAATTTTTCCACCCATCCGGAAGCACTCAGATGGCAACGCTTCATTTGGTGATGATCCGCGACTAACAGTCCGAAGGAATTCAGACCTCTATACACGTCAACCAGCATGGCGACCCTATTATCCCTGCCACCAGAACTGTTTTTAGAGTTCTTCGAACACATCGACTGGTCCGACACGCCGTCGTCGCTTCTATCGATTCGGGCATCTTGCCGTGCTCTGCGAGACGTCAGCTGGGACGCCTTCGCAGATAATTACTTCAAGCATCGAACCCATCTCGTGAACGAGGACAGCATTCAATGCTTGATTGATATATCTAAGCATCCTCACCTATGTGAGGCTGTTGAATCGCTCTCTTTTCCCATTACTCGAATCGTCGCCCGGAAGAAAGATCGCGTAGAGGGGATGTATGCAAATCAAAAATTTCGAAGGTCTTGCGGCAAGGACACAATGCTCTTATCCTATGCCATGTCCAATCTTCCGAGCGTGACAGAAATTTTCATTATCGCAGAAGAGGAAAATACTGAAGAGGAGGACGCCGAAGAGGAAGACACCGAAGAGGAAGAAGCAGAAGAGGAAGAAACTGGGGATAAAGAAACTGAGGAGGAACTCGAAAATAAAGAAGCTGAAGAGTTACGACGTCGTGAAAATAGGAGATCTGGTGGCAAACATCGACTCGCCCTAGCGTTGAAAGAAGACAACCTGAAGTTCAACACCGTGTATAGGCTCTCAGACGCACCAGCAAAAGAGGGGGATAATCACTGGGCATACACTTTTAATGTTATCAGCTCGGCGCTCAGCCTGAACGCAATTGAGCTTCATACATTCAACATTTTTATATTCAACAAAGCCGAAGCTGGTCTCCCCATCGACTGTTTAAAACTTCCTCCTGACATACAGACAGGCTTATCAGGGGCATTCTTCGAATTGGGGTCCTTGAATTTGGACCTGGATAATCTGGGCGGTAACGGGTTTTACAACAGCTACCCGATTCTGACCAATTTTGACCTTTTAACTCAATTCGTCGGACTTGCACCACGCCTCAAGACATTATGCCTCCGCTTCCAGACACACCACGGAGACTGTGCCAGCCTTTTTTCTCACATGGCTGAGCACCTGCACCTGCCCGAACTGATCTCTCTCGAGTTGGGAAAGTTCTCTGGCTCGACGGACAGTCTGCTGAAATTTCTTCACAAACACAAGGGTGTCCTGAAGGAGGTGGCATTGAATGAATTCAACATTCTTGAAGAACAAGTCGACGACACTTTTCACAGTACAGGCGGCTGGATGTCGGTTGTACGGGACCTTGAGGAGTTCGGCGTGAGTTTCCTCATACTTAAAGACTGCTTGGTAAATGCCCAGTTTATTCTGTTTAAGCAAGAGGATGGCACGGTTGAGGAGTCGTTCGCGTTAGAATCATATACAGATGCTTTGAAACAGAGCCCAGAAGGTTATCGAAGGAGGCTCAAGGCTATTCAAGGGACACGAACCGAGCCCAACTTCCACTATTGATTAGTAGGATTTGCATCCATAGCTTTGCAATTCAAAGTGTACAATCACAGTACTTTGCACGCCTTCAGGAAAGCTTTCCCGCATATCCATACTATCAAAGCCTGGAATAACAAAGCTTCATCCTCATCCGTCCAGCGAGGGCAAAAATTTAGTCTGAGGCATAAATATTCCCCTGCTGACAAGGATATGCGAAAAACGCATAGTCACGCGATGGTAACCCTTATTCATCTCGTTTGCCTATGGTTCTCCATCTCTGGCTTTAGGGCATCGGATTATGGCGAATGACCCATCCGAAAAGGGCGGTGGGCGTGCGAAAGCTGCGAAGGACTTAGCCCCCGCAAGAGACAGCGACGTCAGTAGAAGATAGGCTTAATAATGAGAAGTAGCTATAAAGGTTCAAAGGCCGGTAGCTGGAAGGCTTCCTGCAATAACCCTTGGTAGTAACAACGAGGCCTCGCGAGGTCTTAAAAGGAGCTTCCGAAGATAATATCGTGACAGGAGCTACAACAACTTTTTGAAGAAGATGAAGCCGTCTGATGAGCATGATCAGGATACCCAGTTTATGCAATTTTACAACGCTAGTAAGAATTGGGCTGGCGCTGGGGACAAATCTCCTTTTGAGGACAAATCTCACCAGCCATCCTCAGAATCGGGTGGGAAAATTTCAGCAGTCTTTGGAGAATACTGTCACGATTCGCTTTCAGAGGCGGGCACCCTATCACCCATTTTGGGCACCCCCCCCCACCCATTGTGGGCAGCCCCATCACCCGTTTTGGGCACCCGACCACCCATTGTGGGCACCTACGACTACCCGCTTTAGGCAGACCCTATCCCCCGTTTTGGCTTAGCCGCTCGTTGCGGTGGGACAGAGCCACAGAGTGGTCGAGAGCCGTGTAAGCGGGAAAGTGTGCCCAAAAGTCGTGGTACGGGGTGCCCAAAATGGGTAATAGGGTGCCCGCGCCATAGGAATGTCGTCAAAATAAGTCACGTGCTCTATGACCGCTTCTAAATGGACCAATCAGAGCGCAGAAATTTGAAATCACGTGCAAAGGGTGTAGGATGAGCCTTTGGAGGGGTGTAGGTGGATCATTTCCCCTAAACTGTCTCACATACAACGAAATTACACCCTACCAAGAGTACAATTAACCATTTTAGATAGAGCTCGAGGTGAATGCCCTAAAACCTTTCCCGTTTGACCCTTGATTAATTGATCTGTCGCCCTAAAGGGTACTCGTTCTCGATAATTTAATTTTACACCCGAAGCGCAAGGCTATAACCACCAAATATAATAGAATCAAGATCAAGCTACTGAGGCGACAGTCAATTTTGTCGGCATTTTCTCGTTTAGAACTATTACAGCAATGGCGAACAATTGTAGACCTTTAAAACCACAGTCCCTCGCACATGATTTCGATTTAGAATTCTAGTACTCGCAGACTAACCTTCATCCAGATGATGAAGTGGTATTTCTCGTTACTCCTGCTGCAAGCAGGCATAAACACTACGGTAGCAACTCCGCAGGGTGGTTACGCTGGATGTCCTCCGCAAAGTGGCAGTCAGCGACCTCCGTTATCTCGGCCTCGGAATTGCCCTGACTGGTCATCAGTGCCTCTAACCAAAGGCACTTTGAAAGACAACGACTGTTTAGTTGGGGGGATTATGGGTGTACGTTCAATGCTTCAGCAACCGCTAATCCACTACCGCTGAACTTAACCATGAAAAGGGCGACTTTTGGAATCCATGCTACGCACCGGATATGAGCTCTGCATTAGGATCACTCTCTGCATTAGGCAGATCCGAAGCGGATTGGAGTGGAGGGTCCGGAATATACAATGCCCAGTTCTTCACCGACCCTTCGCTCCCTAGGCATACCATCTATGCCCCGAAAGTCCCTGTTAAAGGGAAGAAACTTCCCCTGATTGTGTGGGGCAATGGTGCGTGCGGGACCGACGGCTCCGGATTCTCCAACTTCTTAACCGAGATTGCTTCCCATGGATTCATGGTCATTGCCAATGGAGCACCCAAGAAAAAATGGGGTGTCGGTACAGGCGGTGTCAACCTGGCTTCTACGCAAGGTGAAGAGACAAGAGCAGTTCAGCTAACTGAAGCGATTGACTGGGCTGAAAAGGGAGCTGCTGGTGAGAAATATGGAGAGGTTGATATGACCCGAGTAGCGGCGGCAGGCCAGAGTTGTGGCGGCGTGGAGGCGTACTCCGCAAGTGTCTACGAGTCGCGTGTCAAGGTTATTGGGATATACAACACTGGTGTCATTGACCCAGGGCGGCGATGGATGCTCAAAGACATCAAACAGCCGATCGGGTATTTCTACGGTGGAACGGCTGACTTCTCGCAAGAATATGTGAGTATCTTGTCTCGTTCCATTCTGACAGCATCAGATAACTGACATCGCGTAGATCGAACAAGATTATAAGGATATCCGACCAGATCTTCCTGCCATGATGTCCGTCGCAAATTCAGGAGGACATTTTGGTACCTATTTCGAGAAACAAGGAGGCGCATATGGCAGGATATCCGTGGCTTGGTGGAAATGGCAGCTGCTTGGAGATGAAGCATCGAAGGCAATGTTTTTGGATACGTCATCAGCACTGTATACTAGAGATGGGTGGAAGATAAATACTTCACACTGGAAAGATATAAAATAGGCAATTACAGAACTGGAAATCCCTCAAACAATCGTCAGTCCTTACCGATCTGGCCCCCGAGTGTGTAATTTGACTTCGGGGCAATCTAATTCTTTCGTTGGCAGCCATTCATTTACTACTAAGGTACATCAAAATGCGAATACTCCTTCTCGGACAGGATTGGCAAGGAGACTTAGAATACGATGCTAAAGTGAGAGATAGTCTTCAAGATGGTTGGGATTATGACCGCGAGAATATCTCGCTCATAGAGGCGCTGGAAGATTTCTTCTTTCTCCTCTCCCCTCTCTTTATGGTAGTTTAGATTCATGGAACTTGGTAATCGCAGACCTTGCGCATCCAGACAGTGTCAAGTTTACGGAAATCGAATTTATTTCTTTCCCAATCGTGTCAATAATGATGAAGTCCTTAAGCTAACTTTATTGCAGACTGATTGTACCGGCTTCGATCTGCCCATTCTCCCATTTCTCGATCAACTCGCCGCTCATGAGACCATGGACGTATGATTCACCAACAACTTTGTAGCCAGAATTCTCGTTCTTCCTACAGACTAGAGGCACATCTAACCCGAACAGAACAATTACTCGATCTCTTGTCTTGGCTTCCTTTGGAGCCAAACCAAAGTAACCTTCTTTTGTAATTAAAAAACTTCCTTCCTAGCGCATACTTCTCCATTCTTGGTTCTAGTGTTCCGGTCGGAACTGCGCTGACTGATTTCTTCAATTCTTGATCCGTAATCTCTTGCATTTCCGGTGTGCTTAGCAGTTGGTGGTTCACACCATAGAAAATCTCCATCGGTTTTGAGTACTCTCTATTTTTCAGGAGCGCCAGACTATCCTCTTGTGCTCGCACCTCCCAATACGGATCGGGTATGGTGCTAGGTAAATTGAAGGGGAGGTGATATAGGTCATAAGGCTGCTCTTGCCAAAGTGATCCCAAGTCGTTGAATTGTTTCTTGTGTAAATCCACGTCTTCCGCAGTCCATTCTTTAGGGAGTAGATTCTGGTGCATCTCAACACCTGGCATATCCGACTGGATTTCTATATCAGACCCAAGTTTGGACCGAATGTATTCCGTCAGCGCTATGCTGCTCCTACGGCTGAAATCTGCCACTGCTAGTCGACCAGTCGAAGTCACAGTCACTCGTGGTTCTGTGGGCAGCCAATGCTCGGGCACTTCGGGTAGCCAGTGCTCGAATCGCATGAGAGGTCTCATATCCTCCATCTTCCCAAAATCACCTCGCCGCTCGGTTTGCCCAGCAAACATAGTTAACCAGAATGCTTCACACTTTCCATCAGGAGAGTAGTAAGGATTTTTAGTTGCCGGATTCTTGAGCGCCATTTCCTTACACCTTCCAACACTGACCATGAATCGGGTGGCATCTTGCCAATCAGCATCGACACTGGCTGGGAAGACATCACAAACTTCATCAATGATATCCCATAGGAATCCCTGCGCTGCAAGCGTTCTTGAGTCAAGGTTTTGGACCAGTGGCTTAGTTTGCGCTGCTGCCATGAACGACTGCTCCGCTGGTGACAAAGCGTCCAATACAGCCAGGTTCTCCCGTCTTTGGGTTGCTCGTTCTCCTAATCTTAAGATCGCTGAAGCAACACCTTCCTCTCCTTGCTTTGATGCATCCTTATCTTCATATTCCCGGAAACGCTTTCCATACAAGTCTTCGCTGGCATCAAAACACAGAAGTGATTTAGAAGCAATTAACTTTTTCGCAAGATCCTGCGCCTCTGGTCCTAACCCTTCCATTGCTTTCGGCAGTCTATCATTTGACCCTACCATACGAATACCACCAGATGCAAGTCTGAGTTCCTTGAATCGGCGGATTTCTTCGCTCTCTCTTTCTTGATCGTTTCCGAAAAAGCCCGGGACTCGCAGCTGCCGAATGCCGCGCATCTCCATATTCTTGTCTTTATCATCAGGGTCTTTGAACGACTGAGTCCACCATGGTGCATTTGGTCTGAAAGTGGAGCATTTGCTTGGTAAGGGCAAAGCCGAAGAGGAGAACGACCAATCTGGAACCCACAAAGGCAGCCCTTTAATCAAGTGGCCATGGCATTGGCGAAGAATGCTTAACTTAGAACCGCCCTGGAGCATGTATAAGGCGAAGGAAGTAAAAACATCTTCTACAGTGGCGGTATAAGTAGGCGATATTTCTGTGAATTGTCGGCCGGCCTCCCTAAAGAGCATCCCTAGCAGGGCGTATATCTTATCTCGCGGATCAGTGGATCGAAATCCTCGAAAGCGAGAAACAAGTTCCAGGATTGCCTCCCGGCTAGCGGCCCCGGCGGCAGCGGTGACCCGACTCCCGGCTTGATCACGAAGGCTTTCTAGAACCAGGATGTTATCGATCGCGGGAAAATATTGTCTCATATCATCCTTGTGTGACTGCATCCGTACCGCAGCGATTGTTACATGCAGCCATGGAATATTCATGCTCCCGCACCACACTCTAGCTTCCCCCAATTTGCGCCCCGCTGCACCAAAAAGAACTTCTTGTAAGATCCATACTCTTGACCACCATGGACGACTCAAGAGGAGTTCTAGCGCTTTCAAAGTCCTCCCGCTGAGAATAGGCATTTTATCGTACGGCGAGCCCGAACCTAAGTTCCATAATTCATCCATTGCCATATCACTATCGTCTTGCTCAGGTCCCAGCCAAATGTTGAGTAGAGGTGACGCGGCATAGATCATTCCCATCATAGGTATTTGTCGTTCTTTTTCCTTCAAGTTTGCTTGATTAATACAGATCGCGTCTACCCAGAGCGTAATGTTGTTTTTCGAGTCTCGACGACGACGTAGGAATGCTGCTAGATTTGGTGTAACCAGGCGGCGAAACCCATTGACCCGAATCCCTTCTGTCCCAACTAGACTATCCCAGGTGTATGAGACGCTTTCCCAGATACGAGAAAAAAGGTCGGGAGCTAGTGGGCAGCACTCCAGCTTGCATTCGATCCTGCCCGTTTGATCTGTAGCCGGTTCTAACACTAACATCCGAATTTCGAACGGGTTCAACGGCAGAGTTTCATATAAGTCGCCTTCGTTCCTGTGTTCTTGGTGTTGGTCCATATCTAAGGCAGCAAACCGAGTGGTCGGTCGTGTTGTCAGAGCGGACGTCAACAGTGTGGAATTTCTGAGATATCGAAGGACAAGCCTAATAGTGGGATCAATGTGATGGACGGTTTAATTTGTCTTGGGAGGCAGCAGGGTGATTTTGAATTGCAAGGTGGGGTGTCAGGTAAAGCGTTTGCTGTGGGACTCATACCTTTATACTTCAACGACCGGTCAACGGCAACCTACCTACTGCAAGGTTGAGCTGTTCGGACGAATGACAAGAGTGTAAGGTCACGAGACTGTTGTGGGCGTAGAGTGAGATGGTCACGAGTAGTAGACGAGTAATAGACGAGCCAAGTACGGAATAATCGAAACTCTTGCAAAATTTGTATGGACGCCAGATGATGAGATTTGGGAAAAATAACGAGATGGCGAATAACATCATACGGGGAAATTGGGTGGGATCCAGAAGTTGATGCAATATAGATAAAGGGTTGTTAAGCAGTCCTATGGCCATTAAATATCATATTTCTAACTGTTCATTCTGTAACTAGAGTTATAAAACTGTTTATCGCGTTATGAAGCAGAGGATCAATCTCCAGATCTGCCTCCATGCGAGTAAAGCGCTGGCGAGGTCGCGCCCATCAGCGTGAACCCTCCCTATACCAGAATTCAGCCTCTGTACAGCCATCGCCTATCGAGAAAACGATTGAAGAACGAATATCCATACTTGCAACGACACCAGAGAAAGAGTTATGCTCGGTACTGCAAGAGCTGGTCAAGGCCTGTCTGATACGAAAGAACATCAAATACCAGCATGATCTTATCTTCCATGGTTTGTAGCGACTCCTGGGTGGTCGGCTCCCACGTATCAACCGGGTTCGGGCCCTTCGACGAATTGATATTCACCATGGGGATACTATTGTCTCTGCTAAGACTGGTTTTGGGAAGAGCATTATCTTCCATGCTATCCCACTCTTTATTGGCAGAATTGTCATCCAGTTGATTCCTTTAAGCAAGCTTGAAGAGGAGCAGAAGAGATCAATTGAACAGTTACCGGAGGCCAGGGGGCACCATTGCCGCCTGAGTCCCAACTGAGATAAACACATATTATAATTACAAATTAGTATAACTATGTGCAGGGTTGGTGAAGAAGTGGATAGTTGAGACTTCGGTGGGGCGGACAAAAGGCATTCAGTTACCACTTCATGATGCCGATACCAGTCAGTTCTATGTGCTTTGCAACCTTAAATGAAATAGATGTAGCAGAAAGGCCCGGCAAGAGTGTCCATTACGCTCCGAATCGGCATACTTGGTCCATCCACGCCCACATCGAGTATGTCATCAAGCACTGCATCGCGACTTGGTGGCATGTTGAACATCGTAATGGTACCTGCAATCGCGTCTAGCCGTGTTTTCCGGTTTAAGTTTTGCCAAATCCACCATAGACGGTCGAGTTGAGCGTGATGCAGGAAGAAGTATGGATCGCTATCACTTGGTTAGAATGTTGCCGCACATTGTTAGGGTATTCTTACGCAGTGCTGGAAAAGATATCGCCACCAGGCTCACCATTGATAAGATAATGGCCGGCAGCGTGAACACCCAGGAAGTAATCGGGTCCAGGTATGAGATTTCCTTGCAACCGATCTTGAAACGTCGCAATAGTCGAGCTTTGTAATATAAGGCTGGCTACCCTCGATGCTGACAATCCTGCAGATGCTATGGAGTTCAAAAGTGATCGCCGAAGACATCTTGGATTGTACCCTAGGCCGTCCGGTTGTGGGTTTGGCATAGCGTCGTCAAAGACCGGGTCCACGGGACCAAGATTGACTGTTATGTTTCGGAACGGACCGGACGTTACGCAGCCACCTCCACCCTCCTGCGGGACGACCTGGAAGGGGGTAGAGACTGAAGGAAGGTAGATAGCACTAAGATTCTTAAAGTCACCATCGCCGCCTATGGAGGTGCTACTGCCGTCGAATAGAGGGGCAGCCTTTATGTTGCTCGCGTGCTTGGCCCAGTCGAAGTATGGAAGACTGCCAGTGTAGCCACATTCGTTTTGAAGTGCTTGCTCATATGACCATATGAAGTATCGATGCCAGGAGAGAAAGTTTCCCTGCAGAAAGTTAGCTATGCTATGCTTCACTAGATAGATACCTGGCCTACTGTGAAGTGAATTTGCGGAGTGTTAGCAATGTGGATCGCAACAAAGTCATCGTATCGGTTCCTTGCGCCAGGGGCGCCATTTTTCGAAGGTTTGTTGAACAAACAAAGCACGGAATCCAGATAGTGACGTTTCGCAGTGCTGGTTAGAGTATCCCATTCCATCCTCTTTGCGCTGTAGATAAATTTGCATGTATTGACTGAGGACGCTGCTCTGGCGACCACGGACCCGCCCCCCGTGGAGTTAGCAGCTTCGTCTAAGAGGATGTTTTCTATGGCTTGTTCAGCGAGGTCATCCATTGGCGTTGTATCATCTTGAGCCGAAGCGAACTGGATGCCCAGGAGGAAAAGGGGATATATAGAGAGTAGCCGCATCGTAAAACAAAGTGAACGAAAGTAAAAGAAAATACTGATCTTCAAAGAGAATGTCGGACAATAACGCAATAACTTTTCATGGGTAACTAATCTTTTATAAGGAAGTGGATTTAGAGCCAGGATGCTCGCATCATACCATGTTTAGCCCACATGGCTCAGCTAATTTCGTTGTATCATTGGCAGTCACTAGAGATGTTTTGCAACTACTTGTGCAAGGAATTAGCGCTGTGCAAGACCTATAAATCAACATCACAACATCCTAAAACAGTTTGGGGTGCAATTCTTCATCTCCACAGCTCGCTTATCACAAACAGAGACGAAAGGGAGTGGGGCCGAGGGAGGAGTTGATAGCAAGGATTCTACTCCTAACTAAGATTGACAGTCGCATCTCTAATACAACTCCATGGGTGTGGCGCCCAACCTGCGTAAACCTGACTGATGCTACAAGTTGCTCGAGCTGCCTCCTGCACTGGTTTTCCATGTGTCCTCAGCCTGGTCAAATCTAATTGTAAATTTGCGGGTTATCTCCTATGTAGCAGACTTATCTCACAATATCAGACCGTGCACAGAAAGGTGGCTTACGCACGTAGACTTAAGCCCCCTCCCGGGGAGACGAAATTGAGTTACCTTTCTTGGGATTCCCCTATGCACAGTTCCCACGATCTTAACCAGAACGCGGCGGAAAATTCACTAAAACAGACCTCTAGTAGTTGCTTAATTAGGAAAAGAGTATACTTTTTGGTATTATGCTGTTTTTGAGCGAATTGGGCCTGCCTGTGATGGTGGTGATGGTTGGGGGAATGCCAAGAGACGTAACACAATTTCGTCCCCCCCGGAGGCCCCTCTAACTGGTGCAACTTCTGTGAATTGCGTGGGTAAAAAAAAACAGAAAATTCAAATCGAAAGAGAATCTCTAGACGGCCGCACGAGGTACGGTATTTCGGGACTAAACTATTGTTCTTATGGACAATGATTACTAATATATGTCGATTAGGTGATTGCTACCGTTGGGAATCGGAAGTTATAACATTTTGAAAATCGACATACAATGATGCAAAACTTCCATTCAGATACTAAGAGAGCAAACCGGGCTACGACAACAGGAAGTATGGCCCGAAAGAAGCGATGGGGTGGTTCTAGGTGTTAAAGACAGCTGGATGGGCCATTATCTTCCCATTCTACTCCCAATCCAGAGGTTCCTGCTTCATAATTGGAGTTCCTGGACCTGATCAAGCTCGCGAGCGTGCCAGCCGACCAGCTTCCGTCTACAGTTCGGCAGCTTGTTAGAAAGTGTTCTGGCGGGGCCTCTGAACCTAACATAGAGCAGCTGAATACCCTCCTAGCCCTTCAAGGAGAGATCATTGAGCGTTTGCTTGCTCGTCTCCTTGAGAGCCGATTCCCGGATGCGGATCCTCCCCCAGTACCAAAGCCTCTACAGGTCGATGTACTCCGTCGACTTGCATTCGCAAAGAAGGATACGATTCTAGTCGTGAAGCCTGGCTTTGGAAAGAGTCCGATCTTCCAGGCGTCGGCTTTAACGACCGGGAGACTTTCAATCATCGTCGTTCCACTTCTTGGGTTAGCTGATTAGATATTCGACGACATCTCCTGTATTCATAGGAGCCAAATCTGCCACGGAGCAAGAGAGATGATACGAAACATGCTGTTCCATGAGGAGAAAGGAGGAAAGATGGCAACCGTGAAACGGGAAGTTAATAAGACAAACATTGAGTACGTAATGTAGTCATGTGTTGGTGCTATGACAAAACCTATCGTGGTCTCAAAGGGGACCAAGAGTCTGTACGGCAGTATCATTAAGATGATATGGCAGGGCAACTATACATACTGACATGGAGCAGGAGAGATGATGCCAAACATGTTATTCCATGAAGAGAAAGGAGGAAAGATGACAACCGTCAGGAAAGGGATCAATGGAGTAAATACACATCACGTGATGTGTCAAATGTTGATAGCTAAGCTGAGTGATGGTGTAAAAGACTTTGCCATGTACTATGGAGAGACTATAGACGATCTGTAGTGTCCAAAATTAAGCTAGAATAGCTACCTTTGTTGATATTGCCGGAATCATGAATTTTACTCACGCATCTCTGCAAGTTGCACTAGATGGTCCCAGATGTAGAACGAGCGTAGACGCCACCAGGGCCGCGTTTTATCCCGATTGGGGATAGCCCCGCCAGTGGCGGATTATGGATATCGAAAAAAGTATTCAAGCTATACTGGAAGAATGTGACGCTTCGAATAGCACCCTGGGATACCTATGTCCCTTAAAGTATAGAGTCGATCTCTATTGCGTACGGATGTCTGGGAACTCGCTCAAACTTGGACACCTCCCCAAGCTTGGGTACTGTGGGTACTACCCCGCCCACGCTTGCGCACCCCATTCCCAAGTTTGGGTGCTAGTACGCCCACGCCTGCGCAGTGCGCCAGTGCCCACCCCCTCCCAAGCTAAGGCGCCTCATAAGTTTTGGCTCTTACGACCTCCTTACAAGGCATATTTATGATTAATTAGATCTCGGGTGACAAATTTGCCGTTTATATCTTCTACTTGTTTCTGCATCCGACTTTATTTTGCGAACATATACAGCGTTCATGTCTTCACAGAAAAGCTTAATTTTGATACCAGACGGATTCGCCAGTACGCCACTTCGTGGCGCCCTAATCTTGATTAGTCTCTAGCGCCACCCGTGGCTTCTGGCGGCCCGTCTGGCCGAGCGAGATAGTTTGCGGGCGCCGCCATCGCTGTTCGGACCGCATGCACTACGTACTGTAGTGCGCACTAGGCTAGGATCCTTCCCAGTTCCCACCCAAACAGAGATGCACCCGATCTAAGTTTTTGGTAAATTCATGAATACCCTAGGACGCTGGAGAAGCATTATTGTTCTATACGACCTGAAATTCCAGTTAGCAAGGAATATACGCGCAAACGGTCGTTTTCCTTTTTTCCTTTTATTTAAATTGCTGGCGTTGTGCCCCATCTTTCCTGTGAATCTTTGGGCCTTTTAAGATAGAGTATAGCGGCCTAGATTTTTGGCCCATCATTAGTGTATTTCTCTTTTGCGTCTACCTCGCAAGTCAATATGGCGGACTCTGGAATCCCGTTCACTTTACTCCCAGATGAGTCCAAGAGAGGACGTCTGTTGGCCACCGCGACTCCTCTTTTTGCTATCGCGTTACTTACGTATATTGGGCGTATGTACACTCGATTACATCCGGTAGTGACCCTTCGATGGGACGATTTCGTCATGTCGCTATCGGTAGTAAGTCCAACTACTCCCATGATCAGACGGAGCATTATAGGCTCGTGCTAATATTTTGTAGGTTCTCACCATCATCCATTATGGTTTGATAGTTCATGCTACTAACCTTGGCGCTGGACGACATTTCTACTACCTGCAGCTGCCGCAACTGGACGCTGCGGGGTGCATCCTGTTTATCATGCAGATGATTTGGATATGGTGCATCACGTTTGTGAAGTTCTCTGTTGCTCTCATGTTATACCGTACCCGAGAGGACAGGCCGTGGCGACTCTGGCTGTCGGGGTTCATGGGCTTGCTTGTCGCTATAGGCATTGTAGTAAGTGCTCTACAACTGGGCCAGTGCAGGCCTATACGCGCCTTTTGGAATCCATTCGTACCAGGAGCAAAGTGCTGGTCCAAAACTTTTGCTACAAATGTGCTCCACGGTGCCTCTGGTAAGTCAAATCCCTCCCTATACGTTGAATGGCAATGATCAGGGTAACTAATAAGGAAGTGCAGCGTTCTTCCTGGCAACCGACCTCGTCTTATCGCTGTTACCCTTGACATTTATTTTGAAGCTTCGCCGACCAAGACGTGACAAAATCGTCATTGGCTGCCTTATGGGCCTCGGTCTCATCGCCTCAGCAGCGTCCTTGGTCAAAATACTTCGCACCAATATAATGGCCACATCCCAGGACCCGATATGGGACCTTCCCGACCTCGCACTATGGGCATGGATTGAGCTATATCTCGGCATAATGGCAGCCTGCATACCATGCCTGAAGGCACCCTTCGAAAAGTTGCTGAAGAAGACGGGCCTCCTTACCACGGGAGACAGGAGTCAGCAGAGCACAAGAACTGGTAACCAATCCAAGGGATATGTTTCTGTGGGCCCAATCGAAAGCGGTTTGGGCCGGGGGAAGGATACGGAATTGGGGACAATTGTAAAACAACACGAGGTGTACATTGAAGAATACAGTCAAAAGGATGCGAACTATCCACCGAGGGGCGTGTACCGCCACAATGGCATGGACAGCAGATGGTAAATTCGCACCAAAACGTCAATTGGCTAAAACTTGCACGAATTTGTAGATTCTAAAGTATCTTCCAGCTGGAACTAAGTTAGGTTTAGAATACCAAGAAATATCTCTTAAGACTATCGTCCAGAGCGGCATCCTCGTCCGAGTGATTGAGAGAAATTTTGAGATACCTTGTCGCTGATCTCAACGCCAGCTTCGGTACAATCGTCGATTGCGCTCTTGAAATCGACGAGCATATCTTCTGGTAACTTCGCGGTATCGTAGGCGAGGTCGTGGAAGCGTTGACGCGCTGCATGTTCCTTAAACACGCCCCCGAGCCGATATTGCTTATCCAGAGCATTACACAGGACCTGAAGCCGAACCTTGAGGACCACTGAGTGTCGTATGACGTATCCGACGCGTACGGCGTCCGTACTCGATACTGATTCGTCTCTCTCTGGCTTCTCAACAAAGCCCTCCAGTCCTTGAATTGTGAGCAATTCCACGATAGACCTGCGCTATTCCGTATAATGAGCGCCAGAGGGCTGAAGCTACTCTTCTTTGGGCGAGATATTGATGAGGTTCTTCTTGGAATCCATCGATAGTACGGTTATCAGCGAGTCGGCAAAGCCGGGCTTATCATAGTCTGTTGAACTGAGAGTGCCGCAAGAAGTGCTCAAAGTTCTCTATGGTCCCCTCGATTTCCGGACGGATGGTCCCCATACCGACGAAGTTACCCTCGCTAGGGAGTCGAAGGCCTTAAGTCCCCTCTATGTTGCCCGGAAGATATGATCCTTCCATAAGAGGGAAGGGTCAAGCCAGACTCCCAGTACCCGGAGGGATGTAACCAATTCAGTTTGGTGTCCTTATATCTAGGTCGTAGACCGGAGATCAGCGGAAAGATTGCGTTTCTTAGTAAAGTGGATAATCTAGTACTTATCCGGGGCAAATTTAGCCCCGAACCGTGACGCCCATTCCAGGCAAGTATCGTGGGCCGCAGTTAGTCGTTGGCAGTTAGCTGCTGCCGTATCTCCCCAGGTGACAAGTGTAGTATCATCAACGAACCCGAACCCGAGCACGTTACCCTGAACATCCTTAAACTGATGCAGCAGGTCAGATATGAATAGGATAAACAGCGCGGGTGATAGGGTAGAGCCTTGCGGGATCCCTGTCTCCGTGTCGAACCAGCGGCTCTTAAAGTCCGAGAAGAGAATCTTTGTTCGCCGTCCGGTTAAGAAAGATGCGATCATCTGGACAATCCATTTGGGGTATCCCATCCGACGAAGGACCCAGAGCAGCCGGGGGTGAGAGACGTTATCAAAAGCTCCAGCAAGGTCAAGCCCAAGTACAGAGACCACAGACATCTTTGCGTGCTACGCCGTCTGTATAGTCCCGGTAAGGAGTTCTAGGGCGGAGAGAGTGGATCTCTCCTTTCGAGCTCCCATTTGGTTCCAGGGAATCAGATCTCGTGTTTCCGCTTCAGTGATCAGTCGATCTGCGAGGATTTTATCGATTAGCTTTGTAACCGTGTTTTTAAGAGCAATAGGGCGGTAGCTGCTTGGAAGTGAGTAGTCCTTTTTCTTGTCCTTCCTTAGTACCACCGTGGTAGATTCCTTTAGAACTGCTGGCAGCTTCCCGCTTCGGAAGAGGGGGGTGACCGTCCGGGTTAGGTCTACGGCTAGGATATCAGAGAGGGCTTTCAGTACCTCGTTCGGGATCATATCAGGCCCGGGGGCCTTCTGGTTCGGTAGCCGGCGGATAATCCGGGTGATCTCATCTGGGGTGACCTCTTGCCCGATATCGAATCGTGGAAACTGTTCGTTGGTTATGTCTTGGAGGTCAGCGGCACCGCTCCGTGGGAAGAACTTTGTAGCAAGGATCTCTGCTTTCCCTTGGTTGTCTCCCGTCGGGGGATCATTCTCCGTGCGCCTAAGTGGTGGGATAGCTGTAAGCCCACCGGGTTGCCCAGCGGTCTTCTGGCTCTACTTATTCAGTCTCCAGAGCCCTCGGTTGTATATAGTCCGGGTGGTTCTCGTCTTCAGTAAGTGTCTGGACGAGTTTCCTCCATCTCGTCCGGCCGCCGCTATGCATCTTCCTCCTCAGGGCATTCCTGGTATTTCCACTCTCGTTCGTCGTCCGGGTCCTAGGTCCGTTGGAGCCGGCGTCGGGCCTGGCGGGCGCCAGCCAGGAACTCTGCAGCCTGTGGTGACCACTCCGGTCTAGACCAGTCACAAGGCCGCGCTCGTTTACAGTGCTTGTCCAAGGTGCCGTAAAGAAGTCTGATAAGGTTGTCAATCGCAGTATGGGGTTCTGGCACGTACCATTGAGAACTAGAGACATCTTCCCGGATTTCTTCCCACGGGGCATCCTTCAGTATGAACCTTGGGCTCGTCTGTTGTGAGGGGACCTTGGCGTCCAGCTGGATCTCGATTGGAAAGTGGTCCTTTGTAGTAGACCACTCCGGCCGTGGGTGGTAAAGGAGGATCCGTGAGACGATCTCCGGCGAGGCGAAGGCTAGGTCAATGACCGACTGGCTCTGGTTCCGCTGCCACGTTATTACCCCTTGCTCGTTAAGGAGCTGGAGGTCAGCTTGCTCGGTTTGAAGGAGTAGGTGGTCTGCCTTTGGTTCCTTGGGGTTCCGGTTCCACCCCAGGCTGTGTAATGGCAGTTAAAGTCCCCTAGGAGGATGACATTCTCTTGGCCAATTTCGCATAGAATTTCCGCGATCTCCGGCCACTTCTCAAGCTGTGGCTGGCCTATATGCCCTGGTGGGTTATATACGTTAACGAGGTTGAGGGGTCCATCACGCGTCATAACGCGGATCCATTCGATGTAGTCGGAGGCTCGCTTTGGTTCCCAAGCTGTAAGAAGGATCTTATCGTGGATAAAGAAGACGACCCGTATACCGTAGTATATAGGTCGGCTTGGGCGAAAGTTCTTCGGTATATAGGTGACTGTTGGCTTAGTTTCGGCGACCATCGGTTCCTGAATTGCAAGTATAGGAAGCCGGGTAGGATCAATCGAGTCGAAGGTAGCCCTAGCCTTATCGTTGTTCGCATTACCGCAGTTGTATTAGAGGATGCCAGTCCCTATCATTGAGTACTAGGGGTATTGTCCTTTCCGGTAGGTGTCGTAAAGGTAGGAATACTAATGCCGAACATGAAGTCGTTCGGCTGACTAGCCGAGAGCTGGAGCCGCTGCTACCCTGGGGCTCGGGCAGCCACCGTGGTTCCTGAGGGCCTCCCAGGTCCTGCCCTCTTCCGCTTCTGGGAGTGCTCAACGAGGGTGTATCCCTCGTCGACGTGGCGGACCTGGTGGGTTGTGACGTTTAGGTTTTGGTTTTGGCTTTGGACAGCGACGGTAGCCTCATTGAGGCGGTTTTCTGTGGCTCGCTGGCCAACTGCGAAGGATTTATATGCCGCACAACTTCTGGTCATCCAGGCAAAGTGCCCCGGTTCCTTGCACCCTGCGCACCTTGCCTCTTGAAGGTCTTGTATTATACATCCCCTTGTAGGGTGCTGTTTTGCGCAGCGCCCACAGGTGTCACTATCCGCGTTACAAACGGACTGCGTGTGGCCCCATTTCCAGCATCGGAAGCACTAGACCGCCCGGAGAGTAACGTCCCATAGTTTGACTGGGAGCCATAGGGCGCTATAGAGGAAGCCGTCCTTGATAAGCCGCGTCACGTCGGTATCGTTAGCTACCTCGATAATAACTAATCCCTTCGTCTGGGATCCCGCCTTCCGGATGGCCGCCAGCTTCTCTTTTTTGTAGAGCCAGGAGACTCGTTCAATTTTGACAGTGTTTTGGTTCGACATCTGTCTCGCCCATTCGGTGTTCCCCTCACTTTCACCGGTTGTGATCTGTGTGTTAATCGGGATACCCATTACCATGAGTAGTTTGGGACGACGGATCAGCTTGACGCCGTCATCCCCAGCGATTCCAGTAGCGATAATCTGGTCCCGTCGGGTAGTCGTGAGAACCACGACAGATATTTTACCAGCTGCCCTGTGGTGTGGGATAAGCGCTTTCGCGTCTGGGATTACCTTCTTGATTCTCTGTAGTTTCTCTTCCGTCGTCTCTTCTACGGCCCCTGCCATTTCAGAGAGACGCACTTCAACGACCGCTTTGGTCTTCCCTCCTGCGGCGATCTCGCTCCAGGTTGGTGCCTTGGTGGTTAGGGCCACGGCTGGGCGACCGCGGTCTTTCGCGATTCCAGCCTCAATACGTCCAAGTCGCTCCAATATTTGACCCATCGCTGGGTCCCGGGCGGGTGTTCCCGCCTGCTCCTTTTCCATACTCTTTCTCTGTGCCAGCTCCGGAATGAGCCGGAGAACGGGCGTTAGGTGAGCCTCCAGGACTCCACAGAGCGACTCCGCTCCAGCCCATCCACGGCAGCTCTCCAACGCGAATTTTATATGATGTTCCATGATTTAGAGCGTCCGCCCCTCATCCATCCGTCCAGTTTGTTCTCCCACTCCGTTGCGGGTGTTGGGTCGTGGGTGGTCCGCCTGCTGGAGACGCGTCGGGGACACGTCTTTGGCCTGCGGGCCCTTCCCCCTCGTGCGCCCTTCAACCATGATAGTTGAGAAGGCTGCAATAGTTGATTATAGGTGAATGAAGTGTGTAGAATCGATTACGACCCTAATCTCAGCGAATTTCCAAGTTGTGGGCTGTCTGCAGAAAAATGTTCTCAGACTGAGTTATTAGTACTTTATAATCTGGGATAATCCTTAACATCATTTTGCTCCTCTTCAAGTGCAACTAACAGTTCAGTGTCCTAAAAACATCCCCTAAACATCCTATCAGACGTTCAGAAGCTAGAGAATAATGTTGCAATTTGCAAATATTTTAGGAAACCCTACAAAATTCCAAACATATTCTTTAACGCCTCGAAGTTCTCTACTCTCTCACGGCTAAGCGAGACAGCCGCCTTTTTCCTGTTTGCGCCGTTTTGAAAGACAAACGAGAGCTGCCCAACATGGATCCATTCCAGCGCCTCAAAAACGACAGCATACTTCTCGGCATGCCCAGCCATACTCCGGCGATGCAATGTCTCCCAAAGAGCGTGTGTATGATTCAAGGGGGAATCATCTCCCAGGTTCTCGTCTGGAAATTGCTGCATGAGTTCATCTTGATCTAGTATACGGAAAGAGTAATACGCGTCAATATCTTCGCCGGTTGCCCCGTTATTAACTCGGTACGAGTCTCGGGTGATAGCGAGTCTTTTTAGTTTGCGCAATGGAAATAGGGTGGTCCGGATAGCATCATGGTCGATCAACCAGTCGTGTCTCCATCCAGCCTGCTGGCCGGAACTGATATGTAGCTGCTCTAGCGAGACAAGAGACGAGAGAGCAGCGAGTGAAGAGACTGGGACCGTGTTTCCATCCCACATCAAGGAAAGGGTTTTGAGATTGAGAAATGTTGCGAGGACAGGGATGACGCGTTCTATGAGAGAGGCCGAGCAGCTGTAATAAATGCCGAATGCGGTCAATTGAGTGTTTTGTTCCAAGGCCTGAAGTGATGCTGTTTCTGGAATATCAAAGCCGGTCCAGATGAGGGTCTGAAGTGACTTTAGACATCCGACGTGGTCCAAGCACTCTCGTGTAACCGGGTAGCTGAAGTCTACAGCTAAAGTATGCAATCGATGGCTTCGCAAGAGACTTCGCAATGTCGGCTCACTTAGCTCGGTGCTGTCCCCAAGCCAAAGAAAGCGGAGACAAGTGAACTCGGCAGTAAAGGATATTGGCTTGTCTTGACTCTGAAGAAAGGATCTATGGCTAAACTTCAGGCTCTGAAGACTGGAGGAGCACGTCCGAAAGAAGCTATCCCAGAGAGAGGATGAGTCGGCTGAATCGAGTCCATAATGGAAATTGAAGTCCCAGACGATATCAATGTCGGCACTCAACAGCGGCCACTCAGCTTCGCCATCAATCTGGACAGTGACGTATTCAGACTCGATGCTGCCACGTAGTTTGAGGTGTTTGACTGTCGAAGTAGCCAGGCTATTGAGGAGGTGGTTGTCGACGGTCGTACCATTTGACCAGTCCAGGACTCCAAAATGCGGTAATGAAGAAATAACGAGTATCAAGCTAGGATCATAGACATGCCTCATTCTGGTTGTCATATTCCCAACAGCTAACCCCCATTGGTCAATACTAAAAGTACCGCCGAGCCCATCATTGCGTACATTATTCGCCTCATCATCCCGGGATGCCTTGGGTTGCATTGCACGGATCTCCTTCCAATAGTGGCCCGAATCCGTCTGTATGCGGCGGACACACGCACCCAATGACGGCTGATGCGTCAGGCGATTCTTTGATATGAGTCGCTCAGTAGCTTCGCGAATGAGGATGCCGAGAACGCAGGATGAACGAGGGCTATAGTCAATGACAACACTACAGAACTGGCAAGAGCGTGCCAGCTGGCGACAATCCGAATTGACAAGTGCAAGGGAGGCCAAAGCCTCCCTGTCCGTGTTGATGTATGTCATAACCACTGATAGGATCTCATCTGGTAGATGCAGGAGGTAACTGTTCTGTGCTGCGATCGGTCTTCCTTCCATCACTTGACCAAGTGTCAGCGGTAAAGGCGCAAAATCCTTGGACAATGGGCAATCCATGATAGTAAGCCACCACGAAAGGAGGTAGTTGGCTGAGGATGGTTCTGAAGGGGAATGGAAGACTCGATGTTCGCACGTGTTGAGGCCTTGATACCTCAGGTCTTTGATATTGCACCGGGGCTCGAGGTTGCGGGCTCAACTGTGGAGATGAGGCGTTGCAGACCGTTGGTGATGTAGGGTCGGCACGTAGCGAATTGAGTGATAGAGAATTGTGCTTGGTTGAAGGTCGCCTAGCTTATAAGGCAATCCGGGTCAAATTCTGCTGTCTAGAAGGTTTATTGAGCGTGAAGTTCTTTGAGAGCTGCTCGCAGTTGGCGACCGCCGCGCTTCGCGTAAGTGTTGAGGAAGGTCTGTATGCGATGTACTCGGTTTATTACTTCCTGAGGGATGCCGCTGTTTACGACTTCCATGAGTTGCCGGGAGAGTTACCCATCTAGGAAGTGAGAGTACGCGTTCGTGGAAGGATCACTGCGGCGGCTTGTTGACAGATGAATCACACGACAAATCGCCCTGATTCTTGAGGTTGAGACATGGATCTCAAGCAATTGAGCTGTTCTCAACCGTTCAGGTAGTGGATTGCGTCAATCCTTAATGTTTGAGGCCTTTGGGGAATCGAGGGTTTGGTCTCAGCAAGGCCTGTAACTATGAACACCTTGAGGACACGGAGTGCCTTTGAGCAAGATAATTCGTTAGATTAAAGCTACAGAAAGACAGAAGGGAGGTGAGATGTGAGATATGAGGGCTGTGCCTGGAGGAACGAAGTTCCGTCAGGTCTTTGTGGTCGCACGAGGGGAGACTTACCTCAGCAAGCTCAGGCCATATATCAGAGGAGTCTAGCCTTTTTTGGACAGTCACGTTACTTATACTACTCCTCTGTTTACCTCAGCAAGCTCAGGCCATTGTGGTAGTGCCTGAGGCAACGAACCGCGCTATACCTAATTGGTATGGTTCTCTACCAAATAGCCTGAGGATCCTGTCATTGATTTTTGGCCTGAGTTAAGATCGTTTGTATGAGAGCAATTTAATCACTTCAACCTCGTTTTCCTCCACAACGAGCTATCACACAGTAAAATTGACATGTTCAACCGAATCCTCTATCGTTTCTTGACAACCCAGTGGAATTTGGACGATGCCAGATCGAACCTCCTCTCGGCGCAGCGTACAACTGAACCCAACGTCTCCAGAGGTGCTTGAACTGCGGTGGTTGGTTAACGATTCTGACGCAGTCTGGCTTCTTACATATCAGCGTTTTTTGCAAGACACAAGCATGGGGAGTAGAAAAAATTCAAATTCTAGATAAAGTATACCTTGCTGCACAGCCCAGTGAATTTAAGGGCAATTATAATAAGTCTTCGTGTTGTTATTGAAGAATATGCAAAAGTGAGGTTTCCAAAATCGTGAAAAACACATGTAAATTATCGAACAGTCAGTATGCGTCATTGACAGGATCCTCAGGCTATTTGTTCGAGAACTGCATTTACCGATTAGGTATAGTGTGGTTAGTTGCCTCAGGCACGACCACAAATAGCCTGAGCTTGCTGAGGTAAACCATAGCCCATAGCCCCATAGGAATGTCGTCAAAATAAGTCACGTGCTCTATGACCGCTTCTAAATGGACCAATCAGAGCGCAGAAATTTGAAATCACGTGCAAAGGGTGTAGGATGAGCCTTTGGAGGGGTGTAGCCCACAACCAAGGGAACAGGCCGCAGGCCTGGGACCATAACATTCCTTTACTTTATTCCACGATTCAAACCCCCCAACTCATATCAAACATACAAAAGTCGAAAATATTGTAATTCAACTAATTGATTTTATTTTAATAAGCTAAGCTGATTTTATAAACTGCATTAGTTAATAATCTTGCCATGAGTCGTATATCTGCAGGGCCAGCCCGGCCAGGGAACTGGGCATTCGCATAGAACAAGCAACTCACACAATAGACAATACAACAACTTTGCTGCTGTCACTAAATCACCTGACTCCCAACTATTTTAGCACATCCCAGTGCGACACAAATCTCAAAACCTTGGGGACAAATCTCACCAGCCTTCCGTGACAACGCTTGTGATCAACACAATCCACAATCATCTTCATTCGAGTACTGCAATCAACTTCTTCGTGACAGGTCCCTTGAGATAATCATCAAATCAAATCAATAGCCTGGCCTCCCTGTCTGTAAGTCTATCATATCTTAGCCGCATATCCAGCTCAGAATGTACAGAACACTTACCCAGGTACCGCATCATCTGGTATTCCAGATCGCTCTTGAAAGAATCAACATTGCTAACGATGATGTTAACATCCTCCTCAGTGAGCTTTCCGGTTCCATCCTTGCGAGCCATAGCTTGGCCCATGGCGGAAGAGACAATATTCCGCAGCTGTCTCCCGTCGAATCCTTTCTTTGCGATATCGCTGCGGAACGTTTTCTTGATCCTCTCGTAGTCCTCGACAGCCCCTTTGATTTTATACTGATCCAAAAATGATTCGAAGATTTGAATTGCTTGCTCCTTCTCCAGGTCAGTGTATTTGATTGCAATGTGGATTCTTGACTGGACCGCAACGTCGAACAACGCAATTTGATTCGTCGTGAGTATTAGGATGCCTATTTTATGTCAATAATGTGTCGGAGAATATAACACGTGCCAATCGATAAGGGGCTACTTACCCTGATAGTACTCAAGTACTCGAAGAAACACTGGACGGTAGAGCCAGGTTCAGCTTATGAGCGATTCAAGTCTGAGCGTTAGGGTCTCACCTGATACCAAAGCATTCCTTTCTGTCGTCGGGCCTTGGTGACCCATTCCACGGCTCTGGACGAAGACATCTACCTCATCTCTAGTCCATCATGTTAAGAGACATCTTCGCCTCATAGCGCGTGCGCAACTTACATGAGAAGAATGGCTTTCCACCTGGTCGCAAGATCAAAAATCCTATGCAGGTTGGATTCTACATTCTCTGCCTGAGTTCCAACATCCCCGACCCCAATACTAAACAGTGGCTTTCCCGCGGCCGCTGCTAAGGTCTCCGCTGACACAACGGTTAGCTCTATACGGTGATGAGGTAGGTCGGATACGGGGCACATGTAAAGGTCAACCCTACCGGTTGAAGTTTTCCCAACTCCGGGTTTGCCTGCAGTCGTCGTCAGTGACATCATCAGCCGTGCTTATTCGCAGTTACTGACCGTATAGAAGTATCACTAGGCCTTGCCCTTTATCGGCTACTAGGTCGGCCAGTTGGTCTTGGCCATGGGTGGTGACCAAATTTAGCAAAAGCTGCTTTGTTTCCTGCCCGTTGAGGCTGGCGTCTCCCTTCAGATGGAGTCTCTTTTCGAATGCATTACCATTGTCAGAAACGGGCTGGAGATTGTCGATCTCAAGCTGTGCCCACCGCTTATCGCGGAGGATATATCCCAGGACCCTTGGTGGCAAAAGCATGTATTGGAGATCGACCCATTCCTTTTCGTCCTCCTCTGCAGTCTCATCGAACGCCCGATGGTACGTCCTCGCCAAATCCCTGTTGCCATTGCAGCGCGTGCAAGTGCACTCATATGACAATTCATATATCGGTATGGCTCCAACATAGCCTTCCTGAGGACCATGTTGGTAGTATGATTCGAAATCTACCATGACATCGCTGTTCACCTGCAAGTGCGTTAGTGTTGAGCTCCAACGAGAACCTATCGACTTTGAATCAGTGATTACCAGTGCCTCTTTGGACAAGGCGTGAGCATCGTCGCTGTCGCTGTCAAGGCCAAGCACTGATCTGAAAAAAGTAACAGCTGGCTTAGCCTGAGGTCTCTAGGGATCAAGGACTATCAGTATTCTATGATCGGTGCATTTTTGGGAATGGTGCTCGCCTTAGGTTTATCCCTCCCACGGAATCCCACCCTATCCACAATCGCTCTTCCTTGGTATTTGAAGCGGCGTTCCCCGGCGTTGGCAGTGCAGTATTTTCGGTAACGTCGACCTCGCTCGATCAACCTGCTCTCGATCCTGTCCCTATCCTCGGCCATAGAAAGCGGAAAATATAGCAAAGCGGTGATCGGCTTAGATCCGTTAAAAGTAGGAAAGGCTAGGCGTAGAAATCGCCGCCGGAAATCCCGTCCATTCCAATCGTACGTCCAGCATTCAAGCTCCCACTCTTTCGAGTCCGAGTTCGGCCACGGACCACTATTGTCCTTCACGATGAACAGTTGGTCCTGATTAAGAAATGGGCGACCATAGATGATAGTTCCCGGGGCGAAAATCGTCCACAGCGTGTCGTAGGTGATGTTATTCGACCTGATAACGGCCTCTCGGCTGCGTAGGAAGTCATTCAGTCGACTATCACCTGCATTTTGCCGTACGCGATCAAGAACCATGCCGAGCGCCCTCCGAGCGGTCTTGTCGTTTTCGGTTGAACCCTCCTTGTCTGCTTCAGTCTTAAGGCGATCCCAATTCAGAACCAGCGGCTCGAAGGGAGAGTCAAGCGTTACGCATTCGCCGTAGAACTCATGCGTGGGATGATGCGAGAGGACCCTTTTGAGTAACTCAAGAAGGTCCTTATTGAATATCTCCAGCTGACCACGGTTTTCCGTCTCATCCTCATTGTCCTTAGAATCGTAGATAAATATTCTAATGATAGCAGCTTCTTGAGGACTGTCGTTCTTGGTCTCTTGAGATTTTTCTTCCTCGAAGTCTTTTCGCTCACCAGTTTTCGAGGCTCGATCACGTCTGTTGGTGACGAGTCGGACGTGCCATGGTGGTTTAGGTTCTTCATCGGATCCTGCTCCTGGCTATTATGAGGACAGAATCAGCTTGTGATGTCGCTGGCCAACATGACACTCAGTTACCCACTTTCTCCTCTTTGTTGGTAGACTCCGCAGCTTCGGTCGCCTCGTCTAAGCACAAATACAGGTTAGCTCTTATCATCATGTCAAGTTTGACGATGCAGCTTGCTGACGCGACGCAATACCTTTTGCCTTGAATTTCGCCTCGAGCTCCGAAACCCGAGCCAACAGTTCTCGAACTTGATTCTGCAGTGCAACTACGTCAACCTGATATGCATTAGCTGATTGTAGGGTGGGATAGTTGGGAGTAGTGTACAACCTGCGGGTCTTCGTCAGAGATGACCATGATGATGGGTACTCGGTGATCGGAGAATTGGACCCAAGATCTGAGGCCGCTATGAGGTGTTCGTGGCCGGGTCTCTATTAAATACCTATGACATGGAGCCTTGTGGACGAAGAAGAACATATGGGAAACCCCATCCCCCATCCCGTACTAAGCAGCCCATTGGTCAGATATTTCCGAGGCAGTAGGCTGTGAATATACGAAGTCCAGCATTGTTGTCATGCGTCTTCAAGCCATGGATTGTACTTTGACTGGCAAATAAGACGACGTTCGGGTTGCAGTGCCGCAAGCTCCAACGCAAGGCTGCGTAGCCGACTCCAAATTTGTCTTTGGAGGAACTGGTGGTGGTGGAAATGTGAAAGTCATTGGATGTCCGTAGATGCAGAGGGTGGTTCCCATACGCCAACAAAACACGACCCTCCCCACCTGGACATCGCCCAGCCTTATGGGAATGTTGCCTAGACTGATGGGGAATGAGACGAGAGTAAGAAAAGGAGATGAAGGCCGACTGAATGATACTATATGTTGCGAGAGTTCTCTCTTTCAGTCCCAATCCACCTTCGATGTCGAGTCCAACAAGGCTGAGGTTGGCATACTCTACCTTCAGTCTCCCAGATGCTGCAGAGAAGGCGACAATCTGTCGTTCCGGCTGCCTTCTGTCCAATGCCCACGGCTGAGCTATCGGACGCCGAAAGGTACGAAATTCAGATCCCCCAGCAAATTGAATTGGCTAAGGATGTATAAGGCGGAAAATTCAGCAGATACAAGAAAAACAGGATCTATTTCATCAAAAGTTGAAACGCAGAGGACTTGGCCGATACGAAGAAAAGGCCATCGCTTGTTCCAGCGCCGAAGAGTTTGCAGGATTTTGGACCGAATTTTCCGATCATGCCCAAGTCAAATTTGAGAATCGGCACATTGACGGCTGGAGACGACGAACAAGAAAGTTTCAGAGTTTTGCAGAGGGCGTTCGAACTTTCATGGACGAAATAAAACCAGTATTGGATGCTTGCAGGGAAATGGGCAAGCCTTACTCTGGGTTTGCAATTGGTACCATGGCAATTCTTTTCGTGGTAAGTATATCCAACCTCAAATGTGATTCTGATGGGTTGTATTAGTAACGCTCGGCGTTCTTAGGTTGGTTCGAATAAGCATCGGATAGAAAATCAACTTCTATCAACTTTGACAGGAATAAAAGACCGTCTTCCCGGAATCAAAATACTGGCTGAGTGTTGTGGAATGGGCACTGAGTATGAAATGGACCTGAAACTGAAGATGCAGCTTGCCCATTGGGCCTTCACTGACCTTGCCATTGAAATGGTAGGGTACTATATTGACCGTGGCTATCGTAAGTTCATTTGCCAGTATCTGTACGCAATATGTGTAGGTTCGGTCATCACTGACAATATACAGGGAGGTGGATGATAGCAATCTTTAGATCTGGCAAGTTCAAGGACATGATAGACACGGTAAATACTAGTGTTATCGCGGTTCGTTCGCGATGCGAAGAGTTAGCCATCTTAAACATCAACCAAATCAAGGAGACCAACGACGGTATGTCATTCAATGTACAGCCTGGGTTGTAAGCTGGAGTAGAGTTCTCATTAACATATTTCTAGAGCTCCTAAAGAAAATGCACAGTAAGTAAGATGATGTCCTAAACTTTCGACTGTAATTGCTGATCACCTCATCTCTAGGATACCAGCTTGGCCAAGGGAGTGATTATCTCATGCGCCTTCTGGAGCCCCTTGGAATCCCCACTTGGTCCCTGTCGGGGCATCACAAGCGATTAGCGGATTACCAGCGCAGTATCGAAGCAGAGCAGTTCTACGAAGGTTCGTATGAGAACATGACAGGAATGAGTCTGGAGAGATTCCACCAACAGGAGACATCCTTCATTCAGTGGTCTCAGAGTAGCGATGCCGCCATGCTCATTCTCACCGGAGCCAACAACTGTAACATCACCGAACTCAAGCAACACTGTTGGATATCGCCCGTAGCAATTGATATGGCCCGAAAATATCGAGATCAGGGTATCACGCACGCCTTTTACCCATTCCAAGAGCGACGGGCAACCTCGATTAGCACAGCGGTTCCCATCATCGTCACCCAGCTACTGGGCTTCAAGCTCAGGGAACTTGACGGTCACCAAATGGATATCATAGCACACGCGCGCGCGTTTTCCCGAACTACTGATGCCGACGAGGAGACCAGAGCTACCGCGCTAAGTCGACTGCTCAATGACACCATCAAGATTTTCCAGCCCGAGGAGAGGGTCGTGCTAATAATCGACCGCGTGGATATTTGCGACGAATCGGAAAGGGATGGCTTTCTTCGCATGCTGGTTTCCATGCTAAATGAAGCGTGCTGTACGTTGAAGATCCTGCTGGTGACCCAGTCAGTGGTTGATTGGAGACCGAACGTGAGGGAATTGCGATCTAGGTTGAGAACGTCGGCTGGTTTACATCAAGCGTTGAAAGTTCAGCGATTTCGTTCGGAGTATTGATTGGCGGATGCTTCTTAGCTACAATATGTACTGACTCTGAGGTGACAAGGCGGATCATGACCGATGAAGCCGATACAAATGATACAGGTAGAGGAAGGAAATGGCCAAGATATCCAAATGAACAGTGCGATCCAGTCAATCAATGTGTTTTGGGAGGCTAGGGGTGGGAGCGCCAGGGTGAGGCCTACAAGAGATCCACGACTCGCAGGTAACCGGACACCCAGGGGAAGAAGTCATGACTGGCCTGATGGTAAAGAAATACTTTTGGCCGGGGATGACGACCGATATCCGCAGATTCGTATGGAATTGCCACCCATCCCTGGGGGAAATAGATCTAGGATTTGAGCGCGGATAGAGCGGTTTATGTGATTATAACTAACTAAGTTAGCCCAGGTAACTTCATTAGTTCATCTCTCTCGAGTGATAGACTAGATATTCGAACCCTTTCTCATTGACTTTAAAGTGTTACCTATTATGTTAAGCATGTCTTAATTGAACACTGGGGCATGCTCCCATTACAACCATGCCTACCTTGTTGTTTCTCCCTACCGAGTTGTTGATCAAGGTTATCAGGGATATCGACCACCAGGATCCTGAAGTACCAGCCCCTGTACTGGCCGTTCGGTTGGCATGCCGTAAATTCCGGGATATCTGCTGGATGCCCGAGACGTTCCCCAACATGTTCTTCCAGAATATTATATTCATGTTGTCATACGATAGCTTAAAGGAGCTCATCGATATTTCCGCCACCCAATTCTCAGACCTACCGTGACCCACCTTCAGATTGCTGTCACTCGTCTTGAAGTCGATACTGGTGTTGTGCGCGATATTCCTGAAGATCAAATCTTCCGTTCGTACAGTGGTGAAGATGTGTTGCTGTTGACACAGGCTCTGTCCGGGCTACCGAACTGCAAATCCATCATGATCAAAGATGGCATGGACAATCTAGGGCGACCCCTGTCGGCTGTCGCATTTCGCGGGGGTGATCATTAAGCACGATAGGTGCTTGAGCTCAGTTACTGTAGAGTCATAACGCAAATTGGTATTAACGATTCACATTGTCTAGAAAGGAGATCTAGCTAGTAAGTTAGATGAAAATAACTTAGTTAAATATATAGGAGAAGACTTGAGAGTCCTGATTAGGCTTAGCCTAGGGGGTAGAGGGTAGTGAAAGGAATGTTAAGTGGTAGTAGAAACGAATAGGGGCATCTTGCGACAACCCCTACTTAAGGGAAAGATGGAGAAGTGGTTGGACGTGGCAGCGAAAGAACACATTCTCGATCCCACAAGATACGCGATCCAATCCATCGTCAGTGAGGCTGTCAGCGACTGCTTTCGCACCGTTCTATGCGCCCTCAGTAACAGCAGTGTCCAGCTGGAGTGGCTCCTGGTTTATTTGGATTCTTTCAATTATAAAACTGGCCTCCTTGTTGAAAATCCTGTCTTCCCTAACCGAATCTCGTCAGTGATAAATGAGAGATCATTTCTGGACCTTACGGAATTACACATGGACCTAGACGCGTACATTCGTTCTCAGTCCATTTACCAAGCTCTTCCAAAATTCCTTTCGCTCGCCCCTAAACTGGAAAGTCTGAGCCTTTCCTCTTCGGCCGCATCCTTGTATACGTCCTGGGTTATTCGCGAGCTTTCCCAGCTACAGTTTCCGTGTCTGAAATCTTTAGAGCTGAATGCAGTTTCTGCCAAGCAAGAGTCCCTGTCACGTCTACTTCTCAAGCACCGGAACACGTTTCGCAAAGTTGCGCTACTTGATGTTTGTTTGTGCAATCCGGAGGACTTAAACGCTCGAGGGGATCCCAACGAATGGCACGTCATATTACAAGCTCTGCTAGAGTTAGGGTTGGAATGCTTTTCCATTTTTAGACCTTGTATGCCGCACTATGGCGTTCTATTCGTGTTTAACGATGGGAATGTAGACCCAAATCTTTCTAGAAAAACACCTGACGAGGTTCGAAAGGCAATAAATAGGGTCTGGAGGACCAAGCTTAGGAGGGAAGCTTAGTATACGATGGACGGTGTCGTGGCGATACGGCTTATGGGTGGAAAGGGTGGTCAGGTACGGTGGAGGGAGTTACACAAACCATTCAGCTTCAGGGTTGCAGAGGCTCTGGATGGCACGCCGAGTTGGCCTGGGAGATGACGGCTTTGAACACAGATTGATTCGGACGATCTCTGGGGTAGCAGAGCAATCCATCCACAGTGAGGACATTTCCATCATTGTTCCATCTTTAGAACCGCGAACTGGGTTCCGAAATTGTATACACGTCTTCCACCATTCCTTCCGCATCTCCCAAGTGAGGACAATTCCATCATTCTCGAGCCCTTAATGCAGCGACCAGTTCCCAGAACTCCTCAGGCGACCTTGTAAAGATGGAATCCACCATTTTCTCGGTGTTTCCCGCCATTTCCTCGTCACTAGAACCGATCAACGAGTCGTTCCAATTAATAAAAACATCATGAAGAGTTAACACACACAATCTCTGAGGGCAGCTCAGCCACCGCCTCTGATCTGTCGACGCGTTTCCACCCGGCCGGGAGAAACGGACGATGAGATCGACAACCTCCTCAGTGTCTCTTTGTGCAGGAGGATAAAGCTCTTTAGGTCTTTCGAGTAGTTGACGCTTCTATCGACGTCGTCGACTAACATATCCCACTTATGGCATCGAAAGTTTTGAGGCGCGGAAACACCATATTCCTGGGAAAATACTTCGCGGGAATAAGTCGGCCAATAATCTATCGACAGTGACAGACTTTCAAGGTTCGGAATTGCAGATAGGAAATTTCTCAGAATGGTCGTTGCTTCTTCCGTTTTGTTGCGATCCACTGATAGAGCGAGGTCGAGTTCTCAGAGTTCTTGAAAGAATATGCTCTTTTGAACGTGGAGCTCATGATCTGGAATTGACAGGGAGGCCATGGGAAATATTGATACAACGTCCATGTCTGGATCCAAGTTCCATTCTCCTGGAATTAGAATGGAAAATTGTTGTAGGCTTAGCTTGCTCCGCTTCAAAGCAGTGAAAGTAGTATTCAGTGTGTATGCTGCTGTTTCATCATCAGTCGGCGTACCAGCGTCCATAGCTGGATATTTCCATTCCATGTAGGACGGATCGTCCTGCCTGGGTACCGGTAATCCTGCCAGAGCTAATTCAAGATCCCGTCCATCGAAGCAATCGTCTTCAATATCAAGGTTGACAAGCTCAACTGACTTGCAATTTGGCAGACTAGTGCGAGCCAGAGCGAGCAGAACAGCATCGTCTCCGTATTTTCGACAATATAGACGTTGATCGAATGCCTGCACTTCTCTGGAGTGGTTCCACGAGGAACAAGCATAATTTTTCCAATCCGAAACTTCGTTACTGCTTTATTGAGTATCGCGTTGCGAGATGTTGACAAGCTCTTTCCTTGGATAGGGTCACTGTTTGTTGTTGAAAGAACTTCGAAAAGTCCGGCCATGAAGCATCACGAAGGTTCCGATGAGTTTATCGGAAGACGCAGAATGCGATGCGCTTTGATTCGTAATGGTCTTGATGGTCATCGTTGACAATCTCAGCTAGTTGCAAGAGGATCTCAGCCGGTAGGTGATAAAGTCCCGCCACCGCTCCGTTTGAGTCCTCTTTGTGGCCTTTGCTGGTTGTAAGCTTGAGTGAGGTGTAAAAAACTGAACCGAATTCCATTTCTTTATAGACTTGTGATATTCACCGGGAAAACTTAAAGCATTGTAACTAGGTTCGGTCCGCGGTTGGAATGATTGATTCGAGGCTAAGGGTGCTGATCAAGTGGCTCGCTCTTTGACTTGATAATTAATCAGATATGAGAGGGAAAGAGAGGTGGGAAGTGAGAGTAAAAAGTGATGATGAAAGGAAAAGGTGAGGTGAAAGCAGCTACCATATCCATATGATATCCATACAGCCACATCAGCCACATCGGATGTTTTGAGTAGAAATTCAGCTGTCTAGTCAAAGTGCAGACTGGTATAATAGAGATCGAATCTACTGGTATTACATGGTTTGACCTCAGCGCGTGCATGTGACTAGAAGAAGCCATAAGAGAGATTTCATTGAGAAGCAGAACTCCGAATATTAGTTGATGCGAAAGAGCCCCCGAAAAGAACGCTTTAGTCCTGACCTGTACTGGATGATACTTGTAGCGATTAATTCCACTCATCTCTAACGTCCAAGTCTTTGAAAGACTGCCCTCGGACCGCTTGAGCTCATTGCCTCCTTTTTCTCAAGACAGTAAGATCGCAGTACACTTCCAACAGACAATGAATCCGTCATCTGTCAACTCCAAACAGGACCAACCCAGATTGAAACCCGTTCACACTGAACCACCATGCCTGTAGAAACATCGCTCCGATGAACCCTTACTCCTGCGACCCTGACCCCTTCAACCCCTCTTACGAGCAGCAGATCGATCCTACAACGGCGAAAGGCACCTCTTCTCCCCCAACTCCCCGTCCCTTTTCCGCAACGACACACAAAGAGCGAGCGACGAGGGACCTAACGAAACCAGAGTCGATCCGACAGGATCAGCCTTGACATAGCTGCGTGGCACTCCAGCCAGCCCCTCGACGATGGCGTGAATACATGCCGCTAGACAAGACCACAGGTCGTTTCTGGTCCGCACATCAAGCTTGACATAGCCGCTTCGCATCCCAGACAGCCTGAGGGGGCTGACTGGAATCCATGCTGCTAGATAAGACAACTCGTCGTTGATGGTCCACGCATAATCGGAGACGAGATCTGATTTCCCTGCTTCCGAGCTTTTAGCAAGGTGGAATGTCGGATGGTCCATCCGGAGCGCCCAATAAAGGGTACCATCTTGTGGTGGGGCAGGTCCTAGATCTTGAACCCCTTTGGCAAGCAATCGGAGCTGTTTTTCGGAACCATCGAGATCAAACGATCTCAGCGCGGAGATTGCCCTGTTCATCTTATTTATCTCCTCGATCGATTTATTGACCAGTGCGAAGAGATTCGCAAGAGCGAAACCGGCGAATATATCCGCCGCTGAACTGGCAAAGAATGCCCGTCCGTCGGTGACGCTGACGGCTGGCGTTTGATATATTCTCAGTTCGCGTGCTTGAGCAGCGGATCGATGGGATGCTAGAGTTAGTGGACCTTTTCGGCCCCTGTTATTTGCTCTTCTAGAGCTCTCGATGTATTCTAACTGATTCATCGCTTGTTTTTGAAGGCTTTGCTCTTGTATAGCTGGAACTTGCAATGGGAAAGGATTATGTCTCATCGAGTCATCTCTCCTAGATGGATCGCATAGAACACCAGCGTCTTGATTAACCTTGGCATCGGGATTAAAGCAACGACTCGTTCTCATGAGTTGAGACTTCCCCATCCCCCGGATCCAAAGTAGAGGTCTTGGTAGGTCGTCCAACGGAGTGCGTAACCACGTCCGGACGACTTGCTCAGGAAGTCCAAGACTCTCGATACCGGAGGATGGTAGAATCGGATCGGTCACCGTGTTGCCGCATAGTGCGTCCGTTTCCAGATAGTCCATTGGAATGCCTGCTATGGTAGGGTTAATGGAGGGATCGAGCGTTAACTGCATTTGGAGATTATGTTTTTGTCTAATGCGCCGGGTTTGGAACCAGGTCTGCTTATCTGTCAGCTTCGTCAAAATGAACGGTGCTGAGAACATACGTTGACCTTCTCCAACGTCGTGTGTAACTGTTCCGCAAGCGCCTCCTTCGTCACTGTAGTTGGCCGGCGGTCAAGCCGGAATTGAGCCTCGAGAACATCGAATTGCGGTTTCGTGAGTCGGTGGGATCGCGGCTGGTCACCCGTGGCTACAAACCCCGTGGTCACGGTCGAGGTTGGAGTTCCACCCTGTTTGCATCGAAGCTGCAAGTATGAATCCGAGGAGATTGGACGGGGAATACCAGGTCGGGAAGGTGTAATATACCCCTTCAGGAGTGTTTTAAATCCTTCGTGAGAATGACCTGAATGACCTGCAGCGGGGGACATCGATGCGAGCGCACATCTCCTAGTGTGTCTCAGCCGCTGAAATACATCCGGAAACCTCTCCCCACAATGCTGACACGCTCCATGAACATGCTTCAAATGGCGCTCGTAGACCTCCGCAAGGTCGAATCGTCGGTCGCAAAACTGGCACACGTATCCGCTCGGTCGAGGCGCGGGGATGTTGTGCGGTTGCAAATCATCGTCGTCGGAGATGGTGGCCGAGGGGCGGGATACGTCAGCAGTCCAGGCGCGGCAGCGGTTGGGATCGAGTGGCGGCTTGTGGGATTGGGAAGGCGTCGGTGCTTTGCGAGGTGCGTCTAGGCCGTGCCTCATATGGAGTCGCATAGCTCGGAGGTCGTGGTAGGAGGTAGGGTTCTGAATCGGTGGTGTAGGGATAGTGGGGATGTTCCTGAGTGAACTGTAGGATGGAGGGGTCGCACGGGACTCTGGAAATGAAGAAGGGCTTCGAGAGGTCGTGGTAGAAGGCAAATTGTTCATGCGCTTGACCCGTAGGAGACTCTCAAAACGCCTGGTGAGGTATGTTACTTCGTCCATAGAAGATGTCTGGGCGTCGATGTGCGAAATATCCGAGGCGGACCGCGACGAAGTGGCTCCCTGGTATACATTGTTTCCTTGGTATTGATCGCCAAACCCCGAGAAATATCCCCAGGCACCATTGGGGTTGGACGGATCGCCACCGTTCCTCTTATTCTGACCGCCAGGGTCCTTTGGCAGATGAGGTCCCCCGGACGTGCCAGATCCGTCAGGTCCGTCAGAGCTGTCGCCATCATTGTCGCCATTATCGTCGTCGTAGCCACTACTACCCGTCCCGGCCGAATTTTCATCGACCCAATCGATCATGCACTTTCCGGTCTTGAAGTGCATCTCGAGATGATCCAGTCGCTCCTCACGGGATGTGTATGCCGCATTGCTCAGACAGAACCCACACCATGTGGGGAAGATGTCGTCCATCGTCACGATGCTTTGATCCTCGTACTGGCGAGGGTCGATTCCGGGGTGCATGTTCCGGAAGTGTTGCATGTACTTATCCCGCCTTGACGTGAGGCGCATCGATCGGCCGTGGGCGATGCAGAGCGCGCATTGCCATTGCTTCAAGGGGTAGGCGTCTTCTTCGTGGCGCTTCCACTCCGATTTTCGGCCGTAGCGTTTCCCGCACTTTCGGGTGCATTGGTAAATTTTACCGGGGTCGCGTCGCAAGCTGCTTCGATCCGAGGAGGGGAGGCAGCAACGGCTCGGTAAGCATTTGGCTTTGTTGACTGGAGGGGAGGTCGACACGGAGGGTGACGCCTCGTCGGAAGAGGTGTTTGAGCTGGACTGGTATCCGGAATCGTAGCTTGGAGGGCTGATACTATTCAGTCCAAACCATTCTTTGATCCCGTCCGGATGTGCTCCGGTGAGCTTGCTCAGGGAATTGAAATGGCCCTCTGTCACTAATAGTTCTTTATTTCTCAAGAAGGCGGCAACCGCTGTGAGTAGAGTTACGACATGCTTGTCAATGGCTTTATTCTTGGGCATGGTATGCGAATAGAACTGCTGGGGGGAATTCAAGTTTAAACTGTCGGTCGAGGCTGTCGGATTGACTACTGGTGTGCTCAAAGTGTCAACACTGAAACTGGGCCGTATGTCCTGCGAAGTATTCAATCAGTACTCGTCTAATCCATTGTTGGGTGCTTCGAAGTACCTGAACTTCAAAGTTATATCCTTGTCCGCCCGAGTCTATATGCCAGGCTTTCCCAAATTCTTGCCCGGCTTCATTAGAGTCGCCTGCTTCGTACCGAAACTCTCCTAGTGTCTCGCCATAATCGTAGTTACTCGCCGTGGAAGTCCGGGCAGGATCCCAGGACTGGAGTATCTCGTCCACATCCATTCCATCCGACTCTATCGGCATGGACCAATCAGGCATGTTGGGGTTGGAATACCGGAAATCAGACATGCTGTCAACTGACTTCCAGCAAACAAAATATCACGCAACAATCTGTGGAAGTACTAATGAATAACGCTTGAAGTTTGTGAATTGAATATCATCGCTAGGAATGACTGAGATGCAACAGATAAAAACTAGGATGAAGGCGGAGCACAATGTGCTTATGAAACTCAGGACATGTGGTCGCCCTTCTGCAGCCCTTCAGAGTTTCCTCGCCCTCGCGTTCACGCAGCCCAGTTCAGCACACAATGCAGAGGCGGAGAGCGCAGTAAGGCTGGCCCCTTCTGAGCCCTTCTGAGCCCTTTGCGGATTCGTCGCATGTAATTAGCTGTAAGCTTGGCCAATTGCGACACATCCCCATGGAACTCAGCCTCCAAGCCACATGGGGAAAGTATTGAGAGCATCTACGCTGTTGACGCGCGCACGGGAACCGGAAAATACCATAGAAACCAGCGGGACATTAGAAATGATTGAAAATGCAGACTTTTGACGAGATGGAATAATATACAAGTACCGTATCATGATGCCTCTCATCTCAAGGAGCGAGGTGGCAGTTCCCTTCTATTCTTGGGCGTGGCTAGTCAGGGCTTCATCTGGTCGATACATTAGTAAGTCGTAGCCGGAAAACCAAGCGTAGCATCTGGAATATGAACACCAGTAATGAAAGAAACCATGAATCAAGGAATTGGACTAAGTTAGATCGAGTCTATTAGAACTATAGAGGAAGGTGAAGTCCATCGTGAACAGGAAAAAGATGTTGGTGGTTGCGTCATAGGAGGGTTGCTGCCAAGGCCAAAGTCAGGAGGTCGGGCTTTCCCGCCTCCTGCCAAAGCCGCGTCCCCGCCCTTCCAATTGTCTGGACGACTACGACATCGACGTTTCTACAAACAGTGTGTCTCTGCACCACCACGCTCATCTTGCATGCCCAGCTTGCGTAATATTCATGTCATCAAGAATCCCTCTCCCTGTCTGACTGTCTCTCTTTTTCGCTATTCAATGAGCTTTTGTCCGTCCAATATCTTAAGTCGCAACGCCTCCTGAACATTAGATTCAAGACCCTGTCCTAGTGTACCAACTGTGATACCGACTGTATCTCCCGGCATCCCCTTGTACACCCAATCGACTGCACGGAGGGACAAGAATAGAACCACCAGATTGGGGATTGTGGGAGGTATATGCGCACAAGCGATTGAGACCAAACAACCACGCCGTTCGTTCACAGCAACCCACGAACATAAAGATTCCTCCCGGCGCATCGAAGCGCATCGCGTCTATCTCTCCCTCAAACCCACCACAACCATCCTGCGACCTCGCGATGCCCGCAATTCCCACCCTACCGCGTTCCGTACCCACCCACGACATCCTCGACTCTACCACCTCCCCGACCCTCGACCTCCTCGCCCGAATGGACTCAATACCCTTCTCCCCTCCACCCAACAACCTAGAACCGCATCTCCAACCCCGCCAAGACGCCGACATCGTCGCCATCCCCACCGTCTACGACACCCGCGGCCCACCCCCCGGCACCGTCGTCGCCATCGTTCTCGGATCCATTGGCGGCTTCGTTCTCCTCATCTTCCTCCTCTTCCACGTCGGCAACATCAGCGCCCGCTCTAGCGTCGTCGCCGAGGAGCACATCGTGCGCGCCGACCGCTCCCCGCGCTCGCACCGCTCGCGTCGCTCCCGGCACAGCGGACGCACGACCGAGGTGCGCGAGCTGAGTCGCAGCCCGCGCCGGGGGCGCGTCGTTGTGGAGGAGCGGAGGGAGAGGAGGGGGAGCATGCCGCCGCCGCCGCCGGGCCCGCCGCCGATGCGCATCGTGGAGGAGCGGATCGAGAGGGAGAGGAGAGTGGATGGGGATGATGTGGTGGAGGTGGTCGAGGACTATAGCGATGTGACGCCGCCGCGACGGCATCGGAGTCGGAGAGGGAGCGATTACAGGTCAGTGGACCCTTATGGGTATGGGGGTGGGGAGTATCCCATGCGCGAGGTCCCGTACAGGCGGTAGTTGTCGATTGGGTGCGGGCTTTGCGTGGTGAATGAGTCGTGGACTCTATACTGACTGCCTTGAGCAGATATTGAGACTAGCATACGAAAATCCCGCCCAAAAATTCGAGACAGGGACACCACACACCCGGGTTTAGCGAAGACATATTGCCGCTCCCTGGATCACCTTACCTTCTCTGTACATGGTTTATGTGGCTTTTTCGGTGACTTTGGACCTATAGCGGAAAGATCGATACCATGATGTTGGAGTGGCGGCATAATTAGCTCGGCGTTGCTGGCCATTTTGCAGTGCTTTCGAGGCTTTTGATTGAATCAAGTGTCGATTGGCATGATGCGGTTCAAAAAGAGGAAGACTTCTGGTTGAGGCGTATGAAAGATAGCTAGGGAAACAAAGACGGACGAAAATGGGAAGGTTAATGTGGACAGAGAAACGTCTCCGGCTTCTCCATACATAGAAGGATTCTGGAAAGTCAGTACAATAGCTGCTACAGTTCTGATTATATAAACTAAAGCTTTATTTGAGTCGCGATGCAAGTATAGTACGGAATACATATCTGCATTTGATAGTTTGGCTTGGGTTCATGATCAAATCAAAACCCATACAATAGCACAATATTATGTTTACACTTTTACATCATCCAGGCGTGCCAGGTAAATAAACCACAAATCTGGTAAACGATCGAATCCAAAACCAAGGTAGAGAATCCATGCTAATTCTACAAGTGTGCCCTGAGTATTACCTGTGACTTCATCACTGTTCCTCGTTACGCTGGTGCCCAGCTTCACACGCCACACGAGCTCTCCTGCCACCATGGATCTACACATGGAATAGAACCTCGACAATTGATACATTGTTCAAAGCTACACTTCAACAGACAACATCTTTGTTTGAATTCCACTCTGAAGGTTGGGCGATATTTGACACGGAATTTGGTTGAGATCGGACTTATATCCATACAATAAAATCGGGTCCCATGATCACACCCATCCTACATCAGTTCATATCTCACCGACCTGCTGTCTTAACCTGAATCCTTCACCTCCGGCCATTCCCCTGAAACACTCTCCAATCACATCTACCATCCTCCCTTCTTTAACAATTACCCTTTCCAGTCCTCCACTATCTTGAATCCACCCTCACCCTTCCCCACCGCCAAAATGCTCCCAGGCTACCGCGGCAACCGCCCCCCCCCTTCCTCCTCCAACTCCCGCCCCTCCGAATCCCAACCCTTCCTCGACCGCCCCGATCCTCGCTACGGCGCCCAACAACCTCCTCCCGGTCGCTACAACAACGGCCCTTCTCACGATCCAAATGCCCCCTATCGCGACCACAGTCCCGCGCCCACGTACCGCTCCCGCGACCCCCGCCAAGACCCTTACAACGAATACCAGAACCACCCCCCCAGCCGCTCCGGCGGCGGCGGCGGCGGCGGCATGACGCTCCGCCCCGTGAAATCCCCCGGAGGCAACGAAGCGGCCTTCTCGAACATCGCGCTCGTCTCCCCGGCGGACTTCGGCGGCGCCCCCGGCAAAGGCGCGCGGACGTACATCCTTCTCAACGGGCGATACGTGCTGACGGCGGAGCCGAGCGAGGCATGTCAGCCGGGGACGGTGGGGCTGACGGATGCGCAGCGGACGTGGGCGGAGGTGAGCATTGGGCCGAACGACACGGTGGGGGTGGAGCGGTATGATGTGCGGAGTCAGGGAGCGCCGTTGTTGGCGAGTGCGGATGTGGAGATTGGGTTTGCGACGGCGAAGAAGCAGCATGAGAATCCGTATGATCAGGATGAGTTGACGCAGGCAGTTATTAAGGTGAGTGGTGGCGATGGAGAGGCTACGGAGATATGGGAGTGGGCTAACTTGTGGTAGTCGTTCCGCGATCAGTTCCTGGCGCCTGGACAGGGCCTTTTGCTGAACCATAAGAACATTCCGCTAAGGATCTTGGTGAGAGGTGTGCAGCTTCTGGATATATCCACCGGAGACGCGAAGGACGAGAAAGGAGGTGAAAAAGCGGCTGATCCGCGAAAGCGGGGGATCGTGAATCCAAGCACGCAATTCAACTTCTTCAAAGAGGATGCCACTATCCTAAACCTCAAGGCCTCCATGTCGCGTCCCGCCGCGAACTCCGTACTCCAGCCCAATTTCGAGTTTGGAAACCTACAGGTTGGTGGCTTGGACAAGGAACTGGGCAACATCTTCCGGCGCGCGTTTTCGTCACGAATCTTCCCGCAAGGGGTGATGGAGGCCCTGGGGATCACTCACGTCAAAGGTATCCTCCTTTACGGACCTCCAGGGACGGGAAAAACCCTGCTGGCCCGCGAACTCGGGCGTTCGTTAAACGCGCACAGTCCCAAGATCGTCAACGGTCCGGAGATCTTGAACTCTTACGTCGGCAAGTCCGAAGAGAACGTACGCAACCTGTTCGTCGACGCGGAGAAGGAATGGAAGGAGAAGAAGTCCGAGAGCAAGACGCATCTGATCATCTTCGACGAGATTGACGCTATCTGCAAGCAGCGAGGCTCGGGCGTCGGCGGCGGCACGGGTGTTGGCGACAGCATCGTCAACCAGCTCCTCTCCAAGATGGACGGTGTCGATCAGCTCAACAACATCCTCGTCGTCGGCATGACCAATCGCCGCGATCTCCTCGACGACGCGCTCCTCCGCCCCGGCCGCTTCGACGTGCAGGTGGAGATCGGCCTGCCGAGCGAAGACGGCCGCGAACAGATCCTCGAGATCCTCACCCGCAGCGCGGTGAAAAGTGGCCGCTTCGCCGACGACATCTCCCTCAAGGAGCTCGCCCGCATCACCAAGAACTTCTCCGGTGCCGAGCTCGCCGCCCTCTACCGCGCCGCCGGCTCCATCGCCATGACCCGCCACGTGCGCTTCGGCCGTGGCGAGTCCGGCACCGTCGAGCGCCCGGAGGACCTAACCCTCACGATGGCGGACTTCCTGCAAGCGTTCGAGAACGACGTGAAGCCCGCGCACGGGCTGCAGGTTGACGAGCTGGACGCGAGGATCCGCTATGGCATCATCCCGTACTCGCCGCGCATCAAGGAGATCCTGACCAAGGGACGGCGGGCGCTGGCGGCATGCTTCAATGCGGAGTCAGGGAAGGATACCCAGGTGCGGCCGACATGTATCTTGCTACACGGGCTTGCTGGAGCTGGGACGTCGGCGCTCGCGAGTCGCATGGCGCTGGACGCCGATGTGCCGCTGGTGAAGTTCGTGGGGCCGACGAATTTCATTGGATATGGAGCGATGCAGACGGTTGGGGGGCTACAGAAGGCGTTCAATGACGCGGCACGGAGCAAGCAGAGTATCATCGTCCTAGATGATATCGAAGGGTTGATCGAGTGGTTTGATGTGGGCATGCGATACAGCACGCAGGTATTGGCGGCACTTATGCGCCTGCTCACCGAATTGTTACCAAAGGTTCGTGCTATCTAATCTATCTCGCACTCAGTTCTCCGTCAGCTAACATTCGACCCTCAGGGCCACCGCCTCGCCGTCATCGGCACCACCCGCACCCCCGAGCCCCTCAAGCAGCTTCGCCTTTGGCAATTCTTCCAAACCAAGATCGACGTCCCCTACGTGAGTGGGGTCAACGAGCTCGCGCAGGTGCTGCGCCATTCCGGGAAGTTCTCCGACCGGTCGCAACAGCTGATTCACGCGACGCTGCAAGATCAGTTGCGCGGGAACCCGTTGTCGGTGGGGATCAGAGATGTGTTCCACGCGGTGGAGATGGCGAGCGATGCGGAGCCGCATGTATTTGCGGATGTGTTGCTGAGTAGGGTGCAGGAGGATAATCCTTTCTTGATGCCGCCGCCGCCGGAGGAGGAGAGTATGGAATAGATGTCAAGGTTTGGCGATATGTCTAGCATAATTGATTCCAATTGAATAGAATCCATGCCTTCGACGTAAGTCCCCCGCCAGTGTACTAGAAAAAGTTGCACGCAATCCACCGCGAGTATCTGGTTCCTCCCCTCGATGCATGCCTCCAGCCATATCAAATAATATACATAGGAGTAGTATATCTGATTGGGTCCTTCCGAACTTTGGACAGTATTCATGCTCCATGTTGACTGCATACCAGACTGGGGGCTTTCAGTGCCCTCAACACTTCGATGAAGTACATCCCTCTGCTTACCGTAATGCAGTGTACTTAGACCTGGATACATGTTCCAGGCCCGCAATTTCCCCCGCCAGACCTCCCAGTGTAACTTGACCATCAGACCGAGTGTGGCCGGAGAAATTCACCAACCCAGTAGGTGCAGGACGGGCCGGCTTATCACATATGCTGTCCACTGCCAGAATCCCCCTTCCCAACAGAATGGACGGGATGAGTGGCAAAACGGCCAACGGCCACGTCGACGTGCCGTTGGCATTGTTCGCTTGGGCTGCAGGAGGGCTCTCGGGGTGCATACAGATGGCATCATGTGTACTCGCCCGAGAACGACCTTACTTGCCCGTACCCGACAACTGAGGAGCGGATTTCCGGTGTAAGAGGCTAGCGATTAGCCGTTAGCATAGGTCTCCAATCGCCGTCCTCCTCGCTGGTATGCAGGACCCATGTACGAACACATCGATGGACGACTGGAGCAGGTCGGTCTGGGACACCTGATACCACGACATCCCGGCCACGCTGCTTCGAGTCCTGCTACTCAGTGCCCGCATCGTGGACGGATCTGCGGCTGCATAGTCTAAGCGTGGCGGGTGCAGCTAGTCGCCCGGAACTGAATCGACACCCGGGATAAACGGGGACGCCCTGTGATTTGCGAGCCGGAGAGGGAGGAGAGGATTCCAGTCGCCTCTGCTTGGAGGGCGGAGCTCTCCACAGGCATCACGGCAGCACGCACACGCATATTCAACATGACACCAATCTCGCGTGGTTTGTACTCAGTGCTTCCAGTACCGGAGCTTCGAACGGCCTGTACGACTAGCCCATGTTGCCTTAGCATGGGATCATGTAGTACTGGCTCGGGAAGCTTGGGCATGGCCGGACCAACGGCGTATTAAGGTGCTGAGACTTCGGGTTGTATCTTTTCCCTCATCGTTGTTGGCAGTTGGAGAGTTGCATAAACTGAGTATCAGCTGTGTACACTTTAAGGCGATATGCGCCAAGCGCGAGGATACCCATGACTCGCTCCACACGTCGATTTCGGCTTCCTACAAGGTCTCTCGAGGTTCTCTCTAATTACGTCTACAGACTGCTCCAATTCCTACAGAGGTTTCTACTCGTCTATCAAAATTCGAATCGCCCCAAATGACGCCAACGATAATCCGTCCCGCGTCGCGAAGCCCATCTCCGCAATGCCCCGTAAATCTCACCCCTAGCCCGCCCTGCACCATCGCCCTCGTCGCTACGAGGATTCCTGACACGAGCAACAACGATGCAGCTCTCCGCTCCGAAGGGATAGCTGTGTGCCTTTCCTCCGATCCGAGGCCCTGGTTCCCTCAGCGAAAGCCAGTCCATCCAGTCGAACGGACGCATGCGGAAATTCTGCCAACTCATCCGCTCCATCAAATCGCTAGTTGACAACGGAGCAAGTTTGATGCAGATAGCAGCGTTGTCCGGCATCGCCATCCATGCACTCGCGCGTTTCTCCAATCTTCATGGTCATGCTGATTTTACGGAGTTTTTAGCCCGGCCCGGGGTTTTCGGCTTGCTTCTGCCTTGGGGAGATTGTTGATGGGGGTAATGGGATCATGCCCCGTCATTGCCGACTAAAACCTCATGCTGTGGAGAGGTCGATTCTCTGGCCTCACCATTGATTCTTATTGGACTTCCAGAGAACGAATTAGTCGTGTTCTAGGCCGTCTTCCCTGTACTACTGCCATTTTATTCTGCTTCAATTTCTGATGCGCAGGCAGCGCTTGGCGGCAATGTTGGTAGCAGTCGTCCCTGGCTTCCTTAGTCTGATATCCCACCGACTACTGTACCACATGATGATTTCGAGGCAATTGAATGGCCAATGGCTGCCGTATCTCCACCGGATGCTCATCTTCCTGTCTAGGTTAAGCATTTCCTGGCATCTGGTGTTGTGGGATGTCCGTTGAGTGGTCAATGGCAGGTGAAGTGCTCGAACTGTCGTATCAGTCAATCCCAGAGCATCGACGATGGTGGAGAAAGTTGGAAATCCTGTCATCGCTCTGCAGTAACCGTCCGGGGGTTGACGGGTATAAAAAGGTGAGAAATTTGGAAAGTTTTCGATTTCCTTCTGCTTCCTTTTCCTCCAGTCCGTCGCCAATTCTTCCGAGTCAGATATCATTACTTGAAGCATCATTACTTGTCACAAGTCCATACTTAGCCCAACATCACCTCAACCGAGTCACTCCACAGACTTATCATCATGACTTCCACTCAACAGTACGCATACTACTCACCCACTCAGTCAGCTCCAGTGAGCATGCCCCAGAAGCCGGGTCAATATCCTGCTTCTGCCTATCCGTACTACCAGAACCCCTATCAGCGTCTGTCTGCCTCGCCTCCAGAGGTAGCGGACAGCTCCACCACTTCCGGCGTTGCTTCGTATTCAACCACCTCCAGCAACTACGCTGGGAGCGTCAGCGAGTACGATACCAGCTCGTCCGGTGGCAGCGCGTCAAGCGTTGATTTGCTCGACTACATGGGTGGCCGAGTACAGGCTGCCTATGATCCAATGCCCATGGATAAGAGCTTAGTACAGCAAGCGCAGACGTGAGTTTCACCGCACTGATTTCCGATGAATTGATTCTGACCATTTTCGCAGCTCCGGAAAATTGAACGCCAAAACACAAGAGCTGCTCCGCTTGCAAGCGCTCGCTCGGAGCCGACTGGCGTCGGTGCAAGCGGGCTTCAACGAGGGGATGAAGACAGCGAAGGACGTGCAGCAGGATCTGGAATGGACACAGAAACGCGTGGCGTAAGTTCTTCGTCCCACTGGCCCATTAGATTGGAATTGTTGAAATTGACCGAGAACTCAGATCCATCAACCAACGTGCTGCGCGAAAATATCCCGCAGAATATCAAATGGCCTCGGAGCGATATCCGGCACCCGTGTCGGACTACTAGCTCTGCTGCCATCTCTCCCCCTCTCTTCATTCAATTCCCCAAGTTTTCATTTCTTCAATTGTATTATTCCCTTGGCGGCTTCCTTTTCATCGTCGGAGGTCAAATTTGAATTTCTCACGAGGTCACGACGTTTTACGACACATGTGTTACCCCTGGTGTTCGATTTCATGCACGTCCAACCATTCTCAGCCCTGCAGGTTACCAAGGCCAAGCTCCGATCGGATCGCGTGGGCGATGCAAGGGCTTTGCGTTCGCGCCCCGTTCCCAGCGGGTCGGTCCGCACTGGTCAATGTGATTCGGGCTTCGAGACTGCAGACGGTGGGTGCGCTGGCTCGCCGTCGGATTGGATGGGGGTGCCACGGTATGGAGGGGCAGCGGATGCATGACTTAATGCTTGTTTTGCTCAATTCAGTGGAGCGACGCCGGGACAGTAGGGAGGGTGTAGTGGAGGGTATTCTGGGTGTGCAGGCGTCTGAATGGGTCACAATCGGAGGACAAGGTCAAAATGGGTGGATCCCTTTAGCTTAGTGTGCGAGTCATGGATAATTCACGTATTATACAAGCAGAGGACTCCGGTAGGGGTATCTGGACATGATCTTCAGTCCGCATGTGGCTCGTTATGGTAGGTTTGATACGAGATGTAGGCCACAGGCCGACAGAGTCGGACGAAGGACCCCTTAAAGTCTCCCAGCCCATTCAGTACAGTCCAGTGAAGATAAGCTCGAGACACAGAGATTCTCGTCTGTGGTCTCGGCGCCCTATTGGCTTCCTTGAGCACCATAGAAAGACTCGTCCCATTGAGAGAGGGTTAGTCACATGACCTAGTCATGTAGAAGACGGAGGGCTTCGATAGCATCTCGTGCTCCATATAGTGCTCTGCCAACCATTTTGGGATAGCTTAAATGTAAAGCATATTCCCAAAGTCTATAGAATGTCAGTGCTATCCTGAAGCCCGCCATGACTGTGCTGCAACGACATACCTGACCCAGTTATGCCATCACATCTGGGCATCGAGAGCATACACCCGTCCATAAGCAGCTCTCGAACGAAGTATTCTCATAAGTGGGATCCACAGTCCACTGGTACTTCGATATGTCCAAGCTCTTGCTATTAATCTATAACCTCATCCCTCATCCTCCATCCATCACCTCCCCTCATCCCTTATCTTCCACCCGTCATCTGGCCTCATCCCCGCCCACTGCCCCTCACCCGAGTTTGCTACTCCTTTTTTAAGACGCGCCCATGGATCTTCGATGAAACTAGGCAAGAAATACACCATATCGCCATCCGGGTTCCGGACGCCGCTGCGGAGAGCCTGGAGGTCGCCTTGGCTAAGGTTCAAGCTCATAGCCGCGGACTGATGGCTATTCTGGGGAGCGGGTGCTGGAATTTCGGCCTCATTGGATGGGGTTGGTAGGAACGCTGTGAAGACATTAGTATGGGTATCGTGGTACGGGAGAAACTACAGGTGGCTTACCAGAAGTGGGATGTGAAGGGGAGGGGTGAGGTGTGTCAGATGGCTCTCGTTTCCGCTTTTGGCTTGCGGATTCGTGGGAATTGGCGTGGGGATCCCCGACGGCGGCTTCAACCATTTTGAACGTTTAACAAGGAGCTATAGGTAGGACACAGTTTTCACAATTGCATGCCAATGCTCGATGGACAAAAGTTGGGAAGCTGGAGGGAAAATATATATGGAGGTACGTTTCGCACTGTGATTGGTTCGCTGAAGAATTAGACCTGACCGACGCGTCGTCCATGTCGTGTCTCGTCTGCTTCATAAAACTTCCAACCTTCATCACACCTCGTCTCCATTTCATTTTCTGTTTCAAGGATCCATTCAAAAGTAGGTAGGTATGCACAAGTTGTTGAATCTTATTCCCATTACCGTATGTCATGTTTTAGTCGTTAATAACATTTCCTCCGAAAACACCATGTTTCAACCAAGCGTATAAACGTATTCATCCTTGCGAACCTTATTACTTAATACCTCCCTATTCACTTACATGCATGGTGTTTTATTCCAGTCTGTAACTCTGCAATTCCATAATGATCCAAACAATGTCACGATTCGAACACCTAGTCGTATTTAGGTTGGAACGGCAGGGTGGAAAGCTGCGCACCCGGATTGCCGTCGATACCGAGGATGTTATAGAACCATTTGAGGATCACGAGGAATGACTCCGGCTCTCCCATATGCTTCAGTCTAGGTACAAAGCTATTCAAGTCAGAAAGAGCCTCAGGTGTAATGGAGGGCAACGTACCGGACTTCCTTCGGTGCACCGTGCTGTAAAGCGAGGTAGTAGTCATCAATTGGGAAGATCTCGTCCTCAGTGCCCTAGAGACGATTAGTCTAAGAGAGAGTTATGAGGCTAGAGGTCTCACGTTGACAAGGAGTAATCTCGCACACTCCGGTATGTCGAGGGTACCATCTTTCAGTAAGGAGAACTTATCCGAAGCCTCTTTCTTGAACGTCTCGACATCATCGCCGTATCCCCACTTATAGCAGAGCGTGTTGGCGAGGCTGCAGCTCCCATCAGCACATCATCTTCGATCCCGACGAACTGGGACTTACTCGAACGGGTACTCCAAATGGTTCACCTGATCCAACCATGCCGGCTCAAACATATAATGACACCCGCCGCCAAGCGCTGCCACACCCGCCAGCCGCTTCGCATGCGTATGCGCCAGCCTGATCGCATAGAACCCGCCCGTCGAGAACCCCCAGGCGCACACCTTGCCACTATCGATCCCCCCCTGCTGGTCGACCCAGTCCAGCAAGCTGGAAAACACTCTGTCGGGGCTGGTTCGATCCTTCGGGTCGGCGGGCGAGTCGCCGGTGCCGGGGATCTCGAGGATCGCGGTCGCAACACCGTGACGTCGCCATCCTTCAATCCATACGGCGAGCTCGGTGCGGTAGCCGTCGAGGCCGGTGATGATGATCATGAGGGGGGCCGGGTTCGCTTTTGAGGCGCTGGCGGGGAGGTGGTGGCCGATGGGGATCGACGTGCCTTCGTGGGGTAGGCCATGGGTATGCGGGACGTGGATATCATATGAGGGGTGTTCGCGCAGGCTAATGGTGGCTTTAGAGTCCGATCCGTAAAGTACATTATAACAAGAGGCGATCTCTCACCCTAGCCCTTTGAAACACGCCTCCTTGCCTTCGACCCAGGCTTCCATTTGCTTCGGCGACCGTGGGGCCGGGAATCGCGAGATTCGGTAAACCGCCGATGCGCGTCTGCAAGACTTGTGAGCGGTAGGGGATACGTGCCAACATGGTCACTCACAGGTAGTATTCCGAAGCCTTGTCGTTGTCGCCGGCGTTCTCCGCAGACACTGCATTGGCAACTAGTTCCTTGGCTTTGGGAACGAATACTGACGCGTATTCATCCCAGTCGTAGGGCTCGCGCATATTCCTCTGTTCACAAGATGTTGGTGAGAGTTAGTCGAATACGGTGGTGGCACTTTCAAATACCCTTTCCATTTCCTCAACGATCGGTAGGAAGTCTTTCGCTGTCGCGAACATGAAAGGATATACGCCCATCTCAGCCTGTCTATTGTCAACATCGGCAATCTTAGGAGGGGCATCACCAGTCCATACTGGCTTCTTCCATTTCGTCTCCCATAATTGTTTGAAGGACTCGTGATGCGGCGCAACCTGGTCCAGCTTAGCCTGGATAAAGAATTGACCTCCTGGAGCTGCCATTGTGGGGATTGATTTTGTAATGACAATTGAGAGACTTCGACTGATAGGCTTCAAGTGATCATAGACTTCAACAATTCAAACGTGAATTCGAACAAGGTATACAAGCTCATACCGGTATTTCCTACACACTCATGGCTCTTTCACGGCTCTTATATATGCTTGAAACATTGCTGCTCGTTCCTGCGTTGTGCATCGCTGACTCCGTGAGGGGAGCCGACGCATCGTGACTGCACCTCATCCAAATAAGTATGTTCGACTGATCTAGGCTGCTTATCGAATTTCGTTTCCTTATTTTAGCAATATTTTATTAGCTATGGATGCGCAAAGTGCACTCATATAAACTCAGCTTCAATCAATAAATGTCTCAACTCCGAACTTACTTAAGATCAGGTAGGTAATAATAACTAAGTCTAGTTAGTTAGAGAGCCCAAGTTTAACTATTGTTTACAGTTGCTTGTGTGACCTTATATGGTACTCTACAGCTAACTTAGGTCTGGGGATAAATCCGCATTTCGTAAACCCCCACCACAAGCACCACCCCACAATTGCGCCGATGATCGCCGGGATAGGGAGGTTCGAATATGCGAATTCTTCCGTGAGATCTTCAGATTTGCAGTTACAGGTCGACGCAATGATAATGCAGGAATGGTGTACGACTTTATCGCCCCCGTTACTGTATTCCATCCCATCTCATAAAAATTGCAGGATCGTGGCTTATCAAAGAGCGCCTTGAGTATTACCAAATTCTCTATAAATATGACTCAGCATTTGATGTCTCGTAACTCGTTCAGTTCTGTTGCATGATGCATCACACATTAGGAAGAGTGGAGCTGAGCTCACAAGCTCCCCTTCCCGCCGAGATTGAAATATCGCCGTCATCCGGGTATCTTCTTCATTCCAGGTGAGGGACAATTGCTTTAGAACATTCCTCAATTGATAGTGCAACAACTGAAAGCCAGTCACTGGAGTGCTTTGGTAATTTGAAGAAAGAAATCGTCCCAAATACACGAAAGAAATGGCTACCCCCGTGAGAAGGCCATCCTCTCGGAAAGGTCAGTTACTGTAGTCAATTGGCCATATCAGCTCTGACCTGCAGCAGGGTCGATGTCCGATGTGCCGAAAGACCTCCTTCAGCAGATCGAGCGGCTTGAGGGACTCTTCACAGTCCCGCAGGAGAAGCTCAAGGCGATAACGGACCACTTCGTGTCGGAGCTTGCCAAAGGTATGCCTCCGACTCCAGACCATGGGACTAAGAGGAGCGACCGTGGCTAACTGAGGCAGGACTGTCGAAGGAAGGCGGAAGTATAGTATGTCGAGTATCCAAATCGCGTTGTCCGACGCTCACAACCATCCTTCACAGCCAATGATCCCAACATGGTGTATGGGCATCCCAAACGGACACGAGACCGGCACCTTTCTCGCCGTGGATATGGGCGGGACTAATCTCCGGGTTTGCGAGATTGTGCTCCCAGATGCGAAGGGCGAGTTCGACATAATACAATCGAAATACCGAATGCCGGAGGAGTTGCGGACTGGAACAGCGGAGGAGCTGTGGGGATACACGGCGGATTGTATCAAACAGTTCATCGAGTATCATCATGAAGATGAGAAGCTTGACCAACTACCCATGGGTTTTACGTTTTCGTACCCGGTCTCGCAGGAATATATTGACCATGGAGTGCTCCAGAGGTGGACGAAAGGCTTTGATATAGATGGCGTTGAAGGGGTGGATGTGGTTCCTCCGTTTGAAGCGGCACTCAAAGAGAGAGTATGGCATATGCAACGTCAAATGTTGCTTGGAAACTGACTTGGTTCTGTATAGGGTGTTCCCATCAAACTAACCGCACTCGTCAACGACACCACCGGTACCCTTATGGCATCGGCATATACTGATGATACCGTCAAGATCGGCTGCATCTTTGGAACCGGCTGCAACGCCGCATATGTGGAAGACTGCGGCTCAATACCGAAACTCGAGCACATGAACCTCGACCCGAAGCTACCGATGGCTATCAACTGCGAGTGGGGTGCTTTCGACAACGAACACATCATCCTACCGCGTACTCCGTACGACATCATCGTCGACAAGGAATCTCCACGGCCAGGCCAGCAGAGTTTTGAAAAAATGGTCGCAGGGCTGTATCTCGGAGAGCTGTTCCGTCTGGTCCTGCTTGACTTGCATACGAACCCAGAAGTCCAGATATTCAAAGGCCAAAACGTAGACGAGTTGCAAAAGATGTACTCTTTGGACGCGTCGTTCCTTTCAGCCATTGAAGTGTGCGTATTTCTCAGCCCTCGATTCTGACCTTTCCCTAATCCCTTCCCAGGGACCCTTATGAGAATCTTCAAGAAACCGCGGATCTCTTCTCCTCAAAACTAGGCATCCACGTCAACAAGCCCGAACTAGAGCTCTGCCGCCGGCTCGCCGAACTGATCGGCACTCGGGCCGCCCGACTCACCTCCTGCGGCGTCGCAGCCATCTGCAAGAAAAAGGGATATACGAGCTGCAAAGCTGGTGCGGATGGCTCAGTCTTCAACAGGTACCCGCACTTCAAAGCTCGAGGAGCGCAAGCTCTACGGGAGATTTTCGACTGGCCCAGCGACCTGAAGGATCCGATTGAGGTGATTCCTTCAGAGGATGGGTCCGGCGTAGGGGCCGCACTTATCGCGGCGTTGACGCTGAGGAGGTTGAAAGAAGGCAACCACGCTGGAATTCGGTATGTTCATTTTGTGCTGGTAAAGGTTTGTGCCATCCTAACGCAATCGCAGAGATCCACAGGCAATTCTTGCTTCGGCGAAGTCCTAGGACGGACCAGCGGCCGTATAGTCCCGCTCTAGTATGGTCGATGAAGGAAATGATGAGGCTAATCCCGTCTTGAACCAAATGACAGATATGGTTAAGTGAATAGATGAATGAAAACAAAACTTGGAAGATAGATAGGTACCTGTGTAGCAACCTACCTCTAATGAACCTTTTCGCTCTTGGGCCGAGAAGTTTTGTCTTTGCCAAAGTTCACAACTAAAAGCCTATAACTAAAATATACTATAGTTAAATCAATAGAGCACTAAACCAAAGGTAATGTTCAAGCATCTAACTAGGTATCTGTGATGTAAGTTAGATTATTACTCACTAGAACTTTGCCACTCCGTCAGTCTTTGTGTTAAACAAACTTCATGAGTATGAATCATTGACGCTAACCCCAAAGAGGACTAGCGTACCATCCCCAACTTTTGATTTGCAGACAATGAACGTCAACCATCGACTCCAAGCTCTGCACATTTTGCGAGAATATCACTGTCCACCTCTGTCGAAACAGGACAATTAGACCATGCCATACACCTCTTGAGTATGGCGAACGAAGATTCTGGGGAATCGTCCCCTACGATACAGGTGGAGAACGTCCAGAAACACCTGTTCTCTAGTTCCACAAAGCTGCGCACCGCAGAGCTTCATACACTGAAGCGATATGTAAACGATGAGCGTAAGCATAACAACAATCCTTTGGACAATGCCATGATTTAACAGGAACAGATCTTAGCTCATCGGAAATAAAAAGCATCGCCACCCTTCTTTTCAAGTTACACCCCAGATACATCGATCAGGAATCACGAACTGCGGCCCGACAATGTCTGGCTGCGTTGATATCTTCCGAGCACGGGCAAGATGCGGTTGCCGTCATCATCGATTCGATTACCTCCGAAGCATCCAAACGAACCATAGCACCGGGCAATGCTTTTGTACTTCTCTCCTGGTGCTCCGCTCTCCATAAAGAGACCAAGGACAACACAGCCTTCTGGGACAAATGGGGGGGTAAGCTCGTCGATGCCGAAGCGAATGCCCTTGATCTCGTACTCGGAACGGGACACCGCGAGAGTGTGAAAAAACATTGCAGAGGGAAGATAAGGAGTGCTTTTCGAGCATTGGTGGAAACCGGTCCTGCTGGAAACAGTATAGTGACTGGGCTGATCAAGAAGCTCACAACCAAAGGATCTGCACCAGCAGCCAAGAATGCTCTAGTACTAGGCCTCATTGCGAGTGCTTGCTCACGAACACCGTCTACGCATCCAGTAATCGAGCAGAGCAAACCGGATATCTACTCCTTTTATGTTCGTGAAATCCTTGCTTCGCGGACGGCTGTCCCCGAGCATGTCGCGGGTGGGCTTCACCACTTCTTCAGATCCTTTTCTTCGCTGGATGAGCTTCGGACTCAAGTGGTAGGAAGCATAGAAAAAGGGTTGCTCCGAGCCCCAGAAGTGCTCTTAAACAATGTCCTCAATCAGCTGTTCGCCTCGGTCTCTCCTGAAGTCGACCTCTCGACTGTCCTCAAGGGGCTAGTCAAGCCTCTTATGTCGAATCTCAAGTCGACAAATCTAGTCGTCAAGAAGGGTGTTCTAGAAGCTTTCCATGCTCTCGCAGCGAAGTCGCACGATCAGACGGCTCTCTCTACTGTCGTGGATGAGTTGCTGAAACCTTTGAAACAAGGAAAGGTCACAGCCGCAGACCAGAAAGCCGCCCATTGCCAGATGCTAGCGGCGTTGCAATGCAAAGATAGCCTAGCGCTGCGGGTGGCAACTGACTTGACAGCGGTAGCGCAGAAAGAGTCAAACGATGTAGCTCTTCATGCCGAACTGCAAACAGCAGCTGCACATGCAGTGACCGCGTTTAAGGAAGGGCAGAGCTTTGATAAGGTCGTCAATGACGCGTTCACTAAGGGATGTAAAGAAAAGCGTCCGGCGTTCTCGAAGCGCTGGGCCCTGTGCTTTGGCAATATTGTCCTGGGCTCGTCAGAAGATACCCTTGGTTCACCAGGAATGGTAGCCTTCATCAAAGCCGCATTGAATGGGCTGGTAGATGCCTACAAGGACATAACCGCCAATCCGATTCAAGCCACTCAAAACGGATCGATATCAACAGCCTACGTTACGGCTACATTGTCACTGTCCACACTCCGAACGATCAATGACAATGATGTCTCTTCGATCCTTCAAAAACTCGCGGTACAAAAACATTTGTACATGGTCGAACCAAAACCATCTTTCCTCCTAAACCCTCGCGTCTACACCAAACTGCTCGACGAAGAAGACATAGCCTGGTGTCTACGATGCCTCGAGGCTGCCGTGGATGGTATCGCAAGCACCAAAGACAACCAAGACGCGGCACGGCCGTGGTCACAAGGGATCTTATATTTCTTATCAGAGAGACGATCTGCAGCGCTGTCAACGCGGTCAAGCGAAACGATTGCGAGCGCATTCAATGCTCACCCTGGGTTCGTCGGACAGGCAGTGATTGATGGGATATGGACGTGGTTGGAGCAGTTGAGTAAGGGAGACAAAGACTCCGTTGCATTGATGTCAAAAGGAGGTGACCATGCACCCCATGCTGCCCTTCACGCTATTTTCCCCCAGAAGACAGCTCAACTATCCGGACTTAAGGATGTTTTGTCCGAAAACCTAGTTCGAGCTCTTGTTATAAGCCAACCCAATCTCATCCCGCGAGCATCGTGGATCAACCTTTGCCTACGGACGGGTATCGATCCTGGAAACCTAGTCAGCGCAAACACCGATCGTTTCCTGGATGCAGTTCTAGATGGAAGCAAGTCTGACCAAGACTCACAATGGGCAACATCTGTCAGGAAGGCCGCGTCCAGAGCCGCCGCAGAACTGGTGTTCGTGGCACCGGATGCCCTACTAGGACGCTTGCTGGACCGGACACAATCCCTTCTCGACCCTGCACAACTTTCAGACATCGGGCCAACCGAAGTGGGCATCTTCAATACCCCTGAAGGGACCCCCTTCGTAGATGTTCTCAGCAAGCAAGGCTCGGCACCCACATCCCATAAGGGATCGAAAGACCGGGATGCTGAACAGTGGGAGCAAGAGCTACGCAAAGAATTGGCCGCGAAGAAGGGCCACGCCAAGAAGTTGACGGCTGACGAGCAAGCGAAGGTCAAAACCCAACTGGCGAAAGAAACCGTCATTCGGCGGCATGTTGCAGAGGTTCGCGAGAGATTGTTGCGCGGAGCCGGCATTGTCGATGCGCTCGTGAATGGTCCTCCCACTGATGCGCAGCGATGGGTTGTTCCCGTCATCAGATGTCTTCTCGACCTAATTGCAGGAGATAAGGGCGGTTTACTAGGCACAGAGGCAACGTCGACGTTCCTTGATTTGTCTAAGCTAGTGACTCCAAGATTGGGATCTCTTCGTCTCTTCGTCGGAGTGGCAACTCTTCGAGCGCTTGACGTGCAGCAAGTGTCAGCAGATCTCCAACGAGAGCCACTGGGCGAGCTCGTTACTCGCGTTCTCTACCGGATGAGGTTCGTGGGCGAACAGAGAACATTCGACCTTGTATCTCTGGCTTACATCCACCCTCTCATTATGCTTATCCTCGAGAAAGGTGGTATTTCCGCTCCCGATGCTGACGCTGCGGACGAGCAAATTACGCTTGCTATCGAGTTTTGTTCCGGCCATGCTGATCCGATCGCAAACGCGGCGTTGCCCAGGGATCGAATGTTGTCGGCGCTAGTCTCTACGATGCAGCGGTTCACACAACACTACAAGATCACGAAAGACTGCTTCGCGGACTTTGTTCGAGCACTGTCACTGGACATTTCGAAGCAGGAACTAACGATCCTATTGAAGGCATCCCTTGTGCCTCAGACCGCTGTCCGCACAGCTGTGCTGCAGGCTATTGACGCTGAATTGGAGCTTGACTCCAACCAATTCTATCCAGAGATTTGGGTGGAATGCCATGATGACCTTGCAGAAAATCGCGAGATTGCGGAGACGATCAAGGAGGAGAATAGCATCCAGGTGCCCGAATCTGCGGCAGCCTCGATCATTGAACATCTGTCATCGCCTGATTCCCAGCGTCGGCGAGCTGCTGCACGTTCCATTGCAAGCGCCACGAAAAAGCATCCGAACACATTCAATAGTCTGCTAGACCAGTTGATTGACATCTACAATGCCAACGAGAAGCTACGAGAACCGGAACGCGACAAGTTTGGCATGACCAAGAGCAAGGAGGCCAAAGACCTATGGGAATGGCGAAGCGGCGCTGCCCTCACTCTCCGTGAATTAGCTCCCGTATTCGCGGAGGTACGATTGGTGGACTTGGTACAGTTCTTGGTCCTAAAAGGCCCACTCGCCGACCGAAACGGAACGGTCCGTTCGCAAATGATCGAAGCTGCCGCGGCCATCATCAACGCGAAAGGGAAGAACAAGCTGGCCGAACTGACCAAGCTATTTGAAGCGAAACTCGACAAGTCAGACAACGGTTCGGTGAAGGAAGATCGGGTCAACGAGGCCGTTGTCATTCTCTATGGTACTCTTGCGAGGCACATACCAAGCGGTGATGCACGAATTCCTAAAGTCGTGGCTCGCCTACTGGGAACATTGGGAACCCCCTCCGAGAGTGTCCAATACGCTGTAGCAGAATGTCTGCCGCCCCTAGTCCAAGCATCCAAAGATTCCGCGTCCGACTACTTCAAAAAAACCATGGATGAGCTATTAAATTCCAAGAAGTATGCCGCCCGTCGTGGCGCCGCGTATGGACTGGCTGGTATTGTTCAAGGATACGGCGTCAAGGCTTTCAGGGAACAACGGATTATGAGCACGTTCCAGGCTGCTTCGGAGAACAAGAAAGATGCAGGCCAACGGCAGGGTCCATTCCTTGCCTACGAGCTATTCTCCCTTATCCTAGGGCGCGTCTTCGAGCCGTATGTTCTTCACATCGTCCCGCAGCTGCTCGCAGGCTTCGGTGATGCGAATGCCGATGTGCGAGAAGCTTGTCTAGACGCTTCGAAGACTTGCTTCTCTACTCTATCCCCTTATGGTGTGAAGAAGATCCTTCCGGAACTTCTAGATGGCCTTGATGAATCGCAATGGCGGAGCAAGAAGGGTGCTTGTGAACTGCTTGGCGCCATGGCTTACCTTGATCCAAACCAATTGGCAATGAGCTTGCCGGAAATCATTCCTCCATTGACAAATGTACTGAATGACAGCCACAAAGAGGTCCGAGCTGGTGCGAAACAGGCTCTTCAACGCTTTGGCGAGGTGATCAACAACCCTGAGATCAGGGGAGTGGTGGACATTCTCCTGAAGGCATTGAGCGATCCCACGAAACACACTGAGACGGCTCTGGACTCATTACTCAAGATCTCGTTTGTGCACTATCTTGATGCACCGTCTCTGGCCCTGGTTGTCAGGATTCTTGAGCGTGGATTGGCGGATCGGTCCGGCACGAAACGAAAGGCCGCCCAGATCATCGCGACATTGGCACATCTTACGGAGAGAAAAGATCTAATTACGCATCTCCCCGTCCTCGTCGCTGGCCTCCGTGTCGCGGCTGTTGATCCTGTACCGACCACCCGGGCCACTGCTTCCAAGGCACTTGGATCGCTAGTGGAGAAGCTAGGCGAAGATGCCCTTCCGGATTTGATCCCAAGTCTCATGGCAACCCTTCGTTCAGACACCGGTGCCGGCGACCGTCTGGGATCAGCACAAGCGCTCAGCGAAGTCCTTGCCGGACTGGGTACATCCAGATTGGAGGAAACCTTGCCTACCATCCTTCAAAACGTCGCCAGCTCGAAGCCATCGGTGCGCGAAGGTTTCATGTCGCTGTTCATCTTCTTGCCTGCGTGTTTCGGAAACAGCTTCTCCAACTACCTTGGCCGCATCATCCCGGCGATCTTGTCGGGTCTTGCCGACGATCTGGAGTCGATCCGTGAGACTGCGCTGCGAGCCGGTCGCCTGCTGGTGAAGAATTTCTCGTCCAGAGCAATCGATCTGCTGCTTCCTGAGCTTGAACGTGGTCTTGCAGACGACAGCCACCGGATCCGACTCAGCTCTGTCGAGCTGGTTGGTGATCTGCTGTTCAATCTCACGGGCATCAACAAAAACACCGAGGAAGAAGACATTGAAGAACAAGCTGTCGACGCCGGCGCCTCTTTGTTGGAGGTTCTTGGAGAAGATAGACGCAATAGAGTTCTATCAGCGCTCTACATCTGCCGTTGCGATACCTCCGGCCTCGTGCGCGCTGCTGCTATCAATGTTTGGAAAGCCCTGGTGGCATCGCCTCGAACTCTTCGCGACCTTGTTCCCACGCTTACGCAATTCCTCATTCGCCGCCTTGCCAGCTCCAACCCGGAGCAAAAGGTCATTGCTGGTAATGCTCTTGGGGAATTGATGCGGAAGGCTGGTGATGGGGTTCTGACCACATTACTGCCCACTCTCGAAGAAGGGCTACGAAGCTCGACAGATACGGATACGAAACAGGGTATCTGTATTGCCCTGCGTGAGCTGGTGGGCTCAGCGGCTTCGGAGACTTTGGAAGACCATGAGAAGACCATCATTGCTGTGATCAGAACTGGTTTGGCCGACTCCGATACCGATGTCCGGGAAGCAGCCGCCGAAGCTTTTGACTCGCTCCAGCGGATCCTCGGCAGGAGAGTTATCGAACACGTGCTTCCTCACCTGCTATCATTGCTTCGCGATGAAGAGTCTGCAAGCAATGCTCTCCTTGCCCTCCTAACGCTCCTCACGGACAACAACCGCTCGAACATGATTCTTCCACATCTGTTGCCACCTTTGCTCGTGTCACCAATGACCACTTTCAACGCGAGAGCACTTGCGTCACTTGCCGAAGTTGCAGGCGGACCGATGGTCAGGAAGCTACCCACAATCATCAATGCCTTTATGGACAACATCATTTCCTGCAAGGATGATGAGTTGCGAACCGAGTTGGAAGAATCCCTGGACACCGTCTTGTTGTCAGTGGATGAGTACGACGGCCTCAATACGCTCATGAGCGTTATGCTTGCTTTGGTTAAGCATGATGACCACCGAAAACGTCGCTGTGCGGACCAACGGTTGGCGGCCTTCTTCAGCAACACTGACAACGACTTCTCCCGATACTATCCTGACCTTATCCGCGCTCTTCTCATTTCATTTGATGACGGCGATCCGGAAGTTGTCCGCGCCGCATGGAGCGCTCTTAGCGAGTTGACTAAACAACTGTCCAAGGAAGAGATGGAGACGCTTGCCAATTCCACTCGACAAGTCTTGACCCAGGTCGGCGTCCCCGGCTCAAATCTCCCTGGATTCGGACTACCGAAGGGCATTAATGCCATTCTCCCCATCTTCCTCCAGGGCCTGATGAACGGCACTTCGGACCAGCGGACACAATCCGCACTGGCAATATCGGACATCATCGATCGCACAAGTGGCGACTCTTTGAAGTCGTTCGTCACACAAATTACGGGCCCGCTTATCCGAGTCGTGTCAGAGAGATCACCAGAAGTCAGATCTGCCGTGTTGTTCACGTTGAACAATCTTCTGCAGAAGATTCCGACATTCCTGAAACCATTCTTGCCTCAACTGCAGCGCACATTCGCGAAGTCACTTGCGGATACTTCAAGTGAGACCCTCAGAATGCGTGCTGCGAGGGCACTCGGAACTCTCATCACCATGACTCCTCGCATTGACCCACTGATTTCCGAGCTTGTGACCGGCTCCAAGACCCCTGACATCGGCGTCAAGTCGGCGATGTTGAAGGCGCTGTACGAGGTCGTCAGCAAAGTGGGCAAGAACATGAATGAAGCATCAAGGGCGTCGCTTCTAGCCCTGATTGACTCCGATGCACCAGGCTCTGAACTTTCGATTATCATCAACCATGCACGGCTACTGGGGGTATTGGTCAAGGTGTTGGACCCGGATACCGCTAAGCACGTCGTGAAGACCAAGGCTCTGACGACGAATTTTACTAATTTCTCGGTACTGGCCATGAATGCGGTCTTGCTTGACTCGGCTGAAGCGATTACTGCTTCCATGGCAGAAGAGGCTCGGGCTGTCATCTGCCAAGGCATAAAAGACAGTGTAAGTGGAATTGATTCATATTACGATCTAGGAAGCTCTTGCTAATGACATGTTCAGAGAGCCGATATTGCAGAAAATTGTGTCATAGCAGCCGGCAAACTAATGCTCACCGAATCAAGCCCACGTTCCTTCGAGTTCCTTAAGCCCTTCTTCGAGTCCTTAGCGCAAGTCATCGAACCCGGCAATCCCCCCGATGTGCGCCGTCTGTCCCTCGTGGTTATCCGCACCTTTAGCCGGGAACACAATGACGAGGTCCGGCCGCATCTCGCGTTGTTAGCACCGCCAATATTCGCAAGCGTCCGCGACATGGTCATCCCCGTCAAACTATCTGCCGAAGCAGCCCTGCTTTCGATCTTCTCGGTTGTCGAGGAGGAGGGCGCAGTGTTCGAGAAGTGGATCGCAGGACCAGGGGCGAACTTGCCGCCAAATGTGAAGAGGAGTATGGGGGATTATTTCAAGCGAGTCGCGATTCGTTTGGGAGCGCAGGCGAGAGAGAGGAAGGAGGCGGAGGGTGGTCAGGGTGGACTAGGGTTGTCGAGTGATGAGAAGGAGGACGAGCTGGAGCTTTGGCGGGTCGGCAAGGTTGACCTGGGAGAGAACGTGATGTTCGACGGATAGAGTAGAACCAAAAGGTCGCAGGATTGCGAGCCATTGACAGAAGTTTGCATACGGAGCCACGCTTTATAAATATTAGAATGTCTCCCCTAATGTTTTCAGCTATTGTTTGAGACTCTAACCCTCTGTTTATGGGCTTCGACTTGGTCAAAGTTCCTAGGTCTGAGTGCAACCTACCTTGTCTCAACTCGGCGATATGACGGGAAACAAGACAGTAAAGGAGATCTTCAGAGGAAACTCTACAATCATTGTCTCAATTGTATCTATTCCCATTGCCATTGCCGCTGTGTTGCTTATTACAGTGCTGCTCTAAAGCATTATAGACCCTGACCGGGTGTGGCTAAGGGGCCTGGTGTGGCTGAGCGCCAAGATCTCATCGGTCATCACTCATCACCACTTCCAACCTCCATTATCATTTCACCTTGCGCTTCCGAATACCCCATGTGAATCCATCGCCCACCGCCTATGCAAATTCACTCTTGATTCACGTGCACAAGATGCTGGAGCGGGTCCGTACCGCTGCCGCAATCCAGCCAATTTTCCTTTTCGATACGAACTAGCCATAGAATCCATCGCCCCGGTAGATCGATCGGCCGTACTCTCACTATGGCGACCATTGTCCCCTCCGCGACGACGACGGTGACTCCGGCGCTCAAACCATCACAATCGATGCCGACGACGGCGCAGAAGTCGAACGGGACAAGTGCTCCGACTGCCCCGCGCATGGACCTGGAGCCCATCTACACGGCCCTCAAAAACACCATACCGGAACACTGGACGGAATATAAAGTCGCTGTCAGCGAGTTCATTCTGGGTACGTTGCGCACAAATGCGCTTCCCTTCGCATACAGTATCTGACTCCAACAGGCCGTCTGGACCAAGATGAATTCACTAGGCGAATAGACCCATATATCAGCATTGACCCCACCCGGCTACACCATCACAATCAATTGATATGCGCCATTACATACAACTGCGGGCGCGATCCCCCAGAGCCTGGGGTTGCCGCTTGGGTGTCTGCCAATGACAAGCCGCTCACCGCGCCAAAGCCGACGTCGGGTGATGCAGCGGAGCACCGATTGAAGACGGAGGTGATGCAGCTTCCCGCTCGAGATCGGTTTAGGCTTAAGACAATACAAGATGTACGCAGATACAAACCTTTCAAGTTCGAGATAGAGTTGCTAATATGCTCACGGCAGGATCCGTACGATGAATTAGGGAAGACGTTCAATGACTACCATGCCGCTCGCCAGATCAAGATACCAGATATTGTTCCCACCTCCGCAGGTGGGTTCAACAAGACAAGTAAGGACTGCTCCCTCCTTGTATGGTGGAAAATAGACTAACCATGCATTCTTCTAGACTGGGAACTCGAAATCCGCAAACACTACACCCAACCCCTCTATTCCGAAACCAACGAATTCCCCGACGTCGACTCCATCCAAGGCCGTATGGTCCCGATCTGCTACGAAGAAGGCCTCGGCGGCGGCTGCGCGAACGGGTGCTCCGAATTCCTCAATATTGCCTCCGAAGCCTTCATCAAAGAAGCCCTAACCGTCTTTCTCGGCCGCGTCCGCTCCAATGGCCAGAACTTCATCAAAACCCGCACGTTCAAGCGGCGCCTCGAACGCGAGGAGTTCCTTGCGCAAAACACAAACACGGTGGTCCAGCGTAACGCCGAGTGGCTGCTGCCATGCGAGGTCGACGCGATGCAGGAGTGGCGACCGCTCACGTTGGCGGATCTGCGGGTCGCGGTACAGCTCGGGGAGAGCTTCTTCGGGCAGGCGCCGTTGATCGCGCAGCGGATGATGGAGCGGTGGCCGGAGGCAGACGATGAGGATCCGCGGTGGAAGAAGGAGGTGCCAAAGACGAATGGGGTGCATCCCGCGGCGGCAGAATCGGGTGTCAATGGGCATCGGGAGGAGGAGGGAGTAGGGGATCAGGATTTTGGGTGGGTAGGGGCGACCGGAAGTGATCGTGATACGTTCCTTTCGGTACTTGATGATTGCCTTGCCGTGGGTCAGTAAGGCTAGGACCAATATCAAGGGACGTGAGCGGAGTAACGGTGTTGCATAACGGATGTTTACAGATAGGACTTCCTATCGTGGTCGTCCGTGGAGGATTCCTCGATCCTTGCCCATGCCCGTCGATACTGATGTACGGCTTTATCAGTCATTGTCGGCGTTTTTGTGTGCTTTTTGCATCTTTCCGGCGCCAAGGGAATGGTTCAGATGGGAATAACGAAGCCGGAGTTTTTGGATATGGGTGCTCACGATACCCTGGGCATGGGCGATCTCATGTTGAACATGGCGGTTACATTGTCGGAGGGACGAAGGTGTTGTGTGACGATTACTATTCCATGTCATAATATGTCCCGCCCGAGGCGGATGGAACTACCGCCTGGCCTTCTGCTATCAAATTACGTGCCACCAGCAACATCACACCGACTCCAGCTGCGCCGCCGTGAGTTTCAATATGTCCTCCACGTTCTTCACCTGCGCGTTGCCCGGATCCTTCGCGACCCGCTGCCACACCTCCCCATGCTTCGGCTCGTTCGCCACGCACGTCCTAATCATCTCCGCCCGCTTCTCCTCTGTCCCATGCTGCAGTAGGAACTTATAGTACCACGCCCACGTATCCCCCCGGTCGCTGTCCAGCACGACTGCCTTCTCGAACCACTTCGACGCCACCTCCAGCTTCCGCTCCGCCCAGAAGATGCGCGCCAGCGTGACGAACAGCACGGGGTCGTTCCCGACCTTTTCTATTGCCTCCTTCGCCGCCGTCTTGCGCTTCGTGCGCGCCTCGAAGTACAGGATCTTCTCCCCCCAGAGGAGCCCGGAGCTGGGGGCTTCTTGGAGCGCCTGCGCCATGAGCCGGTGGGCGTTGTCCATGTCGTTGGCGCGGCGCTCCAGGCGGACGGACTCAGTCCACAGCTCGGGGTTATGGGGGACGGCGAGCCGCGCGCGGTCGAGGATCGAGCGCGCCTTGACGATGGTGCCTTGGTTTTCCTCGAGGCGGGAGGCGAGGAGCCAGAGGGGGACGGAGCGGGAGCACGCCCGGGTGCCGGTCGAGTAGGCCTGGCGGGCTTCGGGGACGCGGTGGAGGCCTTCGTAGATCTGCCCTTTCATCATCCACAGCTTGTCGGCTTTCGGGTAGAGTTGGAGGCCCTGGCTGACGAGATCTAACGCGGCGTCCGTGTCGCCGTGCACCCGTTCGAACGTGACGCTCTTGATCCATACGCGGTCGGTACCGGCTTCGCGTCGCGCGTCGGCGAGAAATCCTCGCGCGTGCTCGATCTGGTCGTTGTCGGCCTCCAACTTCACCGCCGCCAGCCAGATGTTCTCGTTGTTTGGGTTCTGTGTGAACGCCCTTCCCAGAACGCGTCGGGCCTCGTCCGTCTCCCCTGCCGACCACCGCTCTTTTGCCAGCTGCAGCCACATCTCCTCGCTGTTCGGACAGGCTTCGACTCCCTTCTCGAGCAGCTTCAGGAGCTCTTCATTCGCGCCGTGAGAGCGCTCTAATTCGGCAGCGGCCAGCCAAACGGACTTCTTGTTCACGAATACCCGTAGCGCGTACGCATAAATGGCTCGCGGGGTTTCAAGTCGTCCGCGGTGGATGCTATGCTGCGCATCTTCCATCCATATCTCTCTCCGGTCGTCATCCTCGTCCAAACCCCAGCCAAGGGTTTCGCGAATAATGGCACCGCATGTGAGGACGGCGCCCTCCGCCTCGCATTTCTCTGCTTCTGCAATCCATTCTTCCCGTTTCAGCATCGCCGATTCTCTCGCTAAAGATTTGATACCACGCTCCATGACTTTGTAGACCATGTCACGGTGGCCCATTTGCTCTTGTAGACGGCCTGCGGCCACCCAGATCTCGTGGCTTGTAGGGACCGCCTTTCGCGCCTTGTTGAGAACCACTTGCGCATTCTCTGGGGTTTCGAGTCGGGCCAAAGCGAGCCACAATTCGATCGAAAGCGGTATCTGCTCGGTCGCTGCTGCAAGGAGCATTTTCGCTTGGTTCGGATCTTCCTCCAAGTTCACCGCCTCTTTCCACAGGCGCGCTGACATAGGGACGTTATCCAGCGCTTGCCGTAGAACCTTCTTCTTCGCTCGCGTGTCAGTTTCGAGATTCATCGCCGCCAGCCAGAGGTCTATTGATCGGTCATTGTACAAAATTGCCTGCGCCGCGATGATCTTGGCGTTGTGTGTATCGTTCAAAGCAATGTTCTCGAGCCACAAGTCCACATCCTTCGGGCACCTCTTACAACCTTCCGCGATAATGTTCCTCGCCGTCACCTGGTTTCCAGCGACTTTCTCGAGTCTCGCAGACGCTCCCCAAGCCGGTGCGTGCTTCGGGTTGGTCTTCCGGACGGACTCCAGGAGTTTCCGTACGCGCTGGATCTCGCCAATGTTCAGTTCGCCGGCCTTCATCTCGGACTGCACGAGGTTCGTGAGGTAGCCCTTTGGGTCAATCGTCGTCGCAGTACCGGATTCCGTCTTCGTTCCGGGCGCCTCCACCGCGTTGTCGAGCCGGACTTGAAGCATCTTCTCACGTGCGGCGCCAAGCTGGACGAAATTCGTCATATCCCCCCCAGGCGCATCCCCAGCTTGGGCATCATCCGCGATGGTCGTATCCATCTGCCCTGCATCCCTTGCGGCTGCAATGACCGTATCCGGAACGGCATAGAATCGTTGTCGGAGATTCTGCTTTGCTCGTCGATTCTTCCCCGTCAAGTCACCGACCTCGGGGATACTCTGCCATTCCTCGTCCGTGACGCTTCCCAGCGCTCGTTTTAAATCCGCGAACTGTTGCTGGATTTTCGGGTTGTTCCGCTCGAAATCCTCGCGCTCTTTGTTCTCGCGTGCTTCCCTATACGTACGGACCGGTCTCAGGTTGGTAATCTGCCCGTTTAACAAAACAAAATCCAAGGAATTGTACGCTCAAGTATTGACAAAGGGATGGATGCCAGGGTAGGAAATGAAACGGGCTGTACTAACCGAATGATCTTCCGTCTCTTGTTCATCCTCTCATCCACGTCCTGGTATATCCGATCCGCCTCATCGTCGTCCCGATCGTACGTGCCACTAGCAAACAAGCCCACCTCATTCTCTGGGTCCTGATATCGTTCGTTGTCGTCGTTCTCCTCTGGTTTCTTGTCGGGGGCGCCGTAGGCAGTTGGTGCCGCTGCACCCACCTGGGCGGCTCGCTTTGCGATCGCTTCCTTAATCTGCTCTTCACTGGGGCCTTCGCGTGCAGGACCTAGATCCGATCGCGTCGTGAAGCCGGTTGCGCCACGACCAAGACCGGCTACATAGTTCTCGGGAGCCGGCTGGCCCAGGAAATCTTTCCGCGCGGACATATTGAGGTCGCGAACAGGGTGTGTTTGTATGTGTCGAGTGGCGGTTCAGAAATTCATATGTATCAAGAACAGAATGGATTGCCATCAAATTAGTTGAATCCTGGAGGTTGAATGTCGCGTGGTCACGTGATACAGCTTCTTCACCAATGATCCAGTACGGGATGGAACGCTTAGTACTCCGTTGATCGCGATACTCACTTTGGATGACGGAGGCTGAGAGGGAATTCTGCTTATGGGAAACCACGAGGAAATCGGTTTCAGTGATCATCGCGGTGATATAATTGCTACAACAGTGGAATTGATATGGGCAGCGCAGGCATCACTGATTGGTCGGATACCCATAATATGGCCTTATTGCCTAATTAAGGCAGCAAAATGACATCTGCGGATTCCCTTTGCACTGTAAACATCAAACTGTCGGTTACAGAGGAATTACAAAGATCACTTTAGCGAGAACCGTATTGACCATAGTATATATCAGGTCCTTTTCTTGTGTTCCATACAATCGTCTAAAAAGTGCAAGCATTGAAACCCCATCTTAACCGCAGAGTGTCTCAAACTTTCAATCATCCTCCATCTTCCACCCCCTGCACCTCCATCGTTCATTGCAATCAATTCGCCGGACGTCAATTCGACAATTACTTTGGAGGCCAGCTGGCGACATTGAACTTGGAATCTCCTCTTCCCATTCTATGACATATTTTAACGAAATCTTTACGACGTTGGGATTTTCTTTGCTTTCATACGACCTTGTTCTGGGACTTTGAGAGCTGCTATCGTTTGCCGCTTGTTGACGTCGTGGTAACATTGGTTTGCTGGAGACGCAACGTGTGTCGGAACAACACTGGAGGTTAACTTACCTTGGGGGGCTATACTGTGTTTGAGCTTGTTTGGCGTATGTTCTTCTTGTTTTACAGTCCCATTGTCCTGGGGTGTCCAAGGCTAATGGCTTACAGTTCACACGAGAGCTACTCTCCGTCATACCAAACTTCCATCCCTCTCCTCCAACGTACTCTCCCAACCTTCTCCTCTCATAACGACAAGATGTACATAACAACCCTCTTCCTCCTCGCCCTCCACTCCCTCCTCCCCCCCGCCTCTGCCGCCACCATCATCGACAACCTCAGCTTCGGCCACAAAGGCGACCTCTCCCCCGACCGCCGCTCCCTCCCCGGCTGGCGCGTCACCGGCGAAGGCCACACCCCCCCCATCCTCTCCGACCGCATCATCCTCACCCCCCCGGCCCCAGGAAACCGCCGCGGGGCCCTCTGGACCGACGCCACCAATACCCGTGCCGAGTGGACCGCCGAGGCGCACTTCCGCGCCACGGGCCCGGAGCGGGGCGGCGGGAATTTTCAGCTGTGGTACGCGCGGGACGGAGCGGCGGCAGTGGGGTTGGCAAGTTTGTATACGGTAGATAAGTTCGATGGGTTGGTGGTGGTGGTGGATCAGTATGGTGGACATGGGGGGACGGTGCGTGGGTTCTTGAACGATGGGACGAAGAGCTTCCGGGATCAGCAGAATGTGGATTCGTTGGCGTTCGGGATGTGCACGTTTCCGTATCGGAATCAGGGGGCGTTTTTGGGGTTGAAAGTCGTGCAGACGCGGGACGTGTTCGAGGTGGAGATTCATGGGAAGTCGTGCTTTAAGAGCACCCACGTACGTCTTCCTCAGGGACTTGGCCCGTTCCAATCCGAAGTCGATATTGACGTGTGATTCAGGTCGGCCTCCCCTCCGGTAACCAATTCGGCTTCACCGCCGGATCCGCCGAGAACCCCGACTCCTTCGAAATCGCCCAATTCCTCGTCTCCGATACCCCCTCCGCCGCCCCCCCACCTAGCAACGACCGCCGCAGCGTCGAGCACGATGCCAGCAACGGCAAACCGAACGACGCCTCCAGCTGGTGGGACTGGAAAGACTCGCAGAACTCCCCCGCGTCAGCCTTCCGCACCGAGGAGCAGCGCTTCAGCGACCTCCACGACCGCCTAACCACCATCAACCACGACATGACGATCCTCTATGACGCGCTCCTCAAGCTCGAGAAGCAGATCAGCGACCAGAGCGGCCGAGTGTTCGACGAGGTGTCGAGCGTACATCGGCGAGTGGACGCACTAGAGCGGGAGGTGGGGCGGGGGAACGTAGGGAAGCTAGGGAAGATCGAGGGGATTGTGGAACGGGTGCAAAGGGAGGTGGAGGGGAAGGATTATAAGGAGATTTTGGACAAGATTCATGCGGCGTTGCATGAGAGTCATGCGACGCTGATGTATAGCTTGCCGGCGCACATGTCGCAGAGTACGTACCCTCCTGCCTACCCACGACGCATCACGACCGCCGTTTGCTAACTTGAATCCAGGCATCTCTGCAGCGTCGCCACGGATGGGCTTCTTCCTCTTCATCGTCATCGTGTTCCAGATCATGCTGGCGGCGAGCTACTTCGTGTACAAGAAGCGGAAGAACGCCATGCCGAAAAAATACCTATAAATGATGGGGTTGTTCGGGACTGGTATAGCTTTTATTTGCACAGCTTTTTCTTGCACGTTTGCGGATATCATCTTCGTCTAGCCAGGTCCTACTATCGGTACGTATCTAGTATCTAACGGAACCAAAGCATGGGATGGAGTTTCAGGTGTGGATATGAGGTCGGGTGTTCTCTCGCAGGATGGTCTCACCCAGGTCACTTTTACGTACATATATGGGTTTCCGTTCGTACCTTATGTACAAATACACGCGTGCACTTCTTAGTAACGCGAAATTTGCATACTTTGTTACAGCGTCATCTATGCCACGAATATCCTACAAGACACAAAAGTGCTCCAGCTTCGCCCTGCCGAAGATATTTTACCCCCTCCTCTTTCCACCCCCGGAATGAACCTACGATGCGCTCAAGCAACATGAACTACGATATTCCCACCTTTCCTCTGCTTTCTTCTTTCTTTTCCGACTAGAAATGAATCGCCTTGTCATACGTCGCCATCGCCGCCTCCTTCACCGCCTCCGACAACGTCGGATGCGCATGACACGTCCTCGCCACATCCTCGCACGACGCGCCATACTCGACCGCCAACGTCCCTTCAGCAATCAGCTCGCCCGCCGCCGGCCCGACGATATGCACACCGAGGACCCGATCGGTCTCCGCATCCGCGATGAACTTGACCAAACCCTCAGAGTCGAGGTTCGTCTTGGCGCGGCTGTTCGCGCTGAACGGGAAGGTCCCGACCTTATACTTGATCCCGGCAGCCTTGACATCCTGCTCCGCCTGGCCAACCCAGGCGACCTCCGGGTAAGTGTACATGACGGAGGGGATGGCGCCGTAGTTGACGTGGCCGTGGCCCTTGGTGATGTACTCGACAGCGGCGACACCTTCTTCCTCGGCTTTGTGCGCAAGCATCGGGCCGAAGGTCACGTCGCCGATCACGCGGATGTGCGGGTGCTTGGTGCGGTATTCGTGGTCGATGACGAGGCGGCCGCGATCGTCGGTTTCGAGACCGATGGACTCGAGGTTGAGGCCTGAGGTGTATGGACGGCGGCCGATGGCGGTGAGGACGACATCGGCATCGATCTGATACATGTCAATAGGGAAATAGTTTAAGGGTAGGAAATGTATGCTTACGGTCTCGGCTTTACCGCCCTTCGTTGACTCGACGTTCAGTGAAATGAGCTCGCCGGTGGTGTCTCCTGTCACAACCTTGGTGTTCAGCTTGAACTTCAGGCCTTGCTTCTGGAGGATCTTTTGGGTTTGCTTTGCGATCTCCTCGTCCATACCCGGGCCACCAATGCGGCCCAGGAACTCGACGACGGTGACTTCAGCGCCTAACCGAGACCATACGGAGGCCTGCAGATGTTAGTTATGGCCAATCAATCAGACGGGGGAACCCATACCATCTCGAGACCGATGATACCACCGCCAATGACCAGCATCTTCTTCGGGACCTGTTCTAAAGCAAGGGCACCGGTGCTCGTGATTACCCTCTTCTCATCCACCTGAAGCCCTGGGAACGGCGACACTTCGCTTCCGGTTGCAATGAAGATGTTTTTCGCACGCAGCAGCCGTTCTCCACCCTCCACCAAATCCGCCTTCACGGTGTGTTCGTCGACAAAAGAACCTGATCCCTTGACCCATTCAATGTTGTGTTTCTTGAAGAGGAACGCAATCCCCTTCGTCAACCCTGTCACGGACGTGTCCTTGGCTTTCATCAATTGCTGAATGTTCATCTTGACGTCGCCGACTTCGATTCCGCGGTTTTTCGTGTCATGGAGGATCTGGTGGTACAGGTGCGTGTTGTTGAGAAGAGATTTGGACGGGATGCAGCCGACGTTCAGACATGTTCCGCCCAACGCATCGCGCTTTTCTATACATGCCACCTATGTATTGTCAGTCGTTGATTTAAGGAAGAGAAAGGAGGAGCGCCATCACCTTCAAACCCGCTTGACCGGCTTTGATGGCGGCGACATAGCCAGCCACACCTCCACCGATGATGACAAGATCTTTCTCTTCTACACCACGTCAGCAATGCTCTTCATATACCGTAGACTTCTTCATACTAACCAGCTTCACTGGCATACCCTCTTCGGAAGTTGGCCAGGGCTCCAAAAGCTAAAGGGTTCACGATAGCGGACTTTGTGCTGGTCAACGGTCTCAACAATGGTGACCGCGCCGATCGAGGCACTGTGATTTTGAACATGTTGCCAACTTGTACAACACCAATTGGTGCGGGAACGGATGGAGTGGTAGTGTCTATATTATAGCAATGGAGGGAGAGGCGAAAAGGATGAGACGGCTTGAAGCGGATCAACGAAAGAAACGTTGGTGGTGGCCATGTTCTTTCCGCCGCCGGCTGTTGCTCTCCCTGTTCGCTCCTTCCTTGTTCCACTGAGGATTGTATCTCATGTGGCTAGTGGCAATGGACGTGTGGCGCAGGCGGTCCAGCGGAGATTTAGTCAGCACTCAGCAGAGGTTTGGTTAGTCAGCAGCATTCAACCACTCTACTGTCTACACTACACGTCACCATAGCAGAGAACTGGAAGCAGAGGCGGCAGCAGAGATCGCCGCGCAATTAGATACCCATCGTTATATCCGGTTTGCAAAGGCTATCAAGGGCATGTACTGTTCCTATTCATAAAATCCCGGTGCTTGACGATTGGACAATCCAGGTGAAACCCGTATTAGACACCCAGATTGGCTCTGAAGAATCCATGCCAAGAAAGTCTATGAGAGCTCCAGTCGTGCGTTGGTAGAGGGACTGACGGCATCCATAACACTTCCGGTGACAATCCCATTTCACTAAAGTACTACATCTCCCGTGTCTTGAAACCTTCTTCTTAATTACTCATCCATCCGCTTGTGCCACTGGATTAGACTTTCGTATTGGAATGCTCCGATAGGCCCAGTCCCGAGATCTAGACTCCCCATGAGAGTGTCCCAAAGCTATGGAGGGCTACGGTAGCGATGACAATGAATTCGTAGATGCGCCGGAGAAGAGAGCATCCCGTCAACTACCCGCAGACCTTCCCACATCTCTCGATGATCGACGAACCCCCGCTATTCACAGCACCGAAACCGAGATATATGATGCATGGCAAGGTACAATACCAACTCTTCGGTATCATAACTATTGTAACTAACGGATTGCGAAGGGCAATCGCAGTTCCTCACCACACCGGTCCCGGCGAAGCCGTTCAATTTCAACCTCGCTCTCGACGAGCCGGATGCCACCACGGCGCAGCATCTAGAAGACAATGAAAACAAGATGGTGGAGATGCTCGCCAACCAGGCAAGGCTGAAGTCCGACAGCGCCGGTGGCAACGAAGTCGCCATTCTAAAGGACGAGAAGCTGTCCGAGAGTGAGAGACGGGATATTCTGCAGGGGATGCTCAACATGGCGGCGTCGAACGGGGAGGCGGAGCGGGTTCGAACCTTGGTGACGGGTCCCACGAAGGAATATGTGGATGTAGATGCACCGGACCAAGAGGGGACGCCGCCGCTTATATATGCCAGCTGTTTCGGGCATCAAGAGGTTGTGGCGGCATTGCTAGATGCAGGTGCAGATGTGGACAAGCGGGATAAAAACCAGTGGACGGCGTTGATGTGGGCTCTAATCGACGCAACAAGCAAACATAAAGCGATCGCGAAACTACTGTTGGACCATGGTGCCAATCCCGACGTTAAATCGTCCAGCGGCCGAAGCGCGCTGGATTTCATACCACCGAACGGCGACATCTCGGCGTATCTTCATGGTAGCGGCTACTCGATAGGCAGTGCCGGGATGACGGATGACTTCTACGACCGTGGACTGTCACAGGATCGTTTTGAGGAGGAACTGGCCGAGAGCGAGCTCCGGAGGCGAATGATGATGGAGAGCGCAATCAATCTGGAGGTCGATCTTGGGAACCTTGGGCTTGATGAGCAGCCGGAGGTACGTGCTCAGTCGTTGCTCTCGTCCGCCATCGTACTAACAATAGTAGACTCTCGAGGAGCTGGAAGAGGAAGGCCAGGAATTTATCTGGGATCGCTGCCTCAATGACCAGATGTTTGTCTTTCAGGAGCCGGATCTAGAACGAATACTCGACATAATCATCACGAACATGACACCGCAACGATCACCCTCTCAAAAGCCGGTTCCAGCCAATATCCTCTTCCTCGCGGCACGATACGCTCATTATTACGTGGGACCCGAACTCTTAGAGAAGCTCCTTGTCACAGCCATGGACAAGATCAACAACGTGGTGGAACGGCATCAATGGGATATGACGATATTGGCATTCTGGATATCGAACGCAACTCTCCTCCTACATTACCTTCGAAAAGATGCTCAACTGGTGGAATCCACCGTGGAATTCCAAGAGCAGTTAGCCGATCTCATCAACGAAATCTTCATTCTTATCATCCGAGATGCCGAGCGTCGCATGGACAAAGTATTGGATGCCGCCATGCTGGACCACGAAACGATCCCCGGGTTCGAAGGCGTGCATTTCCAAAACGAGTGGAAGATCTTCCGCACCAAACCGAAAATCAAAGAAGAACCGCCCGAAAAGCGCTTCCGACCTCCCTCGCCGAAACGACGAGCCCTCCCCTCCCCTCGAAACATCACCTCGCTTCTCTCATCCACCCTTTTCGTCCTCGACCTCTACGACATCCACTCCGTCATCACCGCCCAGATCCTCTCCCAGCTCCTCTACTGGCTCGGTAGCGAGCTCTTCAACCGCGTCATGTCCAACCGCAAATATCTCGCGCGCACCAAAGCCATGCAAATCCGCATGAACGTCTCCTCCCTCGAAGACTGGGCCCGCGCCAACAACCGCCAACCCGAGCACTACGAGCACGGATCCGTCACCGCCACGGGCGAGAACACCGTCGACGCTGCCAAGCGGCATCTCGCACCCGGGATCCAGCTCCTGCAATGGCTGCAATGCTTCTCCTCTCTCGGCGACGACCTCGAGTCACTCGTCGGCACCTTGCAGCAGCTCCCGCGCCTCAATCCGCAGCAACTCCTCCACGCGGTGTCGTACTATCGCGCCGAAGTGGGCGAGAAAGGCCTCACCAAGAGCGCGAAGGACTACCTCGGCTACCTGCACGAAGAGCACACGGAGCGGAAAGCGCTGGGGAAGAAGGCCGCCGCCGCGAGCCACGCTGACGCGCCGCCGTCCCCGCCGAAGCCGCCCGCCGACGGAGCAGACCACCCCGCCACCCCGCACAAGCGTCAACGCAGCTCAGGCGACCAAATCGGAACCCCGCGCACGCCGCTGACGCCCAGCCAGCGCAGCCTGGATGAAGCCCCAGAAAATCTCCTCCTCGACCCGACGCACATGCTCCCGTTCGCGCTGCCGAGCTCGACGGACATGCTGGTGAGCTACGGGGCGGGGTTCGGGGGGCTGGATCGGGAACGGGAGCGAAAGTATATACCAACGGTGCCGGCGGAGTTTTTGGGGAAGCTGGATGCGGAGGGGGGAGGAGGTGGGTTGGGGGGGTATGATCGGCGGTGGGAGGAGTGAAGGGGGTGGTGAGGATGACCTGCATTGGGTTTGGGGGATGGGAAAAGTATGCGCTCGGGTTCGAGGCATTGTGGTGTTGGGATGTAACGAAATGCATATCCTCGAAGCGAGACATAATATTCATCTGGACCAACAGTACAGTCGCTTAAAGTATTCGTCTTGTTTGCTTACCGTATGATGTAGTTTGCCGGCAACATGAGAGTTGCCGATCCATCCATTCAATTCGCCCTAGATCGTAACATCGATATTTCTACCAAGGAGAATCTAAACCAAATAATTCCTCTGGATCCGAGAATCGGAGTGCGCTCTCTCGGCCCGTGTAAATCGCGACATCGTATTACTCGACATGCTCACCAACCGATATTATTACACAGCCGACTCACAGGATAGCAACCAAGTGGGGCAGCGGGCAAGTCCGATGCCGTATTTAACAGCACGACTTCGCGCCGACGGAGCACGAAATCCTCCCATTGCATTTCCCTTTTCCTTCTAATTGCCTCAAAAAGTTTCCGAAAGCTATTAGAAGGACTCGGTATATATCTGAAGATCAACCATGGCACGCAAACGAACTCGACCCGCCGCCAATGGCGCTGCAGCGAAGAAGGCCAAGCCATCTGGCCCGCAGCTTGTCGCGGCGGATAAGATCGACGAGACGTTCGGAGGAAACAGCATAGGTACGTTGAACACCACCTCACTTCATTTCTATTTCTATTTATCTATCATAATCGCTAATACACACCAGACCTAATCTCCCAACCCCTCGGCTCCAAGATCCTGGCCTTCTCCGACGAATGGTTCGCCGCCGCCGCCAACCTCACCACGAAAACCGCCCCGGTGCGCAAACCCGGCGTCTTCGTGCACTCGGGCGCATGGTACGACGGCTGGGAGACGAGGCGGCACAACCCCGCGCCGTTCGACTGGGTGATCATCCGGCTGGGCGTGGCGAGCGGGACGGTCACGGGGGTGGAGATCGACACGGCGCATTTCGACGGGAACCACGCGCCGGAGATCGCGGTGGAGGGGTGTTTTGCGGAGGATGATGCGGTGGTGACGGGAGAGGGGTTTGAGGGGTGGGAAACGATTTTAGGGAAGCAGGAGTGTGGGCCGAATCGGCGGCAGGCGTGGGTGCTGGAGAAGGCGACGGAGAAGGCGTATACGCATGTGCGGCTGCAGATGTATCCGGACGGAGGGATCGCGCGGTTTCGGTTGTACGGGCAGGCGGTCCCGGTGTTCCCGGACGACAAGGACGTGGTGTTCGAGCTGTCGGCGGCGGTGAACGGCGGGATTGCAGTAAGTCGGTCGGACGAGCACTTCGGGGTGAAGGAGAACCTGCTGCTGCCGAACCGCGGGATCAACATGGGCGACGGATGGGAGACGAAGCGCACGCGCGGGGAGCATGTCGATTGGGTGGTGTTCCGCCTCGGCGCGCCGGGGACGATCGATCATATCGTCATCGACACGGGGCACTTCCGCGGGAACTTCCCGCAGAAGGTGCAGGTGTTCGCGATCCAGTCGGAGGGGGATCCGGACGCGGACGACGAGGGTTGGGTGGAGGTGCTTCCGCCGCAGAAGTCTGGTCCAGATGCCGAGCACCGGTATGAGAAGGACCTGCAGAATATTGACCAGGCGTATTCGCATGCCAAATTGGTCATCATCCCTGACGGCGGTGTGTCGAGATTCCGCGTCTTCGGGAGACGAAGCGTAGAGTAGATACTCTATACTTCAATCCAAACGTTCTGCTCACATAAACAGAGACAGTTTGCCACTCCCGTTCCCCCCCGCTACCCAATCGCGCGTCGGATGGAATTGCGCGACAGCCGGGACGGCGGTGATGCTGTCGTGGCCCAACTGTGCCAATTGCTCGCCCTTGCTGGTGTAGATATCGATGAACCGGTCCATGTTCCCAATACAGAATCGCTGAACGCCATCTTGCGGATCCGCCTGCCACTGCGCACGCAAGATCGTCACCCATCTCCCCGTTTGATTGTTGTGCTTCACAACGGTCGTCGGCTCCATCTTTTCTTCGGACAGAGTATGACCGGCCGACCACTTTGCGCACGCTCCGAAATCGTAGATCTTCACGGTGTCGTCGTAGGATGCGGTTGCGACCTGCCCCACGGAATTGAACGACGCGTGCGAAACGCTCAGCCGATTGGCATGCTCCCCAACCAACGCAGGAAGGGACTTGCTGATCTTCCGTAAGTCCCACAATTTCATCGTGCGGTCGAGAGATGCGGTCGCCAGGAAGTGCGGCTTATTCGGATGCACGGAGAACCCGCCGATTTTCTTCTCGGAGAGCTGGTAGAGCGCGTTCGTCTCGGACATCGGGGTGCGAAGGTCGTGCATCCCGAATTCGCCGTCGAGGGTCGAGAAGTAGAGAAGGTTCGGATCGCTCTTCACTAATTGAAGCCCTGATATCGCATTCTCCACCTCCGGATCGGCGGGAGCGTATACTTCCGTCGCCACTCCTTTCACCAGATCCAGCACGCGGATCGATGAGTCGTAGGAAGCGGTATACAGATTATTGGAATCTGCCGGCCCTATTTGCATAGCACAGATGGTCCTTGTGTGGATTTTGAAGGTGGTCACGGCAATGGGAGCCTCCTCCACCTCGTCGTCGTCATCATCCTCTGCTTTGATATCGGCGGGACGCTCCTGAGCGCCGTCGAACAGTCCCAGATTCCCCAACTTATCGCCCGCAAAAACCAGCGGCTTCTCCGGATTGGGATGAAACGTGAGCGAATACACCCGCTCCGGCGTCAGCTTAATCCGATTCGGCTCGACGTCCCCCCACAGCGTCAGCCCCATCATCCGCTCCCGCAACTCCCTCAAGCCCCCATCCGCCGTCTCTTTGACATCGTCCACCGTGAACGTCCGCTGAAACTGCTCCGGAAAACCCCCATCCCACCCCGTCCCTCCTACATTCACATCCACCAATTTTAACTCCCCACTCACCCTCATCCGCTTCGCCCGCTCTGCCGCCCGCCTCCCGTCATCGATCTCCTCCATCTTCCGCTTCGCGGCCTCGCTATCTGCGCCGATCCCGCGAAGGCGCGATGACACGCGTCGCGGAACAACTTCCTCCTTCTCTTTCTTCGGAGCTGTCTTGCGCTTCGAGGATGACGGGGCGGTGGGTTTATTCGGACGCGACGGGCCCAGGCCGGCGGACGCAGCGTCGAGGGCGAGGGAGCGAAGGAGGGCTTGGTTTTGGGCGATTTTTTCTTGGCGCTGGCGCTCGTAGTCGCTGATGGGGGTGGTGGAGGCGCGGGCCATGATGGCGAAGGAGTGTGGTCGAATTGTAATGGTATATGGTTGTTGGGGCTGTTGAAGGAGAATTGGGACGGAAGCCAACGGTTGATGAATTATTGGCGACGACGCCACGCCAGACGGACGCGTTGACGCGCGCGATCACGTGGTGACAAATAGAACCAAAATCGATATCACGATCTAACAAAGCCACTGTATTATTATGCTAATATTAGATGACGGAGCAGCAAGATGATATCTCTTTACAAGCTATGGTACATACGATGCTGTCTCCCTCTATAGACCATAAATATTGATGCTCAATCTGCACCTTCCACCACTCCGATTGCACCGTCGACTTCCTCGAACGAGCGCATCCTTATAGCATTCTTGACTCATCCTCTCATACTCTCTAGACACGGTAGCATTTGGGAGCCCCCAGACAGAGTCACTGAAGGTGCCGCGCCTCTGCAACCGCTTCTAGGCGTTTTTGTCGCTGAGTGACATGGCCAGATACCTACTCCCTTCCTCCGGATGCAGGCAACCTCCATCGTCCACGTCCTTCTCGCCCGAGGGATATTGTATTCGCCAGTCTCCCACCTTCATTCTCCGCGGCATTTCCGCCTTTGACAGATCCCACCCGTTCTTCTCTACACAGCATTCATTTCAAACCAATTAACCCATTCCAACCAATGCCCCCTCACCCACCCTCACCCTTCAACCCCACCACATGCCCCCCCACCCTCCCCGCCCTCTCTACCCTCCCTACCGTCTCCGTCAACCCCCCCTTCAACTCCACCAACCCCCCCGTCCCCACCTCCCACATCTCTGCCACCTCCTCGCCGCGCGCCGGTTCCGTCAACGCCAGCCGCTCGCCCTTCGCGTCCTCTATCATCGTCTCCTGCTGCGCGGCGAGTTGTTGGTCCTGCTGTTCGCGGCGCGCGAGGAGTTGCGTCTGGTAGGTGTGTGCGACAGGGTGGGGCCCGGTGCGCCGGAGGTCGGCGAGTTTAGTGGTGAGGGATTCTTTAGTGGATTCGAGGGCGCGGATGCGGTCGGCGAGGCGGGTGTCGAGGGGTTCGAATTCTAGGGTGGGAGCTGTGGTTAGCTTGATGTTGGGAAGGGTATTATGTGCATTGCCTAGATAGCAATTGTAGTAGTACGCCCCGCTTCCGAGTGGTCCTCGCAGCGTCTATCGTGGTAGTGGAGGTAAAGAGAGAAGAAATGAAGGCAGAAGTACCTTCACCCTGATCCTGCGGCTTAATCCCATCCTTTTCATCCATCCCATTCACCGTAACATTCGCCCTAACTCCCTCGAACGTCGTCCGAACATACTATCCACTCACATGTCAGCTCTTCCATCCACATCCAATTCCCCGCCTATTTCTTCCTTTCGGCCCCACCTACCTCATCAATCAACCCCTCCACCTTCTTCCTCAACTCGTCCTCCCCCTCCGGTGCCGCGCTGGGCGGCAGCGCATGGTCGATCTTCTGGCTGGCGGCGCGGCGGACGTTGGATTCGATGTAGGCGAGGTCGGCGGGGGATTGGAGGTCGATTTTGCGGAAGGTGGGGTCCATGGTGGATTGTATTCCGAGGTGTATAGGTTGAAATGCAAAAGGCGATGGAGAGCGGATTGCAGTTGGTTAAGTATGCTGAGGTTGTGGTGAGTTGATGGTTGATATTTGGCATTGTTTTGATGCGAACCAGAGGTGCAGGGATGATGGGCTAGTTATGCAGGGGTCCCTGTCATGTCGACAATGAGGGGTCTCTAGATGCCTTGCTGCCTTCCTGCCTTGAGATGCGGGGCGGTGCTAGGCCCGCTGGTGGCTTCAGGGCCGCATATATCGAGCACAACTCAGGGGACTCCTGCTGCACGACGCCGGGTGAATTCGGCGATCAGTATCCGGGCGATATCTATGCCACGAAATAAGGTACCAGTATCCTAAGATGGAATATGATAAGGAATTATGACTGAAATGAGATACAGCGGCCTAGAACAGTCCGATGGCAGGCCTATATTATCTCAAAGACAACGAGTTCCGACGAAAGCTGAGTGAAGATAGAATCCATACCATGCCTCACGAGTTCAATATATTGCGGGGTACACGTCCTTTAAGCAATAAGGAGAGATATCCCACGAAGCCATGAATCTCCCCTTTGTATCCGTATCCGTATCCGTATCCTTCTCCATCCTCATAACCCAATCCCAAAAACGCCCCGATTCCCAAACCTATAAGCCTGACTCCGTAATCCGTATAATCAAATAAACACCCCCATATCCGTATCGAGCCAATCCGACCGGCTCGGCTCGCTGACGCCGTGGCTCTGCAAAAGGAATGTCATGATTCACGTCATCCCCCCTCCTTCCTGCTCGGATGAGTCCAGAAAGTGTTCCCGCGTGTGTATGTGTTTGTGTATGTACTCGGGATGGAGTTCCATGATCGCGTGGATCCGTTATGAGGGGAGATATGACGCGGCTTCCTCGTCCGTGAGGATGATGTCGGTGACGGGGTCTTGCTTGTGTTCGAGCTCGGTGGAGTCACGCTCGGCGTAGGAGGGAAGGAAGATGTCTACGGTGGGTGGACGTGTTAGAGTCGTGGTTGCTAGTGGGGTGGAGTGTGGTGGGCCTAGCACGTAGACAGAATGAAGCATCAAGCCAGGTGCAAGGTCGATTAGGGGATGAATTACCTTGGTTCCAGTCGAATCCTTGAGATGCCTTGACGCAGGTAATCTAGGAACTTGTTAGCCATCGTATGAAATGAACCGACAATTCCAAATCAACTCACTAATCTCGGTGCATCCGGATGTCCAACATTCACAACCGTATGCTCAGCCTTCGAGAAAGCGGCGCCTAGATCGAACCCCCGTTAGCTCCAAGTCGCTATCTCCCGTCTACAAAAATTGACAATGCCATCATTAAGGAAATCGAACAATAGTACGTACTCAAGAAACTCGGAGTCCGCTGATGTGATCCCCGGTACGGCGACCCCCCCGCGCTGCTCGACAGGGAGAAATCCGATGAGGAGCCACTGCTGGAGCTGGCTCCGGGTTGTGTAACGGGGATGGAAGGGGGACGGGTGGATTTACGTTGGGGGATCTGGATAGAGGAGGACATTGTGGGGGGTGGTGGTCGGAGCTAATAGTACTGGGGGGGAAGGTCCTGGAAGAAACTAGGGCGGATTCTGTCGGTACAGTTCTGGAGCTCGATGGAGTGTAAAATGTGAATGAGGCTCTTTGTCAAGGCAGCAGTGAATGAACTACGGCTGGTGAAAGAGTGCAGGGTAGCGGTGACCCTCTCTCATGCACTGCAAGAAGATCCAAAGGATGATCGACTGGTAATGTAGCTGGAATCTGTGAAAGAAGATGGCGATTTGAAGTGGGAAAGGAGGAAGTCAAGTGCAGGTCGGATGGTGTTTGGGACCGATGGCAGGTGATAACTAAGGGTTGAGGGATGAGAGCTTTGGATATTTGGGTTCCGGTTCCTTTCATGCAGCCTCACTGCCAACTGTAAGCTCCAATGAGGGCGATGCCTGGGATGACTCCATCACTTGATTTACTACCGCCATTCACGGAACAAGAGTGCCGAAAGGGCTCTGTTGCTGGTGACTCAGTTGAGTCAGAACTGCACTGCCTTGCCCGTGCCAACACGTCACAGTCAGAACAGCTAGAAAAGGGGGCAGGGTAATTAATCGTAGCTTGGTGGTGGGTATGAACGAGGATCTGAATCCCCGTTTAAAATCAATTGGAGGATATTGCATCTGGGGAATCGGACCCTATTCAGATGGTCATATATAACAGCGAGAACAATCGGCCGCTTTTCCATTGTCTCCTCCGCATAATAGGAGATGACTAGGAAACTAAGAAAAACCCCACTTGAACTTCAAATCAAGTGTTTCCATGATATTACTACTAACTCGCTCACTAGCTAAATCGTACATTAATCCATTCATCCGTCTCTTCCGTCCTCTCATCCCCAATCCCTTCATCAACGCACAAAAACACCATTTCCAACCCGCGAACGGAGAAGCGGACGTACCCAAAAACAACGCCATCCCACACCCGACGCGCGGAATCGATGGCGGGCGATAATAATAATCAAGAGCAATTCCACCGCAGGAATCCAATCCACCGCATCGCGAAAGCCTGCCAGCAAGCTCGCAGGCAGCCCACGCTCCCCTTCCGAGCGACCCGACTTTGGTCGACCATCAACGAGAGGGGATAAAGCGGCCTTACTATTTCTGAAGGGGTAGGAAGCAGCACGGCGTAGAAACGAACCAGAAGTCGTCGAAAGTGTGAGCGTATTACAAAGTTCTTCGAGGACACAAGAAGCAAGATCGAGGGGTGGAAGAACGATGGTGAAGATCCAAGGGGGTGGGTGAGTGTCGACTCGGTCCATCTCCTCCCTTCCTCGAAGAACGTGCTAAAGGGGGTATATCGGAAAAGCGTCACGGCTCCTACCCATACTATCCGACCCCAAAAAACCGAAAAAGCGCAATGACCAGGAAAGACGTGCAGGGATGTCGCCTCCATAAGCGGGAACGGCGAGCGTTTATCGGCCCTTCTTCCGGGAGAAACGCTTATTGAGCAGCGCAAGCACCTTGGTGACGTTGAACTGGACGTATTCCAGATCCAAGTCCTCCTGGTTATCTTTCTGCATCTCGAGGAGGTCGTCGAGCTTCAGGTCGAGTTCGAGTAATCCGCGGTTGCGTCCTACAGGGTACCGTGGTTAGTAACTGTGGCGGAAGGAAGTAGAAATAAGATGGAATGCGCACCCTTGTAATGCAGCGAGATCACAAACGTCCCTGGAAGCGGGCTCGTGAAGTTGAAGAAGATGTTCGCCCGCCGGTTCTCCGGCACGTTACTCTTCTGAATCACCCCCTCCTTCTCCAGCTGCTGATGCGTGAACTTATACGGCCCCAGCACCTGCTGCTTCTGCTGCTTCCGCGTCTTCCCCTCACTCTGGCTGCGCACGTTATGCAGGTAGCTCTTGTACGTCTCCAGCTGCGACACGAGGTACGCGTTATGGTCGCGGATCGTCCGGAACACCTCTTCCAGCTTCCGCGACTCCTCGATGACCTTCTCCTTCATGCTACCGAGGTGCACGAGTTCCTGCTCCACTTCGTCGCGTAGGAGCGCGAACGCGTCGTCTTTATCGATCACACCCATGTCTTGCAGCTGGCTGAGGAGCTCCATGCTGCGGATGCCCTTCTTGACCATGACCGAGTCGTTCTTGGTGGTGGCGGCCGCTTCGGCGACGCGGTCGAGGCGGAGGGGTCGGCGGGTGACGGTGGTGCTGGGGGGGAGGCAGCGGAGGATCATGACGAAGGTGGATTTCGCTTCCATGAAGTACACTTCTTCTTGCGTGATGTCGAGGGCGGCGGTCACATCGTCTAGGGAGGTCTCCCATTTGCTGAAGAGGGGGAGCTTGATAACGCGGTTTTCTTTGCGGAGGAGTTGGGCCGGCGCGGCTCCGAGTTCGGCGAGGAGCTGGCTGAGATGGGATGATTCGTCTTTGGACTGCAGGCGGGTTAGCAATTTATACCTCCAGACCAAAGGATTGACGAACCAGCTCGGCGATATGTTTCTCAAGAAGGGTATGGGTGGCGTAGATTTCGTTGAGTGTAATGGACAGCTCGAGGTCGCGTTTCGAAAGTGCAACATAGTTATCCAGTTCCAAGCTCTCATAAAAATCTCCGACCTCGCAGAGATCAAGCATGAACTTGTTGATCCGCTCCTTGTTTTTATGGATAAATGGTTGCAGCTTCACCATATAGGGCTCCTTGGCATATGATGGCTTGTTCGCCAGGTTTTGGAGCATCTTGGCAATCTGCAGGACATTAGCCTTGTCGTGCTTCAATGGTGAACGCAAGTCTTACATAGGTCAAGGTTCGTCGAGGGTTCTCCCCGGGGGTGTTGTCGATCAGCATGTATGAGCGAGGAGTGACGATGGCGGGATTGATGAATCGTAGGAAAAAGAAACCACCAATGAGCGTGCAAATGGTATGGTCTTGTGCATCGGGATACTTTCGTTTCGACAAACTGCGAATCTGCTTGCAGATCCACCGGATGCCGTACGGGGTCTCCTCGAGTCCATCGATAATCGTTGTCAAGAATGAGGTGCCAATCTCCATCAATGTTGTCAGCCGGGGCGCGATGATCTGCTGAACCGTCTCATTCTCTGCAGCTTGTTCTTGCGTGACGCCTCTCGGTAGATGCGGTGGCAGGCTGCCTTGCTTGGCGTAGATCTCTTCCACCATTTTCTCGTATACTTTCAGAGGGTTGATCTCAAGATCTAGATCTTTCAGTTGAATCAGCGCATTGATTCGGTCGGCGAGAACGGTCTTGAGGTAACTTTGGCCAGGGCCTCGGCGGGTATATGTGGTCATCATTCGAGAAACGGGGGTGTTAGCGCGAAGGAGGGATGAGTAGTCGGAGGTATGGTCGAATTGGTAGGTTAAGACAGACTGCGTTGGTAAGTATTGCGCTCTTCTGATCACTGGGACAACACATACTTGGAACATGGTCAACAGCAGATGCTCTTCGCGGCTCTCATACTGATTACCATAGATGGTGAACATGACGGTTTGAAGAAGGGAGTCGATTTCAGCCAAAGATACCAAGCGGCAGAGGTGGGCGATATGGCGCGGTTCGCATTGAAGGAGGAAGAGGAGATTGCCGTATTTCTGCGTCTTGTCGTCATTTGGGAAATGCCCTTCCTGAACCTCCATCGCATCGTCCAGATGGCTGGCCATCTCATCTCGCTGTATCCCTTGTCAATGTGGGTGTATGTGAATGGAATGCATGAATGCATACCTCCTCCAGCGCCATTCGATTCTGAATAAGAAGCGCAATTCGCGAATCCAGATATCGAACATCTTTCTCGAGCACGAAGTTCTTCTTCGATTGAGACGAAATCTTCGATTTGAGCTCGCGCAGAGCTTTCTGTGCTACATGACGAACAACGATTAGTGACCACATCCACCCAACGGGCATGGGGAATCAAACCTCGCGCCAAATCATCTTCAATCTCCAAATCCTTCTCCTTCGCGCTCATCGACAAGTATAAGGCCGTAACGGAATATCGCTTCGACTGGCGCACGGAGCGCGCACCATCGTGGGACGACATGGTGTTTTGCCGAGATACGGGATGGTAGGAGGATGAGGACGAGGTCGAAGCCCGCGATGGACCTTGAAGCGTGGCAACGGACATAACTTATTTATGCGCCGTCGATGGGACAATTGACGTGTTGACAGACGACTCGTCGGATTGCGCTGCAGAATTGAAGCTGCCGATGGTGGCAGACTTCGACTCCCTGGAGGGGAGCTCTGGCAACGTGGATTGTTGGGTTGAGTTCGGTAATAGCGGTGTGCGCTTGTACTCGTATAGTATGTTCGTGCAGGTAGAAATGCTGTCGTTACCGTTGTAGGTTTGTAGTCGGCAGTCTTTGGAGGGGTCTGAGGTGAGTTCGTGATGTTGTCGTGGACGATTATAATCGTGTTATCCACTCAAGCTTGTCGATGTCCACCGGGTTACAGCAAGACTGGGGCCACAGTGAGGGGAAGTTGCTGACAATAACAGGGCCGTGCAAGTGTTTCACGAGTCAGATCCGGATGGCGCAAGAGGAACAGATGCGCGAATGGGAAGGCGAAGTAAGCTTGCTCTCCTCGTGGACGGTTGCGGCAATCGGAATCGTCGTTGGTCGAGGTGCTCGTGAATGAGAGGGAGAGAGCCCCAGTCGAGGCAATATGAGAGGTATCCAATCGTCGAGTGGCGGGTAACAGTGCCTGTCCCTGTAGTTGCAGCGTCGCAAGGCAGTCAATCAATTTGAGTGCTAGACCGCTGGCGAAGGGGTGGATCTGAAACCCCAATTACACGTCGAAGGAGATGGCGATAAGATTGAGGATAGAGTAGGAGTGAGGATGGAGGGTAAGTTAGAGATGCGTATTGGACGGAGTTGGTGTAAGTAAAAAGGAGGGATGCTCGAGGTGGAGGAGTAAAAAGTGATGGCTGAAACGATATGGGGACGGGGAAGGGCTGGCGGGAGCTCACGGCACCAGTAGGGGGGGACAGTAGGGTTTGGTGGAAGGTATTGACTATTGAGGGAAGATGAGGAGAAATGCTTAATATTATGCAGGAGAATTGGAAATTCGGAGTTCCTGAACGACATGGAGAGCGGCGCCAGGTGGGGATTACTCAGGAACACCCGCTCTTGGAATACATACACATTACCTACGCCCTGGGCTACGGTAGTCGTGGGTAGGTAGCGTCACAGGGAGTAGCTAGTACCTAGGATAGTTCCCATTCATGTTGAATTTTTAGTATTATTTACTCCATTATTGCAGCACGGGAGGGACGCTAATAGAAACCGACGCTCTTCTGTGACACGGCAGAACACCAATATCATGGGATGGACACAACCCCCTCCATGACAACCTGATCCGTGATCACTGCCCTGATATCCTGCTTGCCCTACCACGTAACAACAGGAGACTACAGGTACTAATCCAAGGCATGATCACAGTGACTCTATCTTTCTCGAGTATTCTCCCTCTCTGCCATTGTGCCCCATTGTTCTAATTTCCTCCCTATTCGCAAGCGACACACAATAATCGGAAATCCATACCCACAATGATGCCGCCACACGCGGGACGTCTCCGATGGTCGGTGGGGCATCGTGGAGAGCAAGCGGGGAATTTCGTTGCATCCAAAGTGGGCTAATCTCGAGGAGATCGGGGCTTGCGCAAAACCCACCAACCCGCAAACTCGCGAAAAAGAAAGGAATACTCCGTATTCAACAATAGATCGGGGATGGTGGACTGTTTGCGACATGCATCTGCCCTTTGGTAAATCGCCCCATTCAACCCACGAGGCCACGACATCATCCCTCGCGGGTGATAAGACAGTAGGTAATCCACAGGGGATGGGCAAAAAGCTGATGGCGATTCCTTCCATTGGCTTTGCTTGTTGATCTCCAGTCCAACACCCATCATGACCTGGCTGCGTTTCACAAAGGTGGATTACTGATTAGTCGTTTTGTCGGTTGGAGAGAGTCGGGAAGATGGTTGATCCATCTGACCAGATCCCATAATATAATGCATCAATTAAGATGATGCTCGCCCTAGGTATCACTCTGCACACTGCAGGCTGCAGTCTGCACATATTACTGCACCCTGAGTCCCCAAGCATCCGGTCGGCCGAACGATTCTGGTCGCTCTTACCTCTCGGGACTCGAGAGTCAAAGACGCCATCCTCAAGATGGTGGTGGACTGTTGGCTTCCAGCTAGGAATGGATGGACATCCCAGAGATACCTATTCTTGAATCTATCGCATGATGAATGACGGTGACGGATATGGATACACATGCAAAGAGGGGGCACCGACCATCCTCTGATCCATCATCCCCTCTCCCTCTCCCTACCGAGCAAGCCAGCTGAACAGCGGCATACCGTCTGTATCGAGCAACGCGTGCCTGGAATCGCAGCTCAATTGGGAAAGGGGCGCCCTTCGGCAGCCCAGCAGCCGAGCGCCATGCTGCCACTTCGATATGCACCTGAAAATCTACCAAACCGGGCTGCTCTTTTGGGTTTTTCGGCTCGTGTCGAGTACGGTTTGGGGGGATCGGATTGGACGGGACGAGACGTGAGGGGCGCGAGGGATGCATCCAAGAGTTGCGTGCATTGAAAGGATCTGAGATCAATGCATCACGCAGATGACAGACCGCGATCTTTTGTTTTTGTTAAGCCTTCCTGTCTCCCAATCGGCTCAATAGAGTAACTTATATCGATCAATCCATATTCGATTAGAGATGGGCTAGTTACTCAAGAGATAAAACGTGAAACCTCGAGGCGGAGGGATCACGGTATGGGAATTAAGGGGTCCGTCGTCTGACCATCAGGAGTGGAGTTAAGGCGAGAGGAACAAGAAATGATCGACGCTTGTGTTGCATACATAGTACATAGTAGAGATCCGTCACGCCAAAATTTCCTTACCCTGGGCCCTGATGATTATTTGGTAGTTATTTAGATCGACTACCACCGCCTTCTCCATGATCTTTGATATTTCATCAACCCAGAGAGTGCAGCGCTGCGTGTAACTGTGGCACGACGTTAATATTGCCCCTGCCCAATGCCGACTAGCTAAGAAAGTTAATGCCTCCATCGACTGAGCATGTCTTTGTTCGGTAAACATATCCGTTTGAGAGAAGCGTCAGGACGATGGCATAGCCAAGTTGAGGGAACACTCGCTGCATCGAGTGCCTTAAAAGGCTCGCAGAATCCTACTGGTCAAGTAGGCCAGCTGTCAATATTAACCATGGCACAAATTGGAGAGAACGGATATCGGTATGGTCGGTGTTCGTTGAACTACCTCCCATCATACTCAGACGGCAGGCTGCGTCGATCAACCAGTGCTTCTTCCATTCTCCCAGGAGTCATTGAATTATTTACATTTGAAATTTTCGAGTCACTATTTTCATTAATAACATGGTAATCAGTCATTTCACCTTCTTCAAGAGTTTTGGCAGCCGCTGCCGAAATTTTTGCTAGCGACTCAGGTCATTCGTCCACAGATATGCACTGTTATTCTGCAACCTGGAACGGAAAGACGAGGACCGTGGCATATTTAAACATTGCAACCTATTTCTCGTTCAACAGAGTAGCCAGTAATGAAAAAGCTTCCTGTATAAGCAAGCCCTAGATCCTCTATATCTGCTCGATATGATCGGTCTATATTCTATATTACCTGGACCCTTCCCCACACCGGATGCTCGATTGCTTTCCCATGAAGGCTATATCGAAAACTTTCCATAAGATGCATTTCCTTTCCAGTCTCTACGTCAAGATCTGCATTTTCTGTTTCCATCATTTGGCAAAATGAAGGCGACCACGGGGGCCTTCGCCCTTACTTTCATCACATCGGTTGCAGCGCATGGATTTGTGAGGAGCGTGAATGTTGATGGAGCCATGTCAGTCACCCTTAAACTCATACGCACGGTTCTCCGACATACTAATAGAACCAGATATCCCGGTTTCAACCCGTAACTAGCCCCCACGGCTCCAATGTTTCTATTCTCACCACATACAGGCATATGGACGGTGAATTGGGCGCAAAGCGGATAGTATTCGGTTTCGACGCCAGCCGCGCCAACGTCGACGGAACCGCCGCAATCACCGACCCCAACGCGCCCGGCCTCGCGTGCAACAGCAAGCCCACCCCACCCGGCGACAAGGCCGAAGCGCGGGCCGGCAGCCAAATCGAGTTCCGCTGGACCGAATGGCTCCCGAGCCACCGCGGTCCGATCACCACCTACATGGCGCCTTACGAGGGCGACATCGCCGCCGTCGATGTGAATAAACTGCAGTTCTTCAAAATTGATGAAGAGGCGTTGTATGCGGACGAGCAGTTCGGGGAAATAGACGATGTTCCCTGGGCGGTGAAGCCGAACTGGGCGACCGACAAGATGATCCAGGCGAACGGCGTGTGGAACGTCACGATTCCGTGGGATATCAAGCCGGGGAACTACGTGGTCCGCCACGAGCTGCTCGCGCTGCATTTCGCGACCGAGCACAGTAATTATAAGAGTTTCGGCATCGTGGCACCGCAGTTCTATCCGTCTTGCTACCACGTCGGGATCACTGGGAATGGAACCGCCACGCCGACGGGCGTCACATTCCCCGGCACATACCAACCGACCGATCCGGGGCTGATCTTTGACATATACCAGAACAAGACTGAGTATCCCATTCCCGGCCCGGCAGTGTATCTTCCCAAAGGCCCGGCGCCAGAGCTAGAGGCAAAGGAGCCGAGAATCATCAGTCCGACGGGGGATCCGGCGAAGGATGCGGAGTACATGAAAGCGATGGAGGGCGAGCTCAGCTTCTATGCAAACATAACTAATCGCATCTACAAGGTCGGAGGATGATGGCGCGGCATGTGAACATAAGACCATTACTCCTTCCGAAATTCTGTCTCGTCAAACTCTGTTACGGAATTACCTACCTAGCTTGAAATCAAACATGTGTGGACGCAAGCCCTCGCCAGTCAAGTTGGCACAGAGGTCGCACTTCTATTGGTCATCGACGATAATAAGGAATTATCAGACCCTGAAAGTGAAAACATGCTTCCCAAGCCCTCCATCATAGATCGATTATGCTCGGCCGCCTGCGCCAATACAGACAACAGTCCGGATGTTCCGCGTGCTTGTCCAATCGAATAACCGCGCGTTTAACCGCGAATGGGGTGGTGTCCGTAGTGCACATCATCGAGATTCTAAGAAGTGTAACTAGGTAGTCGGACTATCGGAGTCCTCGGAGAGCATCGGCGATCGAGCTGCTTTATTGTCCAGGGGCTTCCATGATCCTGCATTTTAGCGGGGAGGTTGCTGAGCAAATGTATAATTATTACTCGATAGTTTGCAACATTGTGAATCTAACAAAATGAAGTTATCCGAAGCATATAGCGATCGGCGACCGTCCATTCTCGAAGGAGTGTGCGTATAGGATAATGTGGAAGTCAGTGGTGATCAGTGCCTTGTTCGTTGGACCCTGACTGTGGGGGGGAACCTGCAAGCACTTCTTCGTCTTCATCACCATCCTGGCACCTCGCTAACAACAGCCCGTTAGACTGTCCAGCCACTGGAAACATCATCTCAACATCGCTACACATATACCATATAACATATTGCAGCTATTTCTTGCAGTTGAGCCATCAAAGAATCAGTCTCGTGTGATGCTGAAGTGGTTGACACCTGACAGACGGTGGTGGTGCTGGTGAGACGTTACAGACGCAGGAGAAACGCGCCAATAAACCTTTGTTCCGGTCTCCGGAGCCAAATTCTAGAACGGTCCAATTCTTCGCCGCGGGTGGGAACAAGGAGATGGCACCGTAGCAGCCCTGGCCGGATCATGCGGGCACTAATTACAGGAATTAGTGCAACCTTGCGATCGGACGCATCACTGAAGATCGGAAATCTGTCGCCCTGTAGGCTGTAGCTGAGCGTGTGAACGAAACACCGCGGACCGCGATATCTGCGATGTGGTGAGATATGCGAGCCCTCGCTGTCTCTCTGTTATTTGACGATCTGACTACAGCATTATTGGCAGTTTCACCAGTTTGGCACACTACCCTACGGCTTGCGCATCCCGAAACTCCGTAACTCGGCGCCCGCTTGCCCGTGTGGTTCGATATATTGAGCCAGGACACCAAACACAAGACTCGGCTTATTCAAACGTTCGCTCAACGGCGATTCGAATACACTCGGCAACAGAACTATCGGCCAGTGCGCTGAACACTGTTTCGGGCCGTTATGAGTTAAGGACTGAATGACCCAATGTGTCCAGCGTAGCGCTGGATCACCAAATCCAATCTCCACCGTCCGACGTAGCAAAGTGGAGATGACGCACCGGCTTCGAACGGACCCTATCGATGTCGAACGACCGGAACTGCATCCTCGACGACCTCCTGATTATCGGCCTGTTTTGCTATGGCATAAGACGCCAGGAATGCAACTGTCGCAGCAGAGCATCCTTGCGGATCCGTCTGGCACATCTTCGACTTCCGCAAGCCATATATCCGTGCCAACCAAACCCTCTATCCACAAGAACATCTCCAGCAAAAGCAGCAATGCGGAACGATGGTTTGAGTTGTCGAACAACAACGTTCAAAGATGGAATTCCTTGATGGACAACGAGCCGCCGTTCTTCCTCCGAAATCCTTCGTCTTCTAAAGCGACTCCTTCCGAGGGCTGTCCCCCTTTCTTTCAGCCTCTCAACGCCCTTCCCTGCCACCCGGAACCTCCGCCGCAACAAGAGAGTTCGTCAGAGGATTTCCGGAGCATCATTGATGATCTGACGATCAAGAATAAGCGGCTTCGGCGGAGGTTGAGGAAGTACGAGAAGGTTCATGATGGCCATTTGAACGATCAGAAACTCTTCGAGATTCGGGTTCATGGTCTGAATCGGGAGCGGAAAACCGAATTGGAGGGTATCCTTCGGCAGTTTGCGACAACTGCTGACCATCAGAGGCCGATGGATGCGGTAACTGGCACTGGAGCTACAAGTAATGGGATAGGCACTGTGGAACCCAAGCGGAGTTTATTCATCAAAAATCCCTCTAGAAATTCCGATTCGGCATACGCATCGATGTTCATGTCAGGCCAGAACCCATCAATCCAGAACCTTTCCAAGCAGATCTCCACACACTCTTCGTCGATGAACAGTAATCAAAGTACATCTTGGAGAGCCCTATCCTCCCGTCAGCAGCAAGACATCCAATCCTACCCTAAGGATATACCTACAGGGTTACGTCCACAACCATCCGCGACTCTGTCAGAAAAGGCTCGAAGGAAGCTTGTTGTTCGTCGACTGGAACAGATCTTCGCCGGTAAAGGTCCCGTGGGCGCGCACGAGCATCCCGAGCAGCAGGAAGAGATTGCACAATCCGCTGCGCGGGCGGATAAAAAGTTGATTGAAGACATGGGTCGGCGGGATAAGGATGAGGATATGCGTGAAGCGCGCATCATGCCAAAGGATTCACTGGATATAGCCAAGGCAGATCAACCAGGGAAGTTGGAAGATGGATCTACGAGTGACGTGGAGATGACCAGCGACAACGGCCCCGATCAGCGACCGACACGTCCGCTGGATCTTGATCCACATCGTGCGCAGGACCCGCGAGAGAACATCGAGTATATCCGACATCTGGGATTCTTGCCGGCAGGCTCCGATTCGAGCGAACCGCGAACAGATGACCACGGGTGGGTTTACCTGAACATCTTAACCAACATGGCGCAGCTGCACACGATCAGTGTGACCACCGACTTTGTGAAGAACGCGATATCGGAATACAGCCAGAAGTTGGAGTTGTCGCACGATGGATGCAAAGCGCGCTGGAGAGGTGGCCGCGACGTCACTCGCACCAGCAGCGATGCGTCGCTGGAAGAGAAGGACGAGCTCGGGGGCGAAGATGATAATGCAGGGCCCCCTCGAAAGCGGGCGAAGGTTAGCGTTGGTACAAGTGGTCAATCCTGCCGTGGCTCGAACGGAATGCAATCTACCCCCGACTCGAAGTCGAATTATAAATACGCCTATCAACCACTCTTCTTCCGGAGGGAAAGCTCGGAAGACGATGAGGAGGACTCAGACGAGTTCTCACCCTGGTCCTCGCCTCAACATGGTCAAGCAACTGGAAACTCTTCCGGCCTTACCAGCTCTGGCGTCGATAACGCCAACCGCCGACGACATCGAGAAGACGGTCCGATCATATTCTACAATAAAGCGCCGTTCTTCACCGACTTGAGCGGCGACCACACTCCTCTCTCCCACCAAATCCTGTCGCAGCCCCAAGCAGATGACCTCCAAGCTCGAAAGCCCATCGGCCTCAAGCGCGAACGCATATTCTCTTACGACTCCCGCGGCGACACCGACCTGTCCGATCGTCCCTTGAACTACGTCCCAACATCTGAAATCGGCGGGAATTCAGACAAACCCCCTCTGGAACCCTCGTCCGATGACCTCAGATTCTCCCCAGGATTTCTCCAAAGCTACCTATCGTCCAACGACGAGCGACCCCGCGGCGTCGACTTCGAAGCCTCCGGGATCGGTGGCGTCCAGCCGAGCGACCACTTTGCCATCGATGTCCGCAGCATACAGACCGTTCACGGACCCCGGGAGCAGAACCACCACTCCCATCGCCATCACTCGCGGCTCTACCAATCGAAGATCGCCGATGCGTTATCGCAACGGCCAAGCCACGAGCGCAAAGGATTATGCGAACCCCACCAAGGAAGGCCCTCTCCCGCCGCCAATCCTAACCAGATCATCTCCTCCCGCCTCCGCAACCTCCCCGTTTCCATCCTCCCCCCACCCACGTTTCTATCACTCCCATCCACCGACTCCGACGTCTCCGACTCCGACGAAGGCCGAGACACCTCGAGCGTCTCCGCCAAGCACGGCCTGGATCTGTGGCCCGCGCTGATAGATTCCCACGAGGTGGAGATAGAGGATTCCGGCGGGTATTTCTCGGAAGATGAGGGCGGATCCAGCGACCTGTTGGCAGACGTGGATCTGCGAGCTGCAGGTTATGCAGGAGGTAGCGGCGGCGGGGAATTGAAATGAGAAGGAAGACGGAGGTTGGGAGATTAAGAAATGATTCACGGTCATGGACATGATGTTTTAGGACATTGACGGCGCCTTTTTGGTTTGGCGATTCGAGTTCGATTGTCGCGTCGAGCATGGAAATGGTTACCATTTATGGTAGCGCATTTTACATGAGCGAAAGGTAACTCTTACCTATTTTTGACAGCCTTACATAACATCGAGGAAATTGAGAAACCTTCGACGAGCAGAATTCAGACAATAGATGTCTCCATTGCGTCTACATTTTGACTCCCTAGTGACCGCGTCCTATTATGATTGCGATGCGTGACGTCAATTGCAACTCGCGTTCCCCTGTCAATCACGTGCAGACGCGTCCGCGTAAAGTGTTTCGCGTCGTCAGAACAACCTTCAGATTCACTTCCATCCACGGCCCGGCATATCACACCAAAACCCAATTCTCCCCAAAATATACCAGACAAGCCAGGAAGTATGGGGTCACGTCCGGATTTGAAGGTGGACGACGAGGTCGGCTTTATTAGATTCTTCCGGAACCTGCCCACCACCAACGGGGACACCGTCCGAATATTCGACCGGGGCGAGTTCTACACGGCACATGGGGAGGATGCTCAGCTCATTGCGCGGACGGTATGTGTAGTTTTTCCTGGCAGTTGAATGAGGCAAAATTGGTCTAATTAGGCGCCTGCCAGGTCTACCGAACCACTTCGGTCATCCGACAACTTGGCCGCGAGCCAGGTCTTGACTCCGTCACGCTCTCCGTGACGGTGTTCCGAAACTTTCTTCGCGAAGCGCTGTTTCGGCTCGGCAAACGGGTGGAAGTATGGGAGAGTTCCGGCGGACGAATGAATTGGAAGATCACGAAGCGAGTATGTTCTCCAACCAGCCCTACATCTACCTTCGTACTGACCGAAACTTCAGGCTTCCCCAGGTAATCTCCAAGACATCGAAGACGATCTCGGCGGCCAAATCGACTCTGCCCCCATCATCCTCGCCGTCAAAATCACCGCCCGCGCCGCCGAAGCCCGCCACGTAGGAGTTTGCTTCGCCGACGCCAGCGTGCGCGAGCTCGGCGTCTGCGAGTTCCTCGACAACGACCTCTACTCCAACCTCGAGTCGCTGCTCATCCAGCTCGGCGCGCGCGAATGCCTCGTACAGGCGGATGCGGCCGGCAAGAATGTGGATCTGGCGAAGATCCGCGCGATCGTCGACAACTGCGGGTGCGCGTTGGCGGAGCGGGCGTCGTCAGATTTTGCCACGAGAGATATTGAGCAGGATTTATCGAGGTTGTTGAGGGAAGAACGGGCCGCCGGGGTGTTGCCGCAGATGGATCTGAAGCTCGCGATGGGGAGCGCGGCGGCGCTGTTGAGGTATCTGGGGATCATGTCGGATTCATCGAATTTCGGGCAATATCAGCTGTACCAGCACGATCTGTCGCAGTACATGAAGCTCGACGCGTCGGCGGTTCGAGCGCTAAACCTGATGCCTGGCCCTAGAGACGGCGCGAAGACGATGAGCCTGTATGGACTCCTGAATCATTGCAAGACACCAATCGGGAGTCGGTTGCTCGCACAGTGGTTAAAGCAGCCACTAATGAATGTCGAGGAAATTGAGCGGAGACAGCAGCTGGTGGAGGCGTTCGTGGAGGATACAGCGCTACGGCAGACAATGCAGGAGGAGCATCTCAGGAGCATTCCGGATTTGTATCGGCTCGCGAAGAAGTTTCAGCGGAAAGCGGCGAACTTGGAGGATGTGGTAAGGACGTATCAGGTCTCCATACGGCTGCCAGGATTTCTGGGGCTGCTGGATGCCGTGATGGATGAGAGGTATCAAGATGCTTTGGAAAAGGAGTACACGACCAAGCTTCGAGTAGGAAATTCGATCTCCGTTTACCGTTCTATACTAACAGCTATACAGGAGTACTCCAACAGCCTGGCGAAGCTACAGGAGATGGTCGAAACAACCGTGGACCTCGAAGCGCTCGACAACCATGAGTTCATCATCAAACCAGAATTTGATGACAGCCTCAGGACCATTCGGAAAAGACTAGACAAGCTCAAGTACGAGATGGGAGTGGAGCAGAGGAAAATCGCTCAGGATCTTGACCTAGACATGGATAAGAAGCTATTCCTTGAGAATCACCGTGTACACGGCTGGTGCCTACGTGTCACTCGAGCGGTACGTGTTTCTCCTGCATGTGGACAATACAGTTCTAACTTCTTGATAGGAATCAAGTTGCATCCGCGGCAAGAGGCAATACCAAGAATGCTCTACACAGAAGAACGGTGTTTATTTCACCACCTCCACCCTCCAGGCATATCGACGAGAGTTTGACCGGCTTTCTGAGACCTACAACAGAACTCAAAGTGGCCTCGTAAACGAGGTGGTTGGTGTTGCTGGTAAGTCGTTGTACCCCTTTAAACCCTTCCCTTCTAAATAATCCCAGCATCATATTGTCCGGTCATAGAAAAATTAGCAGGCGTCATCGCCCATCTTGATGTCATCGTCAGCCTAGCCCATGTTTCCGTTCACGCCCCTACACCATACACCCGACCCAAGATGCATGCCCGTGGCACGGGCAATACCATTCTCAAGGAAGCCCGACATCCCTGCATGGAGATGCAAGACGACGTCCAATTCATCACCAACGATGTCACCCTCGAGCGCAGCAAATCCGAATTCCTCATCATCACGGGCCCAAACATGGGCGGCAAATCCACGTATATCCGACAAATCGGCGTGATCGCGCTGATGGCTCAAGTCGGCTGCTTCGTCCCCTGCTCCGAAGCCGAACTCACCATATTTGACTGCATCCTCGCCCGCGTCGGCGCTAGCGACTCGCAACTCAAAGGCGTGTCGACCTTCATGGCGGAGATGTTAGAGACGGCGAACATCCTGAAGACCGCGACGAAAGAGTCGCTCGTCATCATCGACGAGCTGGGCCGTGGGACGAGCACGTACGACGGGTTCGGCCTCGCGTGGGCCATCTCCGAGCACATCGTTCGCGAAATCGGGGCGTTCGCGTTGTTCGCGACCCATTTCCATGAGCTGACCGCCCTGGTCGACTCGTACCCGCAGGTCCAGAACCTGCACGTCGTTGCGCACATCTCCGACGACGACGACGGCTCACAGTCGAAGCGAGAGGTCACGTTGCTCTACAAAGTGGAGCCTGGCGTCTGCGACCAGTCGTTTGGGATCCACGTCGCGGAGTTGGTACGTTTCCCGACGAAAGTCATCAACATGGCGAAGAGGAAGGCGGATGAGTTGGAGGACTTCTCCGGGAAGCATGAGAAACTGACGAAGCAGGCGTCGAAGGAAGATGTGGAAACAGGGACGAGGATGTTGAAGGAATTGCTGAAGCAGTGGAAGCAAGAAGTCGAGGGAGGGGAGTTGAGTGAACAGGAGCAGGTGGAGAGGATGAGATCCTTGGTGAATTCGAATAAGGAGCTGTTGGAGAATCCGTTCTTCCAGAATGTTCAAGTTCTATGAGGGACGAAATAATACGGTATTGAGGGCATGACTTCGGCGTTGTCGGGATTGGTAAGGATAAGATTCCAGAATCACCTCCGGGAAAATCTAAATAAAATAATTCTTCAGCCCTCTTGCCCTAACTACCAAGGACTTTTAATGTTGTCATACAGGTCCAAGCCAGGATATAATCGTGGGCCATGTTGAAGCGATAGATGCACTGTATCGCCGTGCAAGAATGGTATTGTTAAACAAATACAGTAATATCAAACACGCAATAGATAATTTCAATGGAGGACCATCTGAATCCAAGTCTCGACATGAGATAGGCTGAAAATGCACACTCAAGACCGGGAACCATCCGACTTCTTCCGCCCTCTATTAATGGCCCGTCCAACCGGCCGTCCGATCGCGTCTCGAGCAATTTCCTGCAACCAATTCGGCCACCACCGAATCCCCGACGCCGCCCATAAATTATCCGGCAGGATCAACTGCGCGCCCTTCCGACTGAAAATCTGCTCCACAATGCGACCCCCAACGTATTCCGGCGTCATCATCTTCCCCCCCTTCTCAATCTGCTTCGCGTCCTTGGCCGTCATATCGGTCCGCACCCAGCTCGGATGGGCAACCGTCGTGACGATCCCCGGCGCCTTATAGACGTGCTTGATTTCGCACGTCAGCCCCTCGTGGAAGGCGAGCGCGCCCGCCTTGCTGGCGGAGTAGGGGATACCGGCCGGTAGCGCGAGGTACGATGCCATGCTCGCGATCGTGACGATGTGCCCCTTGTTCTGCGCGATCATACTCGGGAGGCAGGCTTTCGTGGTGGTCCAATGTGCCAGGAGGTTGATGCCCATGATTTTATGGAGGTAGTCGTCGGGCGTGTGGAGGATGGGGTACGAGCCGCCGATGCCGGCATTGTTGACGAGGATGGAGGGGTCGCCGAGGGTTTTGCGGACGGATTCGATAGCCTCGTTAGTGTCGGAGGCGGAGGTGACGTCGCATTTGAAGTAGGAGACGGAGGGGTTCTCCTTCAGATCCTCGGGGAGTTCTTGTACGTCAAGAATGGCGACACGGACGCCTCTTTTGACAAGCCCAAGGACAATCTGTTTACCAATACCGTTGCTACCGCCGGTAACCACTGCAATCTCCTCATCCCATTTCCATCCTTCCTGGGCGGAGATGCGCCAATTGTTGGTCGCCAGTGTATTAAGCGCGCGGTTTAGGCGCTTCCCAAAGCCTAGTGCAAGGAGGATCCATAATCCAAGTTTCACTTTGTCATCCTGGATCCAAGAAGGAATGAAGTCTAGTTCTAGGAATTGACGCTGTACATTCTCAGGTAGGAACCTCATTGCAGCCAGAGTCGAGCCGGTGATGGCTGGCTCAAATGCAAGGCCGATAATGCCTCCCACCAACTTCAATGTGAGCCTTTGGAGCGACGTCATCTTGGTTTTCACCTCAACCGAAGTAGTTGATTGACAAGCAAGAGTCTCGATTGCAAGAGGAAACGTATAAATATGGGTATGAATGGCTTTCGAGCACGGAACGCGGCGGCGTAGAAAAAGTAAGCAAGGCAAGCTGCAAGCCAGAAGAGGAATTGTTAACAACCCGAATGGACGGTAGAGATGGTGGCGCGATATAAATTGGTCACAGTCCCCAGGCTCTTTCTGTTCCAACGATGTTGGCGACTAGCAAATATCATTGATGTACTCCGGATATGTGCACGTTATTGAAGATTTCTCGAAGTTCATCAGATATTGCATGATGGATGTGATTCACGGAGGTCGAGATGTCTGGTGTAGAGATTGCGGAAGCGGAAATATCGGCTCGGCCCGCATTCCGGTAGCACATGCGGCTACAGGTGCCGGAACGCACCCGCGGAATAATAATATACCTCCCTTAGTAATCACTACAGGACCCGATTCTCCAAATTCATCAGTTCTACATATTCTCCTTTACGGCTCTAACGCTGAATAAATGGGCCGGAGATGATCATCAGCGGGAATGTGGTGCAGTACTATGACCCAGACCGACGTTGTGAGCTCATTTTGCGAGTAACGGGCGAAGAAACCTAGAATGACTTGCGTGAGACAACGTGGAGTGTGCAAACGTTTGTGGATCCACATGGGATTGGTGACTACGGGTCCGTACGGTAAGGATTTAGAGTAGGTTGTCCTGTCGTGTTTAATCTGACGGTGCTATGCCTTCTAGGGCTTGACTTTTTAAACACCTTAAAGAGACATGAACTGAGTCGCTGGTTATGGAAGAACAAAAATGGGCCTTAAGGAACCGGCACCTCCCGGGTTCTTATACAATCTCCTGAGCTAAGAGACACTTAGGCGAAGGTGTCAGCTAACAGATGGATTGGGTACTGCGGACATCTAGGTGGAATAGTCCAACACATATTGTTCCTAATGGTCCAGGAATCCCTCCCTTGTCGAAGAGACCTGCATAGTATATGTTCTCTTGTGATAGTTCCGATCAGTGGTCGCCAGGTAGCTCAATGTCACGCAACTTACAGCGCGCGTCCTTGGACTCATATGTGACTTCACCTGAGCCTCGTATCTTAAGAGGAGACATTCGTACGGGTAGTATATTCATCAGAGCCGCACATATTCGCAAGGATGACCTTGACGAACAGACAAGCAGAACCTCGCATCTCGATGTCGGTGAAAGAGGCGCAACACTAGGAAATGGGGAAACCTCAGTTCCGTCTTGCTCTAGCTTTCGCCACAGGTTTCTTTATATTCCTAGCCCTATTTTGTTTCATGTGAATCTCTTCCCAGGGAATTCGTCGATGAACTTCTTTGCCGTGGGCTTTAACTGCGCGTTCAGTTCATCCAGTCTGTGGATCGGCAGGGATAAGAACTCGTGCTTGTTCGTCCACTTCACCTGACTTTGCGCATAATCCCGGGCAGCCGATGGCGAAGGAGGCGGGTCGGTGATCTTTGTGATGAGATATGCAGTGCTCGCTTCAGCAATGCCGTAGACAAGGACACCGAGCAGCGGAATCTTCAGCATGGCATAGAATGCCAAAGCGAAGCCGAAGAGAACGCCGGCGCGGTCATGGAACCATTCCTTCTTTTGAGCCTTAGTGTAGGGTACCCTTGAGAAGTATGGATCAAGCTATTGAAACATTAGCCACGTGGCTCACTTGATAGAATCTATGAAACTTACCAGTTCTCGCATGAGACTGCGGGAGGAGAAGTAGGTTTGTAAGAAGACAACTAGGTAGCGTCTGGGAAGGAAGAGTCCACTTCCAAAAATCACCAAAGCCGGCGGAGTGCCGACTGACTTATTGAACGTGTAGAAACTCGCAGCCGGAAGGACGAATCGCCCAACAAGAGGCAAAAAGGACAGGGCGTATACCGCTAATGATATCGCTGCTCGTCTCCCGTACCGAATTAAGAACGCCAAAGCCGCATCCATCGGTGACTTCTTCTCCCCTGAACCGTGACGAGAATACAATTTCAGATTCTCGTAGTACATGGCCCGCAGTTTGGTTGGGTCATCGGACTTGTGCTTGGCGATATACGTTCGATCAACCCAATCCAGGGATTCCATAAACCTTAAGACGAGTTAGTGAATCGTTGACCCAACTATCTCCTTTTTAAGGGTCGGGAAATGCAGCTTCGCTTACATTCGGTCCAATGTTGGACTCACAAAGCGCATGAATGACATCAGGAAGAACGGTACTTGAAGGACCGAGTTCTCAATAAAGCTCAGTCCTTCAATCAGCTCGTTGTCCCAGTCCGCCGCGTCTAGATTCATAAATAGTCCAAGCATCCATATCAGGACTTTTACCACTACAACCTGCCTCGCGATTAGCATATGACTACACGGATTTACGATTGAGCTTACCGGGATTGAGATGATGATACGGATAGCAAGGCCCGAGACTACCGCCAATACTGCTTGCCTGTAATGGTCGGAGGTAAATAGAGCTGGATTTTGGAGTGCTCGATGTGCTGGAACCCTTCAAGTCAGCTGTAGCTCAACGAATGCAACAAGGTGATTGTCCGTACCACCAACGAGAGTTAGCTGCGCACCGCGTAAGATCGCATTGATGTCAAAGTTCGACATCGACATCTTGCCGTCAGAGTAGCAACCTCCTGTTGCTCTTATGATGTTTGCATCCGAAGCCAGAAATATAACTAGATATTTGTAAGAGGTTCATAATTGGATCCATATGAACCCCAATGGTCGTCATCATTGGTGGGGGGTCTAGCTAACCCAATGAGGCTAGCGCAATATCTGGTTCCACTCAAGTGATTCAACTGATACAAAGCAATAACTTATCAACAAGCGTAGACGCGAACCGCCAAGCGGTTCGCCCTAACAGAGCCTTGAGGAACGAAGCTCGAGTTGGCGATTGTGAATCCCAAAACGGCACTCGAATTATTCACAGAAGCATCACGAAAGGTTTACGGTTCATTGGTTGGAATAGAGGATTGTTGAGATTAAAATGTCTGCAGAGGCTCAATGTCTAGCATAGTGGGATAGAACTTCACATGATTCAAGGAAAAGTATAAGACTAAGAGTAATACTAGCTGTCGCTCATTGGTCTCAGAATTACTGTCCAATATCTGTAGAAGAGCTGCGTAACGCAGGAGAAGACGAGATGAGACGAAACAGACTCATCTCGATATATACACGGCCTGTTGGTCTTGCCACAAAGGACCCTGAATCACGACATAGGATCTTCAGTTCCAACAGACCTTCTCCTTCCTATTGTTCCTACAAATTACAATAGGATTTAGAAGGCTGTGTTGTCGTGAATCATAGAAGATCAGTATTCAACATATTCAACAGGGTCCAGGATCAATAGGGTATCTAGACTGAGGGAGAGCATTGAATTTGATTTGTATATCACAGTTCTGGATCGATAGATTCAGGTATCACCGTCGTCACGCCGCTGAACCGGAACCGGTGGAACTTGAATGTCGAGGCTACGCTGTCGTTTCACAGGCAACGGCAAGGCCTACTCCGGATTTTCATGTCCGAACACAAGTGGAAAGACGGCCAGCCGACGGAGGAGGAAGCATTCATGATGTTCAGTTACGGGGACGATAGCGCCGTTCCGGTCCCAGCCATCTTCATGTTCGTGCCTGGGATGCCCATCGTCGTCAATCACAATACCCACCAAGGCCTGAAGCTAGTCAACGGCGCCAGCTACGCGGCGTTGGACGTCGTTCTCGACGAGGCATACCCGGGCCATCGCATCGACGCCGACACCATCCTTCACTTCGGCCCTCCGGCGGGGATCCTGCTGGCGTCCGGGACGACACGAGACTTCCATTTCGTTGGCATGCCGGCTGGCACCATCCTCCTTACGCCGATCAGCGCCAAAATCGAGTGCCAGAAGAAGCGGCCATGGCAAAATCAGGACGTCAGCCGGCGAGGATTGCCATGTACAGCCGCATTCGCCTGTACGGACTACAAAGTACAAGGCAAGACGCTAAACCCCGTGGCGCTGGAGTTGCGGGGGACGCAGGTGACCAACATCGACGGCAAGGCGGTGGCCAGCCAATGCGATCCGTACAGCTTGTACGTGCAGCTGTCGCGCTGCCCGTCGCCGGATGGTATCATGCTCCTGTCCCGGGCGCGAGAACGGGACTTCGTAGGCAATCGGGTGCCCGATAACATGGTGGCGGCGGAGGCACGGTTAGGACGGCTGAGCGAGACGACCATCCAGGACGCGGAATCTTGGGACTGGTCATCCGAGGGGGAAAGGTTCACAACGCAGAACTAGTGTTCGGAAAGGAAAGCAGCGAACCTGCGCGGATGTAATGTATATTCAGGTATTAGTTTGGTTAGCTATATTAGGCGCAAAGAAAGATCCAGGCACAAAGAAGATCGTGGCACAAAGAAAATCGCGTCACGTGTCAAGTCACATGAAAATCACGTGCAATGTCACGTGAATTTTGGTACCATGGGGAAAAAGGGCGGCATAAACCTTGAGTTCCTCAAGGCATAGTTAAGCATGTCGTCCAAGTCAGTCAACTCTTTGTCTTTGATATAATGGAAGGTATTAGCTATTGGTTATGTTTGTTCCTAGGCTAGACTGTCATAATTAAAGAGAATCGAGACAAAGTTTCAGCAAGCAGACTGGACGAATTCCCTGGTCCACTAGAGGTCCACACTCCGAAAACTGCGTGCTACCGAATTTCCGTTTGTAGTTTAGCGCCGCCATTTCCATGCTATTATGACGGATATTATGGTATTCATGACCCTCCTATTGATATGTTGTTCCGATCGACCTACGATCCGAGCCCTAGAGCTTGCTTTGCTTTCAACTCTCTCTAGATTTAGTTAAGGATTTTTATGTAAGACTGGGAAGACATACATCAACGAGTATAATGGCAGCTGCGGCACACCCAATGTTGACAGCCACCCATCGGCCCGCCTGGGGGACCCAGGCATCCACCCACGCGGTTCCCTTTTTCGCCGCAGCGACAGCAAGTCCACGCTAATAGGAGCTAGGAAGTCGCAAATAGCTATCCGATACTGCCACGATATCCGCGATACATCGCCGCAAACGTCAGTCTTCTGGGTATACGCTAGCACCAAGGCCCGATTCGAAGAAGCGTACAGAGATATTGCAGACAGGCTAGAGCTTCCGGGGCGAGAGAATCCGAAGGCCGATATTTTACGGCTGGTCTACGACTGGCTGTGCGAGGAGACAAACGGCCAATGGACGATGATCCTCGATAACGTCGACGACGTCGAGACCTTCTCGTCGCGAAAGGACGAGCAAGATAAGCCGCCCGAAAGCCCGCCAGTATCACTGGCAGCTTACCTCCCGCAAAGCCGGAACGGATCGATCCTGATCACTTCTAGGAACAAGGATGCAGCAGCCGGACTGGCAGGAGGCTACAAGAATATCAAGGAGGTACAGGCAATGGACGAGAGCCAAGGCCGACAACTCCTCCGGAACAAACTACTGCAGGACGCGTTGACCGACGACGCAATTGATCTACTGCGTGCTCTCGACTGCATCCCTCTTGCAATCACCCAGGCCGCTGCATACATTAACCGGCGAGCTCGAATGACGATCCCTAAGTACCTCGACGAATTTCGAAGAAATAATAATAAGAGAGAAAATCTCCTAAATTAGGATGTTGGCGATATCCGCAGGGGCGATAGTGCATCTAACTCGGTGGTATCGACATGGCAGATATCGTTTGAGCGTATTCGTAAAGGAAGGCGTTCTGCTGCAGACTTACTATCGATTATGAGCTTCTTCAACCCGCAAGGAATTCCAGAGTCGATACTTCAAAGGCGTAGGAGGAACAGGGCAGAATTAAACGGCGAAGGCGAGGCTGACGCCGCCTTCGAAGAAGACTTTGATACCTTACGGGCATATTCGCTTATAGCAGCGACTGCCGAGCTCGACATGTATGAGATGCATGCTCTAGTGCAGTTCTGTACCCAGGTCTGGCTGTCGTCGTTTAGTGATGCGGAGAGATGGAAGCAAAGGTTTATAGGGCTAATGGCACAGGAGTTTCCAACAGGGCAATTCGAGAACTGGGGGAGGTGCCAGCAGTTACTTCCGCATATCGAATCCCTATACGACAAAGAGCCGGCGACCGACGAGTCCTTGAAGGACTGGGCTCAGATTCTTATAAATTCTGCGTGGTATATGTGGATGATAGGGAGGTATAAGATAGCACACGGCATGGCAGTAAAGGCGCTGAGTACTAGCGAAAGGGCATATGGGCAGGAAGACCAGATGACACTAATAAGGGCTACCGTCCTGGCGTTGGTGCTACAAGGTTAGGGGAAGTACTCGGAGGCAGAGAAGCTGGAGCGGCGAGCGCTAGAAGGGAAGGAGAAGGAGCTTGGAATGGATCATCGAGAGACACTAACTTCCGTCTACTACCTTGCCTATCTTTTACACAGGTGCAGGCGATATAAGGAGGCGTCCGAGCTCTACCAGAGAGCATCCAACGGCTATAAGCTGGAGCTCGGTTCTCAGCACCCGACAAACTATTGCGTGTCTAGATCACTTTGCAGCTATGCAACAAGAGGCAGAGGAGGAAAGACTAAGACCAAGCAGGACATCAGTTGACAATGATATAGAGGAGCTTAGAGAGATACCCACTGATGGTGTAGGTGCTAGTACTCTGCATGGTAGTGAGGCTATGCCTGAGCAAGCCAGCAACAGCTTGAAGAGCAAAAATGACTCGTTGTACACGCGCCTGAAAGGGAGGATGCGTAGAAAAGATGTATAGAATAGAAATATGACTGTTCTATTACTGATGTAGTTTCCTAAGTAACATGCTGTACTGTGAAGAATAAATCACCCGATTTGGATGGGTTTAAGGCAGAAACGCCCAACGGTTCAGTTGAAATAGTGGATTATGTAACATAATTTTGGAAGCGGGATTAATTCCAAATTTACAATGCTATTTCTGCATTGCGCTGACAACGTATGAGATCTCTTGTTAGGAGGACAGTGCCGAGAACAAATCAAAGTGTAAAACCGGAAACCGATTCTGCTCGCGACTGTATATGGTCCATGAAGTGGTACAGTATATATTAGATTAGGAAGGATAGGCCTGAGTAGTGGTAGCCTGCATATCCCACGGGAGAGGTCAGGGTAATTAAATGAATCGACAGGAACGTACATCCAAAGGTATTTGGACCCCGGTTCATATTCGCCTGCCATATACTGAATAGCGTTGTTATGTACGCGGGGGATGAAAACGACATCAACAAATTGTCAGAGCGTTCGTTTGGTGCGTCTTGCAACAAGGCTGCCAGGAAACATTACCTTGGTCTCCGCTAGAAATCGGCACAGTAGCCGCGACCTTGCAGCATATTGGCAAAAGAAAGGCAAAATAAGGCGACAGTTAGAGAAGGGTGAATAAACCAATCATAATGTGGAAGAAATGAGCTGGCTGGAAAAGCTTGGGATTGCTGAGCTAGTGGCATCGTAAGGCTGATATGAGCAGAACACTATCGCATTCCGACACATCATGTCTTTTTCGATTTCCGTCCTCCAACACCTCCCGCAAACCGCCCAAGATGACTTAGACTCGACTTCGCCCTCGAATGCGGCGCCGGCTGCTGATACGGCTGCGACGGCGCCAGCACCGGCGGCCGGGAGATACTCGCCGCCGAATCGGGTCTCACTGCCGCTCCTTTCGCCTGCGCGTCGGCCAGCGGCCTCCGCTCCCGGTCGTGCAGCGGCTGCGACCCCTGCGCGAGACCGTCGTCTTCCAACCCCTGCATCCGCTGCGCCTTGCGGCCGCGCTCCTGGGTTGCCTTGAATTTCTCGAGGAGGTCCATCCAGCGGACGGGGTCGTCGCGGGTCTTGAGACGGTTGGGGCGGTCGAAGTTGGAGGTGGCAGGCGTGGGTGGGGCGCTGAGGGTGACCACTGAGTCGGTGTTGCTCTTTTGACGGGAGTGGTGGTTGTGAGATACGTACGTTCTGGGGGCTATGTGAAGGTAGCCGATGGCGCTGACGCTATTGAGGCGGTTTTTGAGAGCGTAGAAAGCCGAGGATTGGGGGAGGAGCATGAGGAGGCCGTAGAGACATTTATAGAGGTGGGGGTAGCGCTCAGGTTCGAGGAGTTGCAAACGGAGGTCTAGGTAGAAGAATTGTAAGAACTGCGCTCACCGATTCGCACATCAGATCTTACATGTAAAAACCGGAGACTCCAGCAGCTGCACGAGTTTGTCAATCTGAATGAGGAGATTGACAGTCATCTCCAGTTCGGCACTAATCATGTTCAGCGGCTTCCTGTTACATATATAACGTCACTTACAAAATCTGTAATAGATTGTATGCTTGTTCGTACGCTTGACCCAACAAGCACAAAGAAAAGGTTGCGACGGAGTTATGACACCATGATCGAAACAACGCGACAAAGAAGTGTTGTCCCTCGCGAGAATCTAGATTGCGCAGTCGTCTCCTCAGGTCTGCCAATTCAGGGGCTGTGATCAAATTGTTGTTAAGGTTTTGAATCATGATGCTGGCGAATTCGATATCCTCATCTTTCTCCAGGCAATCAGCCATGGTGCGGTATATCCGCTCGGGACTGAGGCTCAGACATAGCTGTCGAATAATCAAATTGCCTCTCGTCTCTAGCAATCTGCGGTCGGTTGCAAAGAGTTTGAGGAGGTTGACCATGAAGGAGGTAAAGTAGGAGTCATCGCTTCCCTTGGATATCTGGGATAGGAGAAGCAAATCCCGAGTGACGACGGAGTCGGATGGATCGGAAAGTGTCTTTAGGAGAGCAGGGAATATCCCGTCGTTGATGGCTAAAATCTTTCTGGGCGACTTTCTATGCAGCATGATCAGCCACTGGAGCGCCGCGACACGTGTCGCTTCTTGCTCATTTAAGAACTGCAGCGTCAACGAATTGACAGCGGCCTCGTAGTCGAGGCCGACAGATGATAGCCGTGGCTGATCTTCGTTTTCGTATTGAACTGATGGTTGGGGAGGCTCCGCTGATGGTTTATCCTGAGACTCTTTGCCAGTGCTTCTCGAAAATTTGGATAGGCCTGATTCTCTGCGCTCCACCCCGACTGCCTCCTTCGATGATCCAGTTGAAGGGGTCGGTATACTAGACGGCGCCATTGGAGCAGAATGCGTCTGCGTTCGCGGAGCGTCATCCGGTAGTGACAAAATATATTCGGTCAAGGAGGTGTTGACCCGGTTCGCTGCTTGGCGGACTTGCTCCACGTCATGAGCCATGGCAGGTAAAACCTGAGATAAGAGCCGTGGAACGAATGGTAAAATATCCTCCGGACAAATGTCGAAGAAGGTGTCGATCCATCGAAGACTGGTGATTTGGAGCTCCTCCGAGGATGACTCGCTGAGAAAGGTGACCAAGATGTCGAGGATTTTAGCATGATCGACGTGTATGTCCTGACCAGGTATCCAATCGCTTTCGGTGCTGACGGATTTCTCATCATTTGCGGTATATGATCCTTCCTCATCACCACTCAGGATGTCCTCCTGAATGTCTTCTCCCGCTGGACTGATTGGATCACTTGCCATGCTTGAGACTCCACTCTTACTGCTCATGAGGGACCGTTTGCCATTTCCACGACCCTTGCGGCTCTCTGCGATTCCTCGTTTGATCCGAGATATCTTCTTGATCTCCGCAAGGAAACGGTCGAGGCAAACCTGTGTGGTGGTATGTACATCCTTGTTCGGATCGCTCAGAAACTTGAATAAACCAGGCAAGAATGACGGTAGGAAAGTGACCAACTCGAGATCCGGTATTGAATCGAGAAGAGTTATCCAGTTGACCAGAAACGTCCGTGTGAAAGGGTTCAAGACGTTGATTCTTTCCTCCAGGAGGGGTATGAATTTGGAGAGGGAGAAAGCCGTGGGGAAGTCGACATGGGCCGCATCATCTTCCCTACCTTCATTGTCTGACTCGACAGTCTCACGAAGCATGGAGACGTAGGATGAAGCTGATTCTGACACGATATCTTTCACAAGACGGTCCAGGAGTTCGGCCCCATTCTTGACCGACAACTCGGTGTCTGCGGCCAGCTAGAACCCGTTAGCCTCGCGGCTCGACATAACCCAGCTTTCGAAGTCCTCTTTACCTTGCACAGCGCGTCAAAAACGTCGTTGAAGTAGACCAGTATTTCGCCCTTTGCGACCTTGGCAATGTTGTACATGCTCTCACAAGCGTAGTATCGGACTCGGGCATCTTGGTCGGTGAAGCAGGCTAAAACCGGGGGAACGATCTCTTCCAAATACCGCGCAACTTCCTGTATATGGCGTTAGAAGTGGTCTGCGCATTGTATGAATCGTGAAGCCAAACCGGTCCGAGAGCAATCGAAGCCGCAGCAAGTCCGATGAGACCTCCATTCCGGGCATGCGGCTGGTGGACAGCATATGCATACTCATGGCATAGCTGATGGACGATCTTCTGGATCTTGTCGTGCTCTTCTGCAGCGAGCGCCTCGCGTACCACACTTTCGAGTCTGTTGGGGAGCTCTGTCAGCTGGCTCGAGAGTCATATGTTCAAAACGGTAGTCCGGTGGATTTTGCGCCACTTACTCAAGGGCACCGCTCTTCCGCTTGTCGTATATCTTGTCGTTCAAGGCCTTCTGGATGCTTGGATCCATGGCTCAAACTAACCAATGGGTTCCTATCGGCCGGGGAAAGTTGAGGTTTGAAACCCTTGATGAAGCATAGCCGTTATCTCATGGCCATGACGTCTTTGGTGGGCTTGATGGAAATTCCCCTCGTTCGGCACTTGAAAGTCCGAAGATTGAGGCTGTTGTCACTTGTAAGACGGTGTGATCAAACCAGAATCCCGTGACACCCAACGGTGTAAACTTCAAGAATGACGAACACCACATCCAACACAGAATGGAGGTGATTCCAACCCAACCAGGAATCCTGGATTCACATGTCCCTGTGCCGACTGGAGCTCTGTCGCGTGGGGGGCTCAAATGCGCTACGTACCAGACAACGCGTCACATTCATTCATTCAGTCATTTAAGAGCACAAGGCCAGGCGCCACTGTGGCGGGGCTGTCAACTCCCGCTGTGCTGCTGTGAGCTGTCAACCACCAGAGCACTTACATTTCATCATGACGGCGTAGATGGAATAGTTATCGGATCAGCTTCAAACAGGAACGCTTCCTTGATATCCAGTCCTGCAGGAAAGCACACTTGACTACTAAGCATTGAAACTTTGACCGGAGATGAGCGTCTCTACAGGTAGCTCCTGCAATAACCCCATCGTTGCCCTTGATTAGTAGCGTGGGTATCGACGATCGATGTGAAGAGATCAAGAGATGAGCGGACATAAACCTTCACACTCAACGCCATTCTTGAAAAGTGTACAGCCCTAATAGAAGCCTCATTATGGAGAACCCTATAGCATTTCTGCATCCCGGTCCCGATGAGAAGAAGTCTTCTTTCAGGCATTGGATAGTTGCTTTGTATGCTCCCAGTCCTGGACCTCAGTCACTGTCGCTGATCAGCGAATTCTAGTATTGTGTGCAACTTTAACGTTGATTTGGGTATCTCATGTCTTGATGTTAGTTTCAAAGTACGAGCACTTCGCTAAAAGCACCCAGGGCCTGAGATCGAGCTCGTATATCCCCCCAATACGCCGTTCTCCCAATCCGACCTCTCCGCGATATGCTTCAACAGCTTCCCAGAACGACATGACGCAGACGTCACGGAGGATCTCGGCTTCCAATTCACCATTCGGAACAACAGTCCTAATGTCAGGCTTGAGTCTCCCAACGCCCCTTACGGGAGCGCGACTCTCCTCCACGGTAACTGTATCTTCCGACAGGAGTTCGATACCACAATCAAGCGGAGTTTCAATCAACGGACGATGTGTATCATCTCAAATCAACCATTTCCTGCGTTGTTCATGCATGTTCTGCAGAGAATGACGTCGGAAACTGACTTTAGCAACCCGAACGTGTTGGAGCAGGCGTTCTTACACATCGCGAGCTGGCCAACCCCTTCGGTTGGGAGCCACAGCTTGCCCTTCATGGGATCTGTTTTGCCTTTCGAGATGTTAGTATATTATCCTCTATTGCAGATTCTCATCTGACAGCCACAGCGCTCCACACGCTGCGTTTCCGCTTCAAGGGCTGCGTAGCGCGCAACTCCTATCTTCCTCCAGCGCCTTCATGGAATCACAACGACTTATCCACGCCTATGAGCCCGTCGGAGACTGGGAGAAGTTGTTGCCTCACTTTCCGTCGATATCAGAGCTCTTCGTCCTGTTCGAGCGGCTCATCCTCTGTGAGAGTATTATTGTCTTCTCCCGAAGTCCTCAACTGTGCAGCGAGATGGTGTCGGCTCTTGTCGACTTGGTGAAGCCCATCCCGTACGCTGCCATCTGCAGGCCGTATATGACGATGCAGTCCGAATTCAGTGGCACCGGCGCGAGTCGCGGGCTTCCACGCCAGTTCTTGATCGGCATCACGAACCCGTTCATGCTCCAACGCATTCTAGGCCTTGCGGAGGAGCTGAATATCACGCGGCCACACGTCATCTCGCTTGGACCGTCCGACAAATCGGTGCGGATCAAATCGCAAAACTCTCAGAAGCGGAAGGACCACCATACGATGGACTTCCCCAGCGGTATGGATGCCCAGAACACGTCCAAACGATACATCAAGACGGACCGTGAGTTCGCCGGGACCGTCGAGTCGCTCCTTCGCGGGACGCTTTCGTCCTCGCACAGCTCTGCGAACGAGGATGTCGGGTCTTTCGTGCGCCGCTACTTCGGGCAACTCACCGCACAATTCCTCGCGCCCTTCAACCGATACTTCGCGAGCACGGCCCAGGCCGCCTCGACGACCGACACGGCGTTCCCCTCGACAACACGGCCCGATGCGCCTCAGTATGCCAGTTTCTCCCTTACCGCGTTCCTAGCGAGCCTCGGGAAGCACGGCACGGGGGTCACCTTTCGCGGGCAAGCGCCGCTGCAGCGCCACCGCGCCCGGGACGCGATGTACACCGCGTTCTGCTCGTCGCCGAACTTCTACGCGTGGTTGGAGATGAAGTTAGGGCTGGAGAAGGAGGCGACGGCGGGGCTTCTCGGGAGCGGTGAATGAGACCCCCCCACGCATTACTATTCGGGATTTTCTTTGCAGCAGGAGCTAAATGCAATGCTAGGATGCGGCATGGGCCCCGACGAGATGATACAACGGTATGTCACGGTGGCGGAACAACTCCGTCGCCAGCAGCGGGAGGGGTCAAGGATATCAAGGCGGTTTCGTCGGGCGTATTCCTGCATCGGAGGGGCTTTGGGTCCGGTGATAGCAGACGGATCTCCCTCGCTCGCGGCGGCTAGTCCACGGTTGCTCAAGAACCAGAGCCCCCGCCTCACGTCACTGGCCGTCAAGGAGAACGTGTGGCCCATACCTCATACCAAGACTCGCTCACCACCACCACCTCGGCGACGGTTCACTCGGAGCCACACCAGGGAACTCGGGAACGAAAAAGCGGTTCGAAGGATTCGAGATCGTCGATGATTGCCCCCCAACCTCTACTTATCTACCGTACGACATACATATTCCAGCACACATATCCTCATCAGAATCCATGAGCGCGGACTTCTAACGTCCGCACGATCCAATATATTCGCTAATGCAACCCACCCGCCGATGACCGTACTCCAAAAAGCCATGTGAATCGTGAAATCGCCAACCGCTTCAACTCGCTGCGCATCATGCAATGCAATGCAACTCGTCTCGAGGGTATCTCCGGCCCACTCGCCGTTCTTCCCTGCCATTGCAATCCCCTCATCGTCGCTACTCCCAGCATCATCACTCTCCCAAAGAATCGCAAATCGGCCGTTACATCCCGTCTCCCCTCATCTTCGCTCCTCCTTTATTGTCGGGATCCACCGATCTCTTGTCTCCTTGGGGCTCGTGATTGGCGAGGCGGTCGGCGAGTTGGTGCCTGTGGACGCGTAGATGTATTCGCCGTCCACGTACCGCGCGTCGGAGATGAAGGTGGTGCGTTTGGAGCGGCGGGTGTACCGTTGTTCGAGGCGGTAGAGCTCGAGTTCTGGGAGGCGTGGCAGGTTGGTTAGTATACGATGTTTAATTATCTCGCGGTTGCGAAGGGACCGGGCTTGCACGACACTGATGAGCGAGGGATTGGATGGTTGCGGTTCGTCCGAGGTACGATACGGGAACACAGGGTCGAACATACTTGCTTGTAGCTTTCCCATGAGACCCATCTTTGCAGCCGTTCGTTCCTTTCCTCGCGTTCGGTCTTTGCGTTCCCGATCCCTTAATTGCGCACTGAAAGGAAGATAAAGTCTGCTCGTCGTCGTAGGTCGTCGTGCTCGTTCACTCAGCGCGGAGAAAAAGGAGGAAGGATTTGCGCAGACCACAGGTTCGCAGGGGGGGGGAAGACAAGCCCTTTCAAGGATCTGCCGGCACCGGGAAGGGGAAATCGCGTAATGAATCCAAGCTAGAATCGGGAAGGCGAGGCTAATGTGCTAAGATTTGGGTGCCTGAGCCTAGCCGTTGTCGGATCGCGTCGTCTTCGCTTCGTCTCAGGTCTGGCACTAACTTCAAGCACGCAAGCCAAAACGTGCCCGTTCCCTGCATGGAACCCCAACAGAACACAGTTTGGACAGGGGAGGGTGGAGTGGGGTGAGGGGGTAAGATTATGCAGGTAGTTAATAAAGGAGGATGCAGTCTTACTACGTACAGGACAATTGCTAAGTCAATGAATGTAGATAGTGAAAGGAGTGTTTAAAGAGGCCTTGAAGATGAAGGATAATTGAGGTTGATTAATACCTAGGTATATGAAATATCAAATGAAGATCTTTGATCCTCAAACTGTCCAAGGGACCAAGATCAACGATTGTCGGACTGGTGATCTGGTCCAGGAGAACTGGGGAACCAAGAATAGGCTCTTGCTCGGCACTTGGCACTTGGGTCATGGGTAGCGGGCGGCCCCAGGGACCGACTTCTCAAGTCCGAAGTCTCTCAATCGCCAATTCGCCATCGCTGCCCATCAGGGGCAGAGGGAGCCAGTCGATAACGAATGAAAGTATAAAACATGCCAGACCCACCGTATTATCCGGGGAAATTACCCGTTCAGCTTCGACAGAACATGCCCGTGCATAACTAATGACAGTACTGATGATAGGAACAGACGATGCGATCCATGATTACTGGCCATTTGGGCAGTGTGCTGACTGCTACTGTTTGATTGACAGTGATGGGTGAGCGTACATAGTAACCAGGAAGGCTCTCTTGGTAAGTCGGTATAATAGACTTAATAGACTTGGGATAGCAATTGTGAATTGGTAAATAAACCATTGAGACTTGAGGCGCAGCAGGAGCTGCCAGGGCCACCACCGCTGATCAAGTCGATCTTGATCTCCAGAGTATGGAGATGCCGATCTGCTTTCCTACGACTTTGAAATAATAACGCATATCTGTAAATGTCAACTTGAAGAACAGTCTGTAGGGAACATCTTTAATATTGACTCCTCACTTCTCGATGTTATCATTGCGAAGAACGAAGATAGAAAATGGGGGCACAAGGCCACAAGGCACCAATGTATGTAATTAGGCCTGACCGGCGTATGAATCTCTCTCTCACCTCCAAATGTGCAGGGAAATACGGGGAGTTCTCAAGGTCATTTATTTTCCTTCGAGGCTTCGCTGTATAGTCGTTATTGTTGTTGTTGATTCATTTACCCTGACCTCTCCCGTGGGATATGCAGGCTACCACTATGGTACTCAGGCCTATCCTTCCTAAGCTAATTTACACTGTACTGCTTCTTGCACGAAGTGGTGATCACTATGTCCACGACCCCTGATTTGAGGCCGCCTTAGAGCCCTTGATGTGAACTTCTTAGATGCTTCCGCAAAAAGTCAAGCACTGCGTCTAGGATATCGCTGATTCGCTGTCAACTGCCCATCCCTTGGTTCTTCCTTAGTCCTAAGGTCTCCCTCTAAGCACTCCGGTGATACTGTTGAAATCGTCTCCTATTTTCTTCCGAAGCTGTTGTGGTAGCTCTCTGAGATTCGGACGGTCCACTAGGACGTGTACCACCGTCTCTCTTCCTCCGCATTCGGATTGGTCACCATCTCGAAAGCCGTGGATTTTGGCATGAGATGCAAGCCACGAGTGCCTTGTTCTAAGGAGACGGGTTGGGGGAGGCACTATTTCTTAAACACTCTTAATAATAACTAGCACCAATCAGGTTTTAAAGCCTTTTGATTTCTAATCAAACATTACTTATCGGCTGTCGCCACTCATGCTATTCATGTAGTATATAAAAGACACTATCTGTGAGGTAGGTTAGGTGGGCGGGGAGGAGGTTAAAGAAAGCTTAAGGAAATATCACAAAGTAAGTTCCATGATCATAACTCTTCCAGATGCATATCCGAAAGCAATAATGCCCCCATAAACAGCACTATAGCTTGGTCGATACTCGGGAGGAAGCCAAAGGATCCGCTCTGTATAGCTACTCACCCAGTGGTCATTGACAAAGATAGAAGATGGATGTTGTACACTGGTCATACCTATACCACCAGAGAGAGGTGATAAAATAGGCAAGAATCCACGGTCCGTCTGGAGAGAGGTACCGTTGTCGGAGAAAGAGAGAGCGTAGACGATGTTTCCAATATCGAGCGTCTGCTGCAACGCGCCCGACCCGGCGTCCCATAGCTTGACCGTCTCGTCCCCCGATGCCGACGCCAGCGTCTTGCCGTCTGGCGCGAAGGCCACGGCGTGGA